ACTCTGTTGCCCAGGCTGGAGTGAGGTGGCAGCGATCACAGTTCACTGCAACCTCCAACTCGTGGGCTCAAGCAATCATCCTGCCCCAGCCTCCCAAGTAGCTGGGACTCCAGGTACGTGCACCACCATGCCTGGCTTTTTTTTTTTTTTTTTTTTTGGAGTCTTACTCTGTCACCCAGGCTGGAGTACAGTGGTGCAATCTCAGCTCACTGCAACTTCCACCTCCCAGGTTCAAGCGATTCTCCTGCCTCAGGCTCCTGAGTAGCTGGGATTACAGGCATGCATCACCACGCCTGGCTAATTTTGTATTTTTAGTAGAGATGGGGTTTCTCCATGTTGGTCAGGCTGGTCTCAAACTCCTGACTTCAGGCGATCCTCCCACCTCGGCCTCCCAAAGTGCTAGGATTACAGGTGTGAGCCACTGCGCCCAGGCTGCTTGGCTATTTTTTAATGATTCCTTACAGATACGAGGTTTTGCTGTGCTGCCCAGGCTAGTCTTGAACTAACTCTTGGCCTCAAGTGATCCTCCTGCCTCAGGCTCCTGAAGTGCTGGATTTACAGTCGTGAGCCACTGCACCTGGCCAGAACTCCTTTTCTAGGGGGAAGTCAACTACCATGTAGGAAGTCAGGCTATAGATTGTCCCAAGACCACCATGCTGTAAGGAGCCCAAGCTAGCCCCATGAAGTGGCCATGTGGAGAAAGAGATGTCCATGCCGGGCACGGTGGCTCACACCTGTAATCCCAGCACTTTGGGAGGCCGAGGTGGGCAGATTACTTGAGGTCAGGAGTTTGAGACCAGCCTGGTCAACATGGTGAAACCCCATTTCTACTAAAAATACAAATAATTAGCTGGGCATTTTGGCAGGCGCCTGTAATCCCAGCTACTTGGGAGGCTGAGGCAGGAGAATCACTTGAACCCAGGAGGTGGAGGTTGTAGTGAGCTGAGATCGCATCATTGCACTCCAGCCTGGGCGACAGAGCAGGACTATGTCTCAAAAAAAGACACGAAGAGAAGTGCCAGGTTGAGCCAGGTCGACCCACAGGACCATGAATGACTATTTAAAAAGTGGTATTCTAGGCCATTACATTTGTGGTCATTGGCTACACAGCAATAGATAACTGAAAGTTGGTAATTTAACACCTACACAGTCCTCTGAGGTAGACGTTATTGTTCCCATTTATCAGATGAGGAAGTAAAGCCTGGAGAGACAGACGTGGCTCAGTAAGTCTCACCTAGCCAGCTGGAGGCAGCAGGTAGGGTTTGACCTGGCAGGTTCATCGGAACCCGGTTTGTTTTCTTTCCAGAGCACATGCCTGGCTGCCTGAAGCAGTTGACCAGAACTTGCAGCCAAACCATGTGGTTTTGGTCAAATTCCCTGTGGCTGGGGTGACAGGGTCATTTCCCGGGTGACTCATCTGGGCGCCTGCTGGAACCCTGGTTTATTCTTTTGTAAAGCAGGCTTCTTCCCTCCCCCCGTGCCACTGAGACATGATTCACACATACTAAAAATGAACAAATCGTAAGTGCAGGGCATGGCGAATTTATTTATTTATTTATTTTTAGACAGAGTCTTGCTGTGTCGTCCAGGCTGGAGTGCGACGGTGTGATCTCAGCTCACTACAACCTCCGCCTCCTGGGTTCAAGCGATTCTCCTGCCTCAGCCTCCCGAGCAGCTGGGACTACAGGCATGTGCCAGCAAGCCTGGCTAATTATTTGTATTTTCAGCAGAGACAGGGTTTCGCCATGTTGGCCAGGCTGGTCTCAACCTCCTGAGTTCAGGTGATTCACCTGCTTTGGCCTCCCAAAGTGCTGGGATTATGCCCAGCCGGCATGGTGAATTTTTACATCTGTGTGTACCCACGTGACCACAACCCAGACCATGATATAGAACATTTCTGGAATCAGCATGTTCCCTTCTGCCCACTGCTGGTCAATGCCCTCAGCTCAAGAGGTGCCTGCTGCTCTGACCACTATCACCATGACGTTCTGTCTGTTCTTGAACCTCACCTAAACAAAATCGTACAGCCTTACATTCTTCTGTGGCTATTTTTGGTCAACATTATGTCTGAAAGATTCACCAACATTTTTGTGTGTAGCAGGTTTTTTTTTAAATTGCTGTATAGTATTCCAAAGTATGAATATACCACAATTTATTCATTCTACTACTGATGGACAGCTGTATTATTTATTTGCTGATATGAGTATTACAGTACTCATTCTTTTGTGCATGTTAGCACTCATTTCTCCTGGATGTGTAAGCAGGAGTGGAAATGCTAGGCCATAGGGTAGATGCGTATTTAACTTGATGAGAAGCTGTCAGTTTCGCACCGTGGTTGCACAAAGCGCACTCACACCAACAGCACCTGGGAGCTGCCGTTCTCCATATCCCCACCAGCACTTGGTACCGGCAGACCTTCTCCTCTGAACTATTCTAATAGTGGGGCAGTGGGATCTCACGGTTTTTCATGAGATGTGGAGCACCTTTCAGAGACTGGCCTGGTTTTGGTAGCTCCCCTAGGAAGCCCTGAGGAGGGATGGGAGGGGGGTTGGTAAAGGGGATGTTCCTGCAACCCAGGTGTGAGACGGGGGAGCTCTGAGTTAGGTTGAGGCTAGAAGGGAGGCAGAGGATGGAATGGAGAGCTGTCCTGGGAGGACGGTGGGATGGTGAGGATGGACGGCAGAGCTGCCAGCAGCAGGCATCCCATCTCCCAGTGGCTAGGAATGTTCCTGATCTCCAAAGACAAGCAGTGCCAAGGCAGGGCAGTGCCAAGGCTGGGGGATTTGATGGCATGGGGTCCTGGATCTTTCTTCTTTCTGCTCTGCCATTTTTAGCTATTGATGAGGGAAGATGGCGACAAGGCAAGGAGAGAGGTGTCCCCTCCTTGTGCCCCCTCCTTTTCTTTTTGTCGGAGTTTTGCTCGTCACACAGCTAGAATGCAGTGGTGTGATCTTGGCTCACTGCAACCTCTGCCTCCTGGGTTCAAGTGATTCTCCTGCCTCAGCCTCCTGAGTAGCTGGGATTACAGGCGCTTGGCACCATGTCTGGCTAATTTTTTGTATTTTTAGTAGAGACGGGGTTTCACCATGTTGGCCGGGCTGGTCTCGAACTCCTGACCTCAGCTGATTTCCCTGCCTTGGCCTCCCAAAGTTTTGGGATAACAGGCATAAGCCACCATGCCTGGCCTCTTGTGCCTCTTTTTTTTTTTTTTGAGATGGAGTCTAGCTCTGTTGCCCAGGCTGGAGTGCAGTGCCACTATCTCGGCTCACTGCAACCTCTGACTACAGGGGTCATGCCATTCTCCTGTCTCAGACTCCCAAGTAGCTGGAATTACAGGTGCCTGCCACCACGCCCGACTAATTTTGTTTGTTTGTTTGTTTGTTTTTTTGAGACGGAGTCTCGCTCTGTCGCCCAGGCTGGAGTGTAGTGGCCGGATCTCAGCTCACTGCAAGCTCCGCCTCCCGGGTTCACGCCATTCGCCTGCCTCAGCCTCCCAAGTAGCTGGAACTACAGGCGCCCGCCACCTCGCCTGGCTAGTTTTTTGTATTTTTTAGTAGAGACGGGGTTTCACCGTGTTAGCCAGGATGGTCTCGATCTCCTGACCTCGTGATCCACCCGTCTCGGCCTCCCAAAGTGCTGGGATTACAGGCTTGAGCCACTGCACCCGGCCATCTTGTGCCTCTTTCTAACACCAAGGACGCCCTTCCTAGATGACCTCTCGCATTTCACTGGCTGGAACTGCATCCCATGTCTGTTCCTCAAGCAATCCCTGGCAAGGGAATGGGAAACAATCTCCCCTCACTGCCCGCAGTCACTCTCCTGTGGGTCTTTCCCTGAACACACCAGGGATGTTTGCTCCTGCTGGTGCCTCCGCGTGGAAGGCCCTTCCTGATTCTTCCATCTCGAAGAGTCATCTTTCAAAGCTGCCTCCAAAGGTACTCTTCTACCTGCAGGCTGGCTCGGGGTCTCTTCTGCGTTCTCACAGCCTTCCAGGACCCTTACCGGATGTGGCCTATTTCTGTGGCTCAGAAATGCGACCTCTTCCCAGCCCCATGCGACCACAATCAGCACAGCTGGCCATGGTGAGGACTCCCAGCCCGCTGGACCTGGGCCTGGGGCAGCCACAACCCTGCCCTCACCCCTGCCCAGGGTTGGGCATGACCTCTGGGAAAAGCCTCAGGAGAGGACAGGGACTGAAAGAAAAACACCCATTTGATGGAGAAGCAAACTGAGGCTTAGTGAGGGGTGTGACTTGCCCAAGGTCATGGTCAGGGCCAGTCTTAGCTCCACGTCTCTCTCTCAGGCCTGGGCCCTGGGCCCTACTCCAGGGCTCCCCAGACTTTGAAGGTCACGTGAATCACTGGGGCACCTGTTAAAATGCAGACGCTGGTTCGGTAGGTCAGGGTGGGGCTGGACTTGCTATTTCTCACTTGCTTCCGCTGCCACTGGCCTGTAAGCCACACTGGGGGCATCGCAGTCCTTACTAAGGGGGACCTTGGATTTTCAGCCCCACCCTCAGAAGCCCAGAGGCCACTGCTTTAGGAAGGGTGGGGTGTGGGTAGGGAAGCCACTTCAAGAAACCCCAATCTCCATTTCTGTTCTGTCAGCCATCTAGGACACCAGAACTTGCTGGAACATTTTATTAAGTTAAGAGGTTCAGGGGGCAGGAGAGAATCACCTTTTGGGTGGCTCTGGCGGTTCCGCACCCAGCACAGCCTCAGAGGAGGCTGTGGGGCCATGGAAGCCAGCTGCTGGCTCCCTCTGTCCTGAGCCCCATGGTACGGGTCCAAATGGGGCAGGAAGTGTTAGTAGGAGGTAGGGTAGGAGGAAGGTGGCAGGCTCCCGCCTCTCCCCTGCAGAGATACCCTGCCATGGCTGCTGCCTGGGCCGCCGCCAGACCCCCGGACCAGGGCCACCAGCCCAGAAGCCCAAGCAGAGGGTGGCTGGAGACAGAGCGGGGACCAGGGCTGGAGGCACACGGCCACCAGGAATTGTTTTTTTTTTTTTAAAGTATAAAGTGTTTTGGAAAAAAAGAAAAAAAAATCTATATAAAAATCTCTTCACATATAAAATCCTGAAGAAGGTGCAAGGTAAGACCCAGTGCGAGGGGCGCGCTCAGATACGCAGTGTGTGTGTGTGTGTGTGTGTGTGTGTGTGTGTGTCCGTGTGTACATGTGTGCACGTGTGTGTCTGTGTCTGTGTGTGGGTGTGTGGTGGGTGCAAGTGCACGTGTGGCCCACAGAGGGTGGGGAGAAAGCTTGGCTTCTGACTTCCATCCAGGAGGGAAAGAGGGAGGCTGGTCCTCCAGCCTGGAGGGTCTGCAGCTGAGCGGGACCTGAAAGACAAGGTGCGACAGGGCTGAGGCCTGGGCTGAGGGGCTGCGAGGCTATCCCAAGGCCAAGCAAGGGTGCTGAGTGGGTCCTTCCACCACCTCTCAGCCCTGAAGGTAGTCAGATCCGCTCCTCCTAGCTCCTTCGCGAGTAGCTCGGCCATAGGGTGGCCTCTCCTGCGTGCCTTAGGAAGTCCACGAGGATTTAGCAGAAAGAGGATGCTCCAGGTAGATGTGGCATTGAAAAAGCAAAAATAAGAACACTTTGGCCAGGTGCAGCGGCTCATGCCTGTAATCTCAGAATTTTGGGAGGCTGAGGCAGGTAGACTGCTTGAGCCCAGGAGTTCGAGACCAGCCTGGGAAATAATGGCGAAACCTTGCCTATACAAAAAGTACAAAAATTATCTGGCCATGGTGGTGTGGGCCTGTGGTACCAGCTACTCAGAAGGCTGAGGTGGGAGGATCCCTTGAGCCTAGGAGGTTGAGGCTGCAGTGAGCCATGATTGCATCACTGCGCTCCAGCCCAGGTAAGAGTAAGACCTTGTCTCAAAACAACCAACCAACCAACCACTTTGAGCCCTGTTAAGTCAAGAACGAGTGTAAGACTAAATGGGACAGAGGCCTGGCCTTGGTGTGCGATGTCTGTGTGTGAAGCTCAGCGGAGACTCCCTGTGGGGGTCAGAGATGTGAACACTGCATTTGCCTCCAGCCCCAAGAAGGGGGGTGCACTGAGCAGGCCATGGCTCTGCACTGTGCCGCCCAGCTCTGAGGGAACAGGCTTAAGCTGATGAAGCAGCCTGTGGCCTGGGTCTGATGGGATCTCTGCAACAATCCCGTGTTGCTGGGTTCATCGTCCCTTTTACAAAACGGGAATTGGAGGCCAGAAGAAGAAAGTAGCCTGGCTGGGGTGGTCCAGGAGTCCTGGTTGTGGGAGAGCCTCAGCCCCTGCCCACCCTGCAGGGCGCACACCTTGGCACCCACCTCTACTCAGCCAGGCTGTTGCGCATCGACTCCTTCTCCTGGAGGGCGGCCATGGCAAGGCGCAGGTGCTCCTTCAGCTGCTCGATCTCCCGCTCGGACCGCGTCTTGATGTGGCTCAGCTCCACGTAGACATCCTGGTACTTTCCCGAGGTGAAGCGCTTGTCCTGGGGGGCAGGAGGCAGGTATGAGGGCATGAAGCCTCTCCCTCCAGCCCTGCCCACCTGGCACATGGGCAGTACCAGCAGCCAGACCTCCCCGCGGCCCCTCGCTTCATCCCTCCAGGTGGCTCCCCGAGATGGCCCTGGGTCCTGGGCTTCCCTCTCCCACCTCCCTGGTACCACCTAGGGACACAGGTGTCATTGTCATCCTCATCCTGTTTGGGGGAAGGAGATTTTGCCCAAGACCGCAGGGCAGTGAGCGGCTGGGATGAGAACCAGGTCAGCCTGGCTGGGTGCTCAGGCCCTTCCCCTGAGTTCACGCCACCTGTTCTTCAAGCGCGGTAAACATGGTCTGGCTCACGTGCGCTTACAGAGCCACCAACACGTCCACTTCCTGCCCCAAACTGACAGAATGCACCAGGCAGTGACATAGCAGCCAACGGTGGGCCAGGCGGGCTGCAGACTCAGACTTGGGCTGAACCCCGACCCACCCAACTCCTAGCAACGCGGTTATTCTCACTGGAGTGCAAGCTCCCCACAGCAGAGATTTGGGGCTATTTTGTTCACATCTGTCTTCCCAGCACCTAGCACAGTGCCCGGGACATAGGAGGTGCTCAATAATAATCAATAAATTAAATAACGCTAAATAAACAGAAGCAAGTACGGCCTTGGGGAAGTCACTTCCCCTTTCTTAGCTTTAGTTTCCCTGTCAGTGAATGGGGATGACGACACCTACATGGGAGAAGCACAGGGGAGCCTGAGGAAGGATGAAGCAAGTGGAGGGCTTGGCACAGAGCAGGTGCTCACAGGATGGCATCCAGGTGGCTCCAGAGGCCCCCACGGCCCCCACGCACAGCAGCAGGACCTACCTTCTGCATCATCTGGAGTTCGTCCCGGAGGCACTGCACTTCCTTCTTCAGGTACTGGAGTTCATTCTCTTTTACACGAAGCAGCACCTGGGGATATAGGTGCTGGGCTGACCCAGGGCCAGAAGCCAGAGCTACCCTGGCCCACAGTGCCCTGCTGCCCGGGTTTTCTCTGCCTCAGGCCCCTAGAATGCAGCCCCTATCTGCACCAAAACCCTCTAAACCCTGGAGGCAGACTCCTCCAGGAAGCCCTCTCTGATTCCCCTGCTTTGCCTTCCCTTACTCTCACCCCTGTCCAGCCTGTGTGAATGGATATCTCATGGTCATCTCTGCTGCAGCCCTCATGCAGCACCAGGCTCTCACCTCGGGGGTAAGATGGATGAAAAGAAGCCCTACATAAACCTGAGCAGGCTGAGCCACTCCACAAGGCACCTCATTAACCCCTCCCCAACCCTGAGGGCCAGGTGCTGCTGACCTGACCAAGGAGGAAACAAATTCAGCCAGGTCTGAGGAGGCTTAAAAGCTCAGAATGGAGCCAGACTGCCTGGTTCAAATCCCAGTCCAGCTATGCAAGCTTTGGTAAGGTACTTGACCTTCCCGTGTCTCAGTTTCCTAATCTGTAAGTGGGGACAGTAACAGTAGCTAATGTATGGAGCTGTCAGGAAGATTAGATGAGTTAACAGACAAAAAGGGCTTCCAGAAGTTCTAGGTACACAGTGAGCCTCACCTAAGTGTTTGTTAAAGAAATAAAATATCGGCTGGGCACGGTGGCTCATGCCTGTAATCGCAACACTTTGGGAGGCCGAGGTGGGCGGATCACCTGAGGTTGGGAGTTCGAGACCAGCCTGATCAACATGGAGAAACCCTGTCTCTACTAAAAATACAAAATTAGCCAAGCATGGTGGCACATGCCTGTAATCCCAGCTACTTGGGAAGCTGAGGCAGGAGAATGGCTTGAACCCAGGAGGCAGAGGCCGCAGTGAGCAGAGATGGTGCCACTGCACTCCAGCCTGGGCAACAACAGCAAAACTCCGTCTCAAAAAAAAAAAAAAGAAAGAAATACTGAGGCTGGGTGTGGTGGCTCACACTGTAATCCCAGCACTTTGGGAGGCCAAGGCCAGCGGATCACTTGAGGTCTGGAGTTCGAGACCAGCCTGGCCAACATAGTGAAACCCTGTCTCTACCAAAAATATAAAAAATTAGCCAGGTGTGGTGGTGCAGGCCTGTAATCCTAGCTACTTGGGAGGCTGAGGCAGGAGAATCACTTGAACTGGGGAGGCAGAGGTTGCAGTGAGCCAAGATCGTGTCACTGCACTCCAGCCTGGGTGACAGAGCGGGACTCTGTCTCAAAAAAAAAAAAAAAAAAGGAAAGAAAGAAAAGGAAAGAAAAGACTACAGTGATCCTGGCACGCACGCGCGCACACACACACACACACACGCACACACACACACACTCTTATTTTCTTACCCCAATATTTCCCAGTAAGGAAGGTGCTGGGGTGCTGGTGCCATTTTACAGATGAGCTACTGGGACTCAGAGAAGTGGAGTGATTTCCTATGGTACACGGCAGGTAGGTGACACAACGCAGGTGGGAGGGAAGAATTCTGGCTACTGGATGCGTAGTAGGTGTTCTGGCCTAGTCAGGCTGGCCAAGCCACTCAGAGACTTGGCTTTCCTGCCACAGGTGACATGCAGCCTGTGGTGGGGGTGCACCATAGCCCTGCCCCGAGAACCACTGGGTTGCCTGGTGCTAGTGAGGGCACTCACCTCCAGCTCGCAGGAACTCCGCTCATTGCTGCGCCCGCAGCCGTTGCCCATGCCCTGTGAGGCAATGAAGCCACGCAGCTGGTCTATCTCCTCTGACAGGCGGCCATGCAGCTCCTGGGAGAGGCACGGTGGTCAGGGGAGGGGTGCTGGGACCCGCCCGTGTCCCCTCAACCTGGGGCCAGGCCCACCTGGTTGTGGCGCAGCAGCTCCTGGCCCTCCTGCTGGCAGCGGCGGAGTGTGTGCTCACGCTCCTCGGCCTGCCGCGTGAGCGCCCCTATCTCTAGGCACTTCTGCGAGTACTGCTCCGATAGCACCTGCAGCTCCCGCTTCAGTGCCTCCACATCTGACCTGCCCCAGAGGAGCAGCAAAGGAGAGCATAGGTTATCTTGCCCCTGCCAAGCCTGGAGTCCAGTCAGGGCAGACTCAAAGCATGCCAGGACTCTGGGGTTCCCTCTTTAGGTTTGCGTTTAGCCTGCTGTGGGGCTGTGAACCAGTGATAGCCTCTCTGGGCTACAGGTATTTCCCCTAAGTGAGGGTGGCTTGGAGGAGCCCATCTTTTTTTCCTTTTTCTTTCTTTTTTAAATGGGGTCTTGCTCTCACTCTTGTTGCCCAGGCTGGAGTGCAGTGGCACAATCTTGGCTCACTGCAACCTCCACCTCCTGGGTTCAAGTGATTCTCCTGCCTCAGTCTCCCAAGTAGCTGGAATTACAGGCACCTGCCACCACACTCAGCTAACTTTTGTATTTTTCGTACAGATGGCGTTTCACCATGTTGGCCAGGCTAGTCTCAAACTCCTGACGTCAGGTGATCCGCCTGCCTCAGTCTCACAAAGTGCTGGGATTGAGGCGTGAGCCACCGTGCCCAGCTGGAGGAGCCCATCTTTAAAGTCCCTGAAGCCTCAACATTCCAAAACTGTGCTCTGGGACAGGGAGAGGCCTACTGGTCAACAGTGACACTGCAGCCCAGCTCTAGGGGAGACTAAGGGGTGAAGAGGTGGGTGGAGGCCGGGACCAGCGAAGACAAGAAGGCGCCTGAAGAACTGTCTGTGAGGACTGGCATGGGGTCCGCCTGAGGACATTCTACTTCTGTTTCTTGCATCCATGAGACTGGAGCAGGAATCTCAGCTAGGGGCAAACTGATGTGTCCTCTGCCAAGGGGCCTCAGCAAAGTTCCTCAACGCATAACCATCAGGGTGGGCAGTTGGGCCCTGGCATCATCTTACTGGTGCTGCTTCCGGAGGCCATCTGGGCCCTGCTGGAGACTCCGTGTTTTGCTCAGCTCTCGGCTCAGCTCTTCCTGGTAGGCCTTCTTCATGGCTTCAATGGCTGGAAGCAGGGCAGAGAGGCACAAGAGAGACTAGAGGGGGGTCAGCAGCACCAAGTGCCACCAGCTCCGAGACACCACATGTACTGGTGGAGACAGGACCAAGGAGTGCTACGCAAAGAGCACCGAACCAGGAGTCCAGAGCAGCCCAGGCTGTGTCATAAAATGAGTGGCTTGGGGTAAGCTGCTCAACCTCATTGAGCCCATCTATTAAGGAAAGATAATCCTGTTGGATGGGCCCTGCTGGGGAGACAGCTCAGTGTCTGACCATTGGTACCTCCTGTTCTAGTGATTTCCGGGTAGGACCCCACCTAGTACACCCTCCCTGCAGACTCTGAGGGCTCTCAAACAAGGCCTATGTGCTTTGCCCAGCCTAGTGGTCAAGAGCTCAGGCTCCAGTCAGCATAAATCGATGTGACTTTGCACAGGTGACTTAACCCCTCGTGCCTCCGGTCCCTTATCTGGAAAATAGGGATAGATAACAACAGTACCTTTCCTCCATGGGGTTACTGGAAGGTGTGTGAAGCATTTAGAACAAAGCATGGCTCAGAGTAAATGCCCCAACATTAGCTCCTGCTGGCTTTATTCTCAGACTGTGAGCTCCTAAGGACTGAGACCGAGGCTTTTTTTTTCTCACTCAGGGCTGTTGTGAGGATTAAATAAGTGCCACCCATAGTTTTACCCACAATTCTAAAATCCCGAACTTCTGAACATTGAAAGTTTCTCCTTTTTTTTTTTTTTTTTTGAGACGGAGTCTCACTCTGTCACCTAGGCTGGAGTGCAGTGGTGTAATCTTGGTTCACTGCAACCTCTGCTGCCCGCTTTCAAGTGACTCTCCTGCCTCAGCCTCCTGAGTAGCTGTGATTACAGGCGCCTGCCACTGTGCATGGCTAATTTTTGTATTCTTAGTAGAGACAGGGTTTCACCATCTTGGCCAGGCTGGTCTTGAACTCCTGACCTTATGATCCACCCATCTCAGCCTCTCAAAGTGCTGGGATTACAGGCATGAGCCACAGTACCCAGCCTTTTTTTTTTTTTTTTTTTTGATTAATGGAGTCTCACTCTGCCACCCAGGCTGGAATGCAGTGGTGTAATCTCAGCTCACTGCAGCCTCTGTCTCCTGGGTTCAACAAATTCTCCTGCCTTAGCCTCCTGAGTAGCTGGGATTGCAGCAGCCCACCATCATGCCCGGCTAATTTTTGTATTTTTATTAGAGGTGGGGTTTCACCATGTTGGCCAGGCTAGTCTCGAACTCCTGACCTCAGGTGATCCGCCTGCCTTGGCCTCCCAAAGTGCTGGGATTACAGGCATGAACCACTGCACCCGGCCTCTGGTAACTCTTTTGGTGACAATCCCCACCCTGAATGGACATGAGGCTATTCATGGTCTTTATTACTACACTTAAGTGTGATTTTTATCTATTTCACAGCAGAAACCTTAGTGCCAGATTACAGGGCGAAGTCCAGACTGCTGAGGAGAAAGGGGTCTCTAACACATGCGGCTGCAAAGACGGTCTTCCTAAAACGCAGAGCACACTGGCCCCAGGGCTGGGTTCAAGTGCATGAGCACTTGGCACAGCACTGGCAGGTTGTGAGCTTCAGATCATGTGACATTGCCAGCATTTCTATTGTTCTACAAACCCCTAGTGATGCCTAGGAATGTGCCAGGCACACAGCAGGTGTGTGGTGGCAGGAGGGGAGGGAATTGTCCAGGATGAAAGATGCTCCCTTGGGAAACACGTGGGGGCCCAGTGCCTGGTACACAGCTGGCATGGACAATGCTCACACTTTCCCCTGCTCTCCCCAGGGTCTAGCCCATGTGCCCAGGGAGCAGGCACTCCTGTGAGGACAGGGGATGCAGCTGATCAGCCTCTCACCGCTGCATGTAGGTAGCGTGTGGCTTTAGGCACTCTATGGTGGCTGCAGGCCCCTGAGCAGGAGGAGTCACCACCCATGGTAGTGGTGGTGTTGGGGATGGGGAGGGTGTCTTTTACTGGCTCAGTTTCCCTTTTTGAGTAGGGCTACAGGCCAGTTCTTGGGGATTCCAACCCCTGCTGACCCTTTACCCCAAATGTGGCACTGAGATCCCTACATCTTATTTGATAAAGTCCTCCCCAGTTTGCCTAGGAGGAGCCTCAGCACAGAGGCTCAGGGCCCAGCCCACTGTGCCCCACCCAGGGTCCATACCTGAGGCCGTGGCTGCCGTCTCCTCGGCCAGGAGCCACTCCTTCTCCTGCTGCAGCCGCTGCAGCTCCCGCTCATGGTGCCGCTGCAGCTCCTCCATCACCTGCTGGTGTGAGGACTCCATCTCTGCCAGGCTGCGCTCACATGCCTCCTGTGGGCCGGAGGCCAGGGTATCACTGGCTGCCCCATTCCTCTGGACAGCAGCCCTTCCCCAGCCTTCAGAGGAGAAGGTTCAGGGGCAGGTACACCACCTCTTCCTGGGTCCTGGCACCTCCAGTCTGCACCTGCTCCTGCTCCCACCCCCACCCCACGGCTCCTCATTCACAAACCGCACCTTAAGCCCTCCAGGGACTCCCCATCTTAGAGTCAAGTCTCTGTTTCCATGGCTGACCTTTACGGTCTCATCCCTGGTCCTTCTCTGCCAAGCAATCTTATAGTTATGGTTGCAGCACGTTCACACCTCTGAGCTTTAGCTCATGCTATTCCCACTGCCTGGAATGTTTTTTGTTTTTTTTTTGAGACAGAGTCTTGCTCTGTCACCCAGGCAGGAGTGCAGTGGAGTGATCTCAGCTCACTGCAACCTTCGCCTCCCAGGTTCAAGCGATTCTCCTGCCTCAGCCTCCCAAGTAGCTGGGACTACAGGTGCCCACCACCACACACGGCTAATTTTTATATTTTTAGTAGAGATGGGGTGTCACTGTGTTAGCCAGGATGGTCTTGGACTCCTGACCTTGTGATCTGCCGACCTCGGCCTCCCAAAGTGCTGGGATTACAGGTGTGAGCCACTGCGCCCAGTCTGGAATGTTTTTTTGGCAACTTTACCTCCCTGGGTAATTTACTGACCTGCAGCCCAGTTTAAATGTCTCTCCTAGCTCTGTCTCTGGGAAGCCTCTCCTCTGCCTCAGAAGGTTCTACTTCTGCCAAACCATAAGTTCCCTGAAACTATAAGTTCCCTGAAGACTGAGAACATCTGCCTGGTACAGTCCCTAGGGTCTAGGCCAGGTGCTCAGTAAATGAGCTGAAACTGATGATGCAATACAAAATAAGGCTTAGTAGACAAGATGGGCAAGTATCTCAAAGACTAATAATACCCACTGCTGGGAGTGTCTGCTATGACGGTGTCACAGGGGGGGCAGGGGTGGTCCCGTGGCATCATTACATTCTGCGACCCCACTGGTTGACCTAGCAGGTCCACTCCTAGGAATGATCCCACAGAAAGTTGTATGTGTACAGAGACTTTTGGAACAAGGGTATTCCCTACGGCAAGGATGGTAACAGATGAAAACTAGAAACAATCTAAGTCCCTATCAGGGGAACTCTTGAATAAATGATGGGATCGAGCTTGACAATGGGCCACAGGCAGCCGCTAGACAGAGTTTTTGTGTGGATGCTGTGGAAAAAGATCCCAAAATGAGGTGGTGAAAGTTGACTTCTGACACTACACATGGTATGATCCCACTCACGGGAACAAAGGTGCAGACCTGTCCATCCCAGTGAATGGACGTGAAAACACAGAAAAGGTAGGGAGGATATTGTGGGGGGTAGAATGATAGCCCCCCAAAGTCTTCCACATTCTACTCCCAGGATCTGTGACTACATCATGTTACGTGGCAAAGAGGAATTCAGGCTGCAGAGGGAATTAAGTTGCTAATCAGCTGACCTTTAAATCGGGAGATTATCCCAGATTATCTCTCAAGCCCAGTGTAATCACAAGGGTCCTTAAAAGTGGACGAAGGGAGCAGAAGTGAAGAGTTCAAGGGAGGTGTGACCAGGAAGGGATGGTCAGAGTGATGTGGCGGGAGAAGGACTCAACGTCCCCTCTGCAGGCTTTGAAGATGAAGGAAGGGGCTGAGAGCCAAGGGATGCGGGTGGCCACCAGAAGCCACAGAAGGCAAAGGATACAACGGGTGCCTGCCTCGGCTGCCCATGCCTCGGCTGCAGCACAGCAAGACCCGCATTAGATTTCTTGCCTACAGAAGCGTGAGGTAATACGTGTGCATTATTTAGGCAGCTGTGGTGACAGGTTACAGCTGCCACCAGAAACTGATAGGCAGGCAGCAGCAGCCACCAACGGGACCCCGGGGTGGCAGCTGGCAGCGGAAGGAGTGTGGGGGTGTTGATTTCCACCCTTTCAGTTTGTTTAAATTATTTTTGAAAATGTAAACCTTTTTTTTTGATAATTAAAAAAATGTTTAAGGTCATTAAAAAGGGAAGGGGAAGAAGAGCCAGGGAAGAAACTGAGGCACAGAGGGCCAGATGAGGGACTGTGTCTCCCCCCCCCACAGGCCACCTCCCCGCCTCACCGGCAGCCACACCTGTGCTGCAGGGGATAATTATTTACTTATTTATTTATTTATTTATTTATTTGAGAGGAGTCTCGCTCTGTCGCCCAGGCTGGAATGCAGGGGCTGGATCTCAGCTCACTGCAAGCTCCGCCTCCCGGATTTACGCCATTCTCCTGCCTCAGCCTCCTGAGTAGCTGGGACTACAGGCGCCCACCACCATGCCCAGCTAGTTTTTTGTGTTTTTTAGTAGAGACAGGGTTTCACCGTGTTAGCCAGGATGGTCTCGATCTCCTGACCTCGTGATCTGCCCATCTCGGCCTCCCAAAGTGCTGGGATTACAGGCTTGAGCCACCGCGCCCAGCTGCAGGGGATGATTTGATAGAAGAGCGAGGGCCAAGAGCTTTATGTGGGGACAGGGGTGGCTGTCCCCTGGCTTCTGTTCCTGCCCTCTATGTGTCTCCTGGCTAAGGACAACAGAACACAGCTTTCAACCTCAGAGGGGGGTCTTCATCCTGGCTGCGCCTTGGAGTAAACCTGAACAAACCCCTTGCCCCCTCTGAGTTTCAGTCTTGGCGTCTGTAAAGGAGGCCTCGCAGGACCAGCCCCCGAGGCTCCCTGGGCACGGGAACCCTGTACACAGAGGGAGTCGGTATGCCAGCACCCACCACTGTGAAGCCCAGCAATGTGGGGGTGGGCACTGCTCTTCTGCAAAGGGCCAGACCAGGCAGGCAGACCCGGCAGCTCAGGGGTGCAGGGGCTGACATCAGGAGGTGGGACTCAGCTGACAAAGAGGGGCTCCTAGGCGGCCAGGGGCTGCTCTCTCACCTACCTTCCTGAGTGGCCCAAGGTGTCCTGATCCTGACTGCCACCTCTGACATGGACATCAGAGAAGATAAAGAAATGCCTCATGTCCCCCACTGCAATAGGGTTCTCTTTACCAGACATCCAGTGGGTGAAGCCCCAGACCACTCAACAGCTGTCCTGCAGCAGCAAGCCCCCAGCCCCTGAAGGCAGGGCACCCACTCAGCCTGAGATACCAGCTGGGGAATCCCTCCCAGCTGTCACTCCGCCAGGTCCACCAAGTTTCCAGCCGCCTCCTCCCATGCCTGAGGGTGACACAGATGACTCAGCACCTCTTCTCTGCCGCCCTCCACATCTGGGGTCACTCCTCCACCTGCCTGGTCTTCAGTTCTGTTTCCCAGTTATTCCCTTCTCCCCTCCCACCTGCTCCCCCTGCCCACCCCACCTAACGGGACGAAACACTGACAGACTTTGATGCGCCCAATGGGGCACCTGGGAACCAGAACGCCTGGACCCCAGACACAGGTTTGCCTATAGCTCAAAGGTCACACCCTTCTGTGGGCGTCAGTTTTGCCACCTGTAAGCTGAGAAGCCAAAGCAGTGCCTTTTAAACTTCATAGTAGTGGCAGAGCCTTTATCCAAAGGAAATCTGAAGCTGGCTCTATGAGTAAAACGGACAAAGACGGGCCAGTGCAGTGGTCACATCTGTACCCCCAGCACTTCGGGAGGCCAAAATGGGAGAAGCACTTGAGCCCAGGAGTTCAAGACCAGCCCGGGCAACATAGTGAGTCCTTGTGTCTACAAAAATTTTTTTTAATTAGCCAGGCATGGTAGTGTAGCCTGTGGGCTGAGGTGGGAAGATTGCTTGAGCCCTAGAGTTCAAAGCTGCAGAGAGCCTCTGTGCCACTGCACTGCAGCCTAGGTGCCAGCGAGAGACCTCATCTCTACAACAATTAAAATAAATAAAATGGAGGAAGATGAAGCCGCTCTGACTATAGGTGGGTACGAATAGGTCCCAGCCCCTCCCACCCAGAAAGCAGCTCCTGGAGCTTCTTAGAGCAGAGCGCAGGCAGAAGCCCCCTGGCTGGGGGCCTCGGAGGTCCTCCCACCTGCTTCAGCTGTGGTGTTGGGCCCCCAACTCCCCTGTCTGCCTCAGGGTGGGGGACTACAGGGCACAACACTGGCTCCTCCCTGCCCCTCCCTAGGACAAGGTAAGCCCCCAGGCGCGCCCTCTGTGTCCCACCCCAACTCCCCTGCCTACTCCTCTATCAGTGGAACCTCCATCCACTACTTGGCCCCAGGATGGTCTCCAGGCTTCCCTGTAGCAGCAGCCCCAGCCTCAGGGCCCCCAGAGGCCCCTTTGCCTTCTGTAGCACCGGCCATCCAGTCCTCAATTCTCCTTCCTCCATACCCTTGACATTCACCCTCCTTCAGCCATTTCCTAACACCTTACACCTGGCCCTCTCCCAACCCCCTCCACTCTGACATCACTTTCCTGATGTCACTGTCTGACCCCAAACCTCTGAAAGTCTGTGGAATGAGCTGCTTTTTGTTTGATTTGTTCTTTTTGTTGTTGTTTTTAGATAGAGTCTCACTGTCGCCCAGGCTGGAGTGCAGTGGCAGGATCTCAGCTCACTGCAACCTCTGCCTCCCAGGTTCAAGCGATTCTCCTGCCTCTGGAGAGTGGGGATTACAGGGGCCCACCACTGTGCCCTGATAACTTTTGTACTTTTTTTTTTTTTTTTTTTGAGACGGAGTCTTGCTTTGTCGCCCAAACTCACAAAGTGGCCATATCTCAGCTCACTGCAAGCTCCGCCTCCCGGGTTTACACCATTCTCCTGCCTCAGCCTCCCGAGTAGCTGGGATTACAGGCACCCGCCACCTCGCCCTACTAGTTTTTTGTATTTTTTAGTAGAGACGGGGTTTCACCGGGTTAGCCAGGATGGTCTCGATTTCCTGACCTTGTGATCCGCCCATCTCGGCCTCCCAAAGTGCTGGGATTACAGGCTTGAGCCACCATGCCCGGCCTGTACTTTTTTTTTAGTAGAGACAGGGCTTCACTATGCTGGCCAAGCTGGTCTCGAACACTCGACCTCGAGTGATCCACCTATCTCACCTCCCAAAGTGCTGAGATACAGGTGTTAGTCACCATGCCAGGCCAGAGCTTCTAACTCTTAGCTCAGCACTGAAGGCCTCCACAACAGACACGAACCAGCCTTCCTTCTCATGCCCCAGCCAATGCCTTCCTGAGAGCCCCCTCACGACGTGACCTCCCCTTGGAAACTTCTAGAAGCCTCCTCCTGCCTAGGGCCTGGATCTCAGCCTTCTTTTCTGTTGCCAGGCTGGAGTGCCATGGCACGATCTTGGCTCACTGCAACCTGGGCCTCCTGGGTTCCAATGATTCCCCTGCCTCAGCTTCCCAAGTAGCTGGGACTAGAGGTGCGCACCACCACACCCGGCTAATTTTTTGTATTTTATTAGAGACAGGGTTTCACCATGTTGGCCAGGTTGGTCTCGTTCTCCTGACCTCGTGATCCGCCCACTTCGGCCTCCCCAAAGTGCTGGGATTACAGGCATGAGCCACTGTGCCTGGCCCCTTCTTTTCTACTTTAGATAATGGTGTGATAGGTGTGATAACTACAGACAGCTGATTGTCAAATTTTTAGGAATTATGTGATGTAGTTGTTAAGCACAGCCATTAAAAATTAAATTTATATACTTATAATTAAATTAACTACATTAAAGACAAGGTAATAGATGCTCAAATTTATTACTTCCTAATTATTTCACTGTGTTTTATTATGCATGCTCTTGGGGTCAATCACATCTACTGTATCTGCATGGTGGAAATCCTATTGGATAGTGTGACATCTCTTCCCAACTCTGTGTCCAGGGACTTTGTGCTGGAAATGCAGCATTGGCCACAGTGGGAGTATTTACACTGCAGAATTGGTAAACATTACACATCAGGGCTTGATTTATTGTTTTGTTGACTGTCTAGACTTAATCAAGTGATAAGAAAATGTTAATAATGCAGATTAAACTTAAAAGTGTGTCATATCTATAACCATTACATTGTAAATAGAACACAAAATTGCAAAAATATTCTTAATAGAAAATTCTCAAGTATTCTCAGTAAAAAACTACTATCCGATTTAGCAAAGAAGTCACTCACAACATGGAACAGTAATGTTTCGACAAATGTCTTCTCATCTTACTCATTACCATAAACAAAAGTGTCAACCAGTGTACATGTTAAAAGAACCCCCGTTTGTTAATTAGTTGTGGATACAAGAGTATGGAAAAATCACTGAAAGCATTCTGAGAAAAATCCATTTGCTATATGAAATTCACAATAAAATTATATATTTTTTATTTGTAAATTGTGTACTAAGCATTGTTTTTATTGGTAAAATGTACAATAAACTCATCTATGTGTACACACACACGTTTTTTTCTAGAGAGTTAGTTTGCCCTAGTTGTGACAACCAAAAGTGTTCCCAGACACAGCCTAATGTCCCCAAGGGGGACAAAATGGACCCCATTGAGAACCACTGTCCTAGGCAGACAGTGCGTTCTCTGAGGGCCACTGGAGGCTCTCCTGTCCCGCAGACCTCCTTGAGTGGGGCCTGGCCTGCTGGGCGTCAGTAAGATTTCCCTGTGTTCAGGGAGTGACTCTCGGGGCCACTGGCCCCGAACTTCCCCGGGGCAAGGGTCCAAGTGCAGAGTGTCACACGGGGACTCACACACAGGCTCTGCAGTCAGCCGGACCCTCGCTCAAATCCCACCTTTGACACCTGCAGGCAGGGTGACCTCAGGCAAGTCACATAACCTCTCAGAGCTCAGTGGCCTTGTCTGTAAAATGGGCACAGTGATCACGCCCACCAGCTGTGGGAAGAGTAAATGAGATGACACATGTCAAATGCCCCACACCTGGGTTCCAGCACACACAGGAAGGGCTCCCAAAATCTCAGCTGTTTCCTGATAACACAGCAACCAGAAACCTGCCCCTCCCCCTGAAAAACAGCCCCTGGCCTTACCTGTGAGATGTAGCCCGGGGGGATGTGGCCGTCCTCCTGGGATCTCGGTGCACTCTGAGGTGCCTCCCCTTGGAGACGCCACGCCTCCAGCTGGGCCCGAAGAGCCTGAACCTATGAGAGAGGAGGGTGGTCAGTGGGGCCTGGAAGCTGGGGCAGGGCTGGTGGAAGGCAGTGAGGAGCCACAGGCTTCCAGCTCCACACGGATACAAGCCCAGCATCCCTGGAAGGCGTAGGAATGGCTCAGGGTTTGAGAAGAGCAAGCAGCCCTGGAGTGAGATGTGGCCAGGGGACATGCTGGGCTGTTTCCTGGATGGCCAGGTCAATGACCTGGGAGAACCTTGGCCCAGAGAAGACTAGACAGGGTGAGGAACAGGAAACTATCGTCACAGATGTTTACACATCATGTAGGTGACAAAGGAAACATCTTGGAGCCTCAGTTTTCCCGTCAGTAAAACTGCTGAGGTCTACCCTAGTGGTAGAGGCCACTATGAGGATTCCATGAGTCAGTGCAGGCAGGGAGGTCATGTGCAGCAGACACACAATAAACGGCTTCTCCCTTCTTTTTTTTTTTTTTTTTTTTTGAGACAGTCTGGCTCTATTGCCCATGCTAGAGTGCCATGGCTTGATATCGGCTCAGTGTACCCTCTGCCTCCCAGGCTCCAGCCATCCTCCCACCTCAGCCTCCCAAGTAGCTGGGACTACAGGTATGCACCAGCATGCCCAGCCAAATTTTGTATTTTTTTGTAGACATGAGGATTCGCCATATTGCACAGACTGGTCTCAAACTCTTGGCTTCAAGTGACCCTCCCACCTTGGCCTCCCAAAGTGTTAGGATTACAGGTGTGAGCCACAGTGCCTGGCAGGTCTCTCACTTCTCTTCCCACTTCCCTTCTCTATGGCAGCTAAGGGCAGAACAGGGAAAAAAAAAAACCAAATTACTAAGGTCTAAGGAAGAAGATTCTAGTTCGCAGGAGTGTGGGGTACACACTCACAGATTAGGGGTGAGCTCCCCATCACTGTAGGAGTGCAAGACAAATACCAGGGTGTGAATGCAGGGACTGGAGGGATGTGGGGGCAAGGGGCCTCCTAGAGAACCAGCGTGGTGCCTACCTCCTTCTCCAGTGCCTCGTGGCTGTCACTTGAGGGCCCTCGGCGCTCTCCGCGGCTTTGGTTGAGCAGGGCAGTAAGGGGCACCCGCTTATTCTCCCGCAGGGGCAGCTTCTCCAGCTCCTGCCACTTCTTCTCGATCTCCTCACTGAGCCGGTTTTGCTGGTCCTCAGTCAGGGGGGCACCCAGGCCCCGGCGCAGCCCCTCACCAGCGGGCACCTCTGGGGTCCTGCTGTCTGTGGCCTCAAACCACTTGCGTCGCTCCTCGGAGCGCTGGGCCAGGTCCCGCTCCAGCTCCTCCTGCTTGGCCAGGCGGACAGGAGTGCGGGCCGGGGTGCGGGCCCGCTGCGGGGGGGCCTGGGTCAGTGGGGAGAGCTCCACGTAGTCCAAGGCCTGCCGCTGCCCATCTGCCTTCCGAGGGCCACCCCGGCTGACGACCTCAACGCCCGCCCGCTGCTCCCCTGCCTTCAGGGGGCCCTTCTGGGTGCCGTAGTTGTGCAGCGCGTTCTCCTTATTACAGTCCGAGAGCCTAGGGCACCAGCAGAGCCACGTCAGGTGGGTCCTCACTCCTGAGTCCCGCAATGAGCACTTTCGGAGCGACACCTGTGTGTCCGGCCCTGTGCCAGGGGCTGGAGACAGACCCCAGGGAAGGAAGCAGCCTGACCTAAGCTTCCTGGTTAACAGAGCCCGGGAACTTCCCAGCTCCACCACTCCACAGCCCAGGGACCCACCAGGATGCCTGGCTTCCCTCGACCCCTCTTGTTTCTGTTTCTCAAGGAACAGGGTCTCACTCTGCTGCCCAGGCTGAAGTAGAGTGGTGTGATCCTAGTTCACTGCAGCCTTAAATTCCTTAGTTCAAGTGATCCTCCTGCCCTGGCCTCTGAAGTAGCTGGGACTATAGAAAGGCACCACCATGCCCAGCTAATTTGTTAAATTTTTGATAGAGATGGGGTCTCAGTATACTGCCCAGGTTGATCTTGAACTCCTGGGCTCACGTGATCCTCCCACCTCAGCCTCCCAAAGCTCTGGGATTACAGGCTCACGTGAGCCACCACGCTGGTCTCTTTGCCCTCTTTGAGCTGCAGTGACCTCATCTGTAATGTGGGACAGCAGTGCCTCTCACAGGATGGATGTGAGGACCGGGTAGGCGAATGTGGAAAGCAGGCAGAGGGCTTTTTGCAAATGGTGATCAAGGAGTTGGTGTAGGACACGATGTCCCGGGTTCCCAAGGCTCACAGTGGCAAGGGGGATGCCCACAGTCACTGCTGATGGGGTGAAGGCAGGGACCTCGGGGTGCAGAGAACACAAGTTGTGGCGACTCTGAACAACTATGGCAGTTCTCTTTATCCACAGTCATAGCTGGGTACGTGGTCACCCTGCCAAAAACTACACTCGCAGTGTTCCCAGAGCTACCTGTAGCCACGTGACTGATAGGCTGCCAAGTGGGTGCGGCATGTGGCTCCCCTGAAAGGGCAGAGCGAGCCCCACCAGGCCAGGACTGCATACCTCCCTCGGGGCTGTTCTGAAGGGACACATAAACATCTGTCTCAATTAAGCAACTGTGCCCGGGGTTTCTTTCTTAAAGCAGCTGGGCCTATACACTAAGTAACAGTCCAACTCACTGCACTTCAGAGTACACAAAGTGCTCTGGGCACATCCTCGCACATGTGCAGACATGACACACTAACATGACAGATGGGGACTCTGAAACCTAGACGGGAAAGCCTCTGGCCTAAGGCTGAATAGCCACGGTGTGGCCAGGCTGGGGGACTCGGCCTCCAGGTTCAGATGATCCTCCCACCACGGCTGGCTAATTTTTAAATTTTTTGTAGCGACGAGGTCTCACTATATTGCCCAGGCTGGTCTTGAACTCCTGAGTTCAAGTGATCCTCCTGTCTCAGCCTCCCAAAGCGCTGGGATTACAGGTGTGAGCCACCACACCCAGCCCAGCCCCCTTTAATACCATACTGTGTTCCCACTGCCCAGCAGCTCCAAGTCCCAGCACCCCATGGGCATCTGGGGTATATACAGTGGGGGACTCTGCCACTGGGTAACTCAGCCCTCCTGCCCCAGTGCCCGTGGCAACCTCCAGAGGGAGTGAGCTCCTCATCCTGGGAGGCGTGGGCTCCAAGGCCGAACTACCTAACCACCCCTTCCCAACACAGGCTTAGACACGGCCCCCACGGCACAGAGACAGAACAGCCACCTGGCAGGGGCTTTTGACTCACAGGCATCTCCACCAAACAGAAGAGGCCCCATCACATTTGAGGAGGCAGATCAAACCTCAAACCCTCAGCATACTTCTGGATGATACTGAGAATGCTCACTGCTCTCTTCCCATGTTGTTGACAGAGAAACGAGGGCCCAGAATGTGCAGTCCTCAGGTGAGTGCCTAGAAACCCACTCAGGGATGCAACGGAAAGTGCCTCCCCCAAGGACCCAGTCCAGCTTAGTACGTACTTGGTGACATCTGGGGCTGAAGTTGGACGCACGGTCTTTCTCAGAGCCTCAATCCAGTTCCGCCGGATGCCTGAGGTCATGGCCGACAAGGTATAGACAGCATCCTTGGTCTGTAAGGCCACCACACAGGTAGGTTGCCACATGGCCAGCCGCATGACTCCCTCCCCACTATGGACCCCGGGAGGGCGGCCCTTCCTTCCAAAGGGGCATCTAAGGTCTTGAGTCTGGGGTGGGCACGGGGTACAAAACCTCCCTTCCATTGGCCTGGGAAGAGCCCTGCCGGCTCCAGCGTCTCCCCTAGATACGCTAAGTGTTGGCATCACAGCTCTGTTTGGCTTTGAGGACAGAGCCTCTGGGTAAATGAGTGATAGGGATCCAGTCTCCATGGTGAGCCATGTTCAATACCAAAACCTCCCTCAGGGGCCTCCAGCCACGCTGCCCACCACCAGCCCCAAGCTGCACGCAGCCTCACGTGGATCTGGAAGCCATAGTTGCGCTGCACCGCGTACTCAGTGACATCCGTGCAAGAACGCAGGTCGATCTCACCATCCAGCTCGTCTGCCTGGAGCATGAGGGCCCACTATGGTCCGTGTGGGCCCTGGTGTGACCCACCCCAGTGACCCCAGCCAGGCCACCCCAGGCCCTTCTCGGGGTTCATCAGTACACCCATGGCCTCACCTCCTCAGCAGTGGAGTCTCTGTAATATTTGAGACTTGAATCTGTCAGCACAAACCAATGTTTCTTCCACTGGGAAGTAGAGGTGGTGGTGAGCGAAGGGGAGGGAGGCTGTAAGGAGGATGGAATGAAAGAGCCAGTGTGTGCGATTGTACAGGTGTCCTGCGTGGCTGCCAAACTCACTATTCTGCACACAGGAAGGGTGAGGAAGCAGAAAATGCCGATTTGAGACCTGGCCCCTCCATTTCCTCTCTGAGCCTCAGGGGTAGCATCTGTGAAATGGGTTGGCTTCCCCTCCGTAACCACACCCCCCTGTTCCTTCCTGGAGCCCCTTTTAAGACCGCCAAGGCTCCTCAGGCACCCTGGACCCAGTGCAGACAGGGAGGGGTGATGATCTGTGTAAGCAAGTCAGGGACTCGGTGGGGCCAGGATGTCACGTCTTTTTCCATATTCCCCCAGATCACCACCATGGTCAGGGACAAAGGTCCCCCGGGAAGTAGGACTGGACGGAGCCCCAGGTAGGAGTGAGTGCCAGGCACGATCTGCTGCTTTTTTTTTTTTTTTTTTTTTTTTTGAGACGGAGGAGTTTTGCTCTTGTTGCCCAGGCTGGAGTGCAACGGTGCAAACTCCACTCACTACAACCTCCACCTCCTGGGTTTAAGTGATTCTCCTGTCTCAGCCTCCTGAGTAGCTAGGATTACAGGCGCCTGCTGTCATGCCCGGCTTTTTGTATTTTTAGTAGAGACGGGGTTTCACCATGTCAGCCAGGCTGGTCTCGAACTCCTGGCCTCAGGTGATGCACCTGCCTTGGCCTCCCAAAGTGTTGGGATTACAGGCGTGAGCCACCGCGCCCGGCCACATGGTCTGCTTCTTGATCTGTAGGCTGGCTACCCACATCCGCAGCGGGTGAGAGTGCACTAACCTGTATGTTTAGGATTTGTGATTGGGTGCCTTCCTGCAGTGCCTGTCTCTGCTCCAGCTGGGGTTAGATTGGCAGGACACGTAGGAAAGGGGTGGGGGTGCCAGAACAGCCCGATATTATGCCAAGCCCAGCCCACCTCTAGGCTTCTGGTCACTCCACTGGAATGCCAGTTGCGGCCTGCCCACTGCCAGGTCAGCGCATGTCACCCGGTCCCCAGCCCTCCCGGAGTTCCCTCACATCACCAAGCCCTGTCTGTGCTGTTGGTTGTTTCAAGTACTTAGTTTTCTCTCCTCAAGAAGATGGTAAGTTTTCAAGGGGCATACAAGGAAGGATGATATTTTCTGCTTCTTTCCACATTGCCTCCCTGAGAAAAAGAGTTTTGTACCCAAGAGTTCCCTTTTTCGCTGTGTGCCTTTAGGCAAGTGTCTCCACTTTTCTGAGCTTCAGTCTTCTGAACTGTAAAGTAGGGCTACTAAGAAGTCCCCGAAGCCGGGCGTGGTGGCTCGCGCCTACAATCCCAGCACTTTGGGAGGCTGAGGAGGATGGATCATCTGAGGTCGGGAATTTGAGACCAGCCTGACCAACATGGAGAAACCCTGTCTCTACTAAAAATACAAAAAAAAATTAGATGGGCCTGGTGGCACATGCCTGTAATCCCAGCTACTCGGGAGGCTGAGGCAGGATAATCGCTTGAACCTGGGAGGTGGAGGCCACAGTGAGACGAGATTGCACTATTGCACTCCAACCTGGGCAACAAGAGTGAAACTCTGCCTCAAAAAAATAAAAATAAAAAAAAAAGAAGTCCCTACACCTTCTGGTGAGGTGAGCAGTGCCTAACCCTCTCTTGTGTGTATGGCTGTCATGCCGTTGGCATAGGGATGGACATCAGGTTGTTGGGTTTGTTCTGGGAGGCCAGGCCTCTTAGAAGCATTTTGCTCTCACTAAGTAAACGGAGTTGCTGCTGCAGACCTCAATTGCCTCTCTGTAAAGTAGGACAGGAGTTCTATGCCAAGTGGTTTCTTTAGCTCTTCCAGGCCTAGCCTATGAGTGTCTGAGATGGAAGCTGGGTGGAGCTCCATGGACCTCAGGTGCGCTGAGTTCTGAGCCTGGGTCTGTCCCAGGTGCTCCTAGGCCTGGAAGAGACCAACACCCTCATGGGCCCGTCTCCTGTCTGTGCACCAAGGGGTTGGGCTGGCTGAACTCCCAGGGCCCTTCCAGTTCGGACATTCCAGAACCCTGTGATAGAGGATGAGTAATGGCCAGCTCTGGGTGGGGCCTGTAATCCCTCTGCCCTCCGGGGACCCTGGGTGGGGAGGCCAGGAAGGGGTCACTGGCGGGGTGCCGGGCTTTGTGTGAGCCTAGAGAGCAGCCGCCAGGGACGGCGGGCAGGCAGCGGGTAGGGAAGGCTGTGGGCTGGAGGGAATAAAACATGTGGGCCGGAAACACAATGAAATCCCCTCTGGCTCGGAGCCCTCTCCGGTATGCAGGCTGCACGCAGACCGGAGCGGCAGGCGCATGCAGGGCAGGGGTGGGGAGACGCTCCCGCCCAGGCAATGTGGGCAGGGAGCCAGCCTGGCAGCCAAAAGAACAGAGCTGGGGAAACGGCCACTGTCTTTGCTGGTTCCAAGGACACATATGCCAGAGGAAGGGAAGGGTCTTTTTTTTTTTTTCTTTTTTTGAGACGGAGTCTCGCTCTATCGCCCAGGCTGGAGTGCAGAGGCCGGATCTCAGCTCACTGCAAGCTCCGCCTCCTGGGTTTACGCCATTCTCCTGCCTCAGCCTCCCGAGTAGCTGGGACTACAGGCGCCCGCCAACTCGCCCGGCTAGTTTTTTGTATTTTTTTAGTAGAGATGGGGTTTCACTGTGTTCGCCAGGATGGTCTCAATCTCCTGACCTCGTGATCCGCCCGTCTCGGCCTCCCAAAGTGCTGGGATTACAGGCTTGAGCCATCGCGCCCGGCCTACAGGGAAGGGTCTTTAGCTGAGCCCACAGTAAGTGCCAGGAGCTGTGTGGCACCTGTACGTGCTTGATCTCTGTGACCTTGTTATCCATTCAGGAAAGAATCGCCATTATTTATTATGCCCATGTCACAGATGTGGCCACTGAGGCCTAGAGGAGGCTTTGACTCAACCAGTGTGGTTTCAGGTGGGTGAAACCCCAGCGCCTGTGCCGAGCCCCACCTCCTCAGGCCAGGCTTTGTGAATCTGTGTCTCGGGCCAGACGGCTTCTATGAGACCTTCCACCCAAGACCCTTGACTCCCAGCCAGGCTCCTACTGAGGTGGGAGGGCCAAGAGACCCTTGATGAAATCAAGGGATGGGACACTGGGTGTGAGGGGCTAGACGGCCCCTTGCTGTGATCCCTTTTACACACTGCAGACTGCCCCAGGAGGCAGAAGCCTGATAGGCAGCCTCTGCCCCTCCCAGCCCCACCCAGCCCCACCCCCACTCCTGGGCTGCTCAGGGGACCAGCAGCGGCACAAGCCAGTCTCTCCCCATCCCCCCTCGTCCTCTTACCTCTCCAGGCTCATCCAAGATTGACATCCATCCCTTCTTGAAGTTGAGCAGATCGGGCTGTGGGGAGATGAGGAGGGAGGTGAGTAGGGCCCAGCAGGAAGCCAACAGGGGCTGGTGAGGGGGGTGTGCTGCACCCACCCTGTCCCCAAGTCCTGTGGGACCAAGCTCCTGGGAAGCCAGCCAAGAGGGCTAAAGGCCTAGGTAACCCCCCAAGTCCAAGCAGGCCTCCCAGCCACTGAGGCAGCCCTGCCCCCTTTCCTGATAGTGGCACTCGGAGAGCTGAGAAGTTGGGCTGGGTGGCTGGCACACACACCCAGATGTCCCAGGGGCCTCTCTCCAGCTGACCCCTCACCCAAGAGTGGGAGAGAGGGGCTGGGAGGACTCTGCCTGTATAGAGACCCCCTGAGAGCTCAGAGGGCAGTCCAGACCAGCAGCACTGTGCGAACTGTCCAGTTCCTCCCTCTGATGAGGACCAGGTACCCCACAGACCCTTCCATGGGCCCGCCAGTCCTGCCCTTTCCTTGGCTCCAGGAGACTATGGGAGGTGAAGCCAGTCGCAGGCTGGGGTCAGAAACCCTCTGGTCCCCACCTAGATCTCTTTGGGAAAGATCAGTCCTGGCAAGCCCTACCTTCCGGGTGTTGCCCAGAGGGGCACAGCCCCGGGGTCTGGGGGCTGCCAGCTGCAGCATGTCCCATGGGGACCTGTGTCAGGCACCCTAACCCAGGCCTAGATAAAGAAGTTGCTCATCCTGGCATTTTTCTGACCATGCTTATCTAGTGGATGCCAACCAGCAGACCCTGCCTTCCTGCTGGGGAGACCTCTCTCATCTAAGTCCCGGTCCCTCTGCAGCCTCCGCTCCTGACACCGGCAGGGAGGAGGTGGCCACCTGTTGCCATGGCTCTGAGCCTACCTATCAGCCCCTACATCGAGGCCTCACCGGGCCAAGGTGTCTGGTTGCGTGCAGAGAGAGGGTGGCATGGCTCAGTGGGGTGGGCGGTGACAGTGGCAGCTGGAAACCAGAGCCACCTTGCCTGGCCACCTCTCCCGACCCACCCTCCTCCCATGGAGCCCCTTCTCAGGTACAGGAAGTGGACCAAGGGGGGCTTGGGGCAGCTGAGGATCCAGAATCCCCCACAGCTACAGTCGGGGGACCCAGCAGGTTGGCATCCCAGCCCCGCCCTGCATACCTGTGTAAGGGAGAGACAGAGGCTCTGCTCAGAGCCGAGAACCCCTGGGGCTGCATTTGTCCCGCTGCTCTGTATTCTGCCCACCCCATCTTCCACCTGAGACAGAGGCTGCCCAGGGCGATCCTAAGCTAAGAACGAAGATTGGTGACCACACCTGGCTCCACTTCCCCTCAGTCTCGGACCTCCTGTGGCCCCAGGGCCTTGCAGGGGCTTGACCACAGCAAGGCTCAGGAAAAACTTGCTGAGGAAATATCTACCCCCTGGTCTAAATTTCTGTGCTTTTTAGGCCATCTCCCCAACCCCCACCTCGCCCGGAGGAGCTAGGCTTCCTGGGCCCACAGAGCTGGTACCACTGGGCAGCCCCAGGCGAAAGTCCCTGGGCCAGGGCTGGGAGATCAGGGCAGCAATGACAGGCTGTCAGGCTGAAACCTCTAGGGCTGCCTGGGAAGTGGAGTCGCTGTGACCTTCCTAAGTCACATCCCCCTCTCTGAGTCCTGGCTGCCTGATGTGGCAAATGATGAGGCAGTCCTCCCCTCCCGCAGCTTCCGACAGGACTGAACGTGTCTGTACAAGGAGAAGCCTGGTGATCCTCCAGAGCCCAGTACAGACACACCACATACCATGTCAGGCACGCCATGACACAGTGACCTTGGGGATAGAAGGTCACCAATTTGAGTTTTGTTGAGACAGGGCCCTGCTCTGCTGCCCAGACTGGAGTGTGGCGGTGTGATCACAGCTCACTGCTGACTCAACCTCCCCGACTCAAGCGATCCTTCCACCTCAGCTTCCAAGTAGCTGGGACGACACAGGCACTCCACCATGCTCAGCTAATTGTAATTATTTGTTTTTGTTTTTGTTTTTTTTTGTAGAGATGGGGTCTCCCTATGTTTCCCAGGTTGGTCTCAAACTCCTGGGCTCAAGTGATCCGCCCACCCCGGCCTCCAAAAATGCTGGGATTACAGGTGTGAGCCAATGTGTCCCGTCAACCAATGTGTTTTTAAACTGGCAGGGAAACCTGTCCCCAGGTTCAAAAGGTCCGATCATCTAAATCTCACATGATGCCCCTTTGTACAGGGCTCTTCAGTCCCAGCTACCTCTTCTTCACCTGCTAGAAGCTCAGTTTCTCCTTCTGCCTTTCGGAAGCACTGACAGGTTCTCACAGCCCCACCTCCTACCTAGCCAGGGACACAGCCCCTCTACGCACCCACGGGCTGGTGAGAGTCACTCAAAAAGGCTTGGTATCCCAGGCTTGCTTAACAGTTCCAGGGATGGCTCCAGGTGGCTTTATTTATTTATTTTGAGACAGAGTCTCTGCTGCCCAGACTGGAGTGCAATGGCACCATCTCGGCTTACTGAAACCTCCACCTCCTGGATTCAAGCATTTCTCCTGCCTCAGCCTCCCAAATACCTGAGATTACAAGCGCCCGCCACCATGCCCAGCGAATTTCTGTATTTTTAGTAGAGACGGGTTTTCACCATGCTGGTCAGGCTGGTCTCGAACTCCTGACCTCAAGTGATCCATCCCCCCTCCTCGGCCTTCCAAAATGCTGGGATTACAGGCACACATGAGCCACCACACCTGGTCTCCAAGTGGCTTTAAAACAAAGTCCAGCTGCCTCAGGACGGCAGGGAAGCCTCATCACACTCTTCCAGCCTAGCCTCCCCTTGCTGAGGGGCCTGTGTTTATACCACTGCATAGTCCTTGCTGATCACAACACACCAGGACTGTGGGCCCTTCACACGTGCCGTGTCCTTGGCCTGAAATACTAGACTTCCTCCTCCTCTGATGACCAGGCAAGCCCCTACTCAGACCTTAAGACTCAGTTTAATGGCCACCTCTGAGGTCCCTTCACAGTCCATGCCACTCACCGTACCACCAGTGGCCCCTGTCTGCCCTCCCACAGCCCCTCTCAGAGGCCTCTGTTGCATCCGTGACTATTTTGAGGCACTTTACTTATCCTTCACAGGCTAGACTAGATGCAACTCAGTCAGGGCCACACACTGTTTACCTGCCAGGACCCAGCACAGATGGGGCTCAGGGTGTGTCTGCAGAATTTTTTTTTTTTTTTTTAAAGCATCAGGCACTGTTCTAGGCCAGGAAATTAGCTGTGACCAAGAGCTGTGGCCCCTGCCCTGGTGGACTGCAGGAAACAGTAAACAAGGGACCAAATCTAATTTGATGCCCAGCAGGCAAGGGGGAAGGCTGCTCCAGGAGTAAAGCTGCACCCAGGCAAAGGCAAAAGGAGTGGAAGAGGATCCCGGCTCCCTGAAGCCCTGGAGCCTCACATGGTCACACACCTGTGCCACTTGCCCTGTATGAATCCCTGACTCAGGGCACCGGGGCGAGGGGAGGAGGGTGTGAGGCGGATACAGGAAGAGCACCAGCTGAGAGCAGGCTGAGGTCTGCACGGCAGCCAGGATGAACTCATTGAACACTATTAATGGTGATCATAGCCTCCTCTCTGCTCTAAAACCTTTCATGGCTCCCTATTGCCCCTGACCAAGCCCTAGCAGTGAGGCCCTCCTCCCACCCTCTCTTCCACCTGAGACAGAGACTGCCCAGGGCGATCCTAAGCTCTTGCTACTTCTCAAACACAACCACCCGCTTCTGTCCACACTGCTGTCTCCCCGCTAGTCCATCTCCACCTGACGAAACCTTATAATCACAGGAGGACACCTCCCTCGGGAAGGCTCCTGCCACCGACAGGGATGTGCTGTCCGTCCTCCAAGCACCCCACACACTGCTTCTGACAGCCTTACCCTTGCTCAGAACGTGCTGCCCCCAGGACAGGCAACTGTGAAAGAAAGCTGGAACGGACCTGGACACAAATTCTGGCTCAGCCTGGGACTCACTAAGCTACCTGGGGCATGACACTTCACCTCACCACACCTTGGTTTCCTCATCTGTTTGATGAAGATGTTACTACCAACCTTCAAGGCTCAAATCTGGTAACGTGAAAGCACACGGCTAAGGGCCAGGCAGGCAGGTGGTGGGCACTTGGGCACAGCAACCACTCTCCTCCTGGCCCCAGGACACTGACTCAGCTCCTCCCCCCACATCCCTTCTGCTCCTGACAGGGAAGGGGAGGCTGCTGACGACAGGAAGGGCCAGCAGGGAGGTGGCAGGATGTCCAGGAGGAGGGCGAGGAAGTCCAGGCAAGGCGGTCTGGCTATCACACTCACAGGGCAGGGGCTAGGCGTGCCACGCCCCCCAGCAGCCCAGCCCACTCCTCCAAAGGGTCTCCACTCCCCTGAAAGAGGACTACTGGCGCCCGTGCGCACACACACCCTGCTCATCCTCCCCCAGGAGGGCCACTGGGCTGTCAGAGGCTCCCTGAAGCACTAGCCAGAAACCAAAAGCAGCCCCACCCTCCCTTCCCGAACAGCACGGTCAGTGGGCCAGAAGGACCGGGAAAGGAGCTACTCCTTCCCTTATACTTGGGGTGACCTCGGGCAACTCACCAGCGCCCCTCCCCAAGCCTCAGTTTATCCGGCTGTGAAGTGGGGAGTCCAGTGAACCCAGCTGTGAGACTCAATATGCTAACTATGGCACAGGTAATTGATGGGGCTTGAGTACAGCTCACCTCCATGACAAAGGCAAACCCCTGCCATCGTGCCCCCTACCCAGACTAGCAGGCTTGTCCCAAGGCCCAGGACCGCTGCAAAGAGCAAGCCCGGGAGGACGTGGTACCCCGCCGCTTCAGAGGTCCCGGGACTGGCTCCCGGGCTGTGGGTGGAGCGGTCCGGACCCTTCTAGCCCACCCGAGCTCCGGCCAGCGGCCACACAGGGGGCCGGCCTGCCAAGGCCCGGGTCAGCGCGACCCATCCGCGCCCAGGAGCGCCCCTCCCGAGCTCAGGCCCACCTCCGCTCCTCCCTGGGGCCCCTGGCCGCCTTGGGGTTCGGGTCTTTGCCTAGGGGGCTGGAGGGGAGGTGGGAAAGGGTCGCCCTGAATCCACCCTTTACTGGTGCCGCAACTGTGAGGAGGGGGCGCCCGGGACGGGTCGTTCCGTCCCCTCGGGGTCGCCTGGGCTTCTGGGGGCGAGTGGGCGAGGGAAGGCGAGGAGGAGCCTACGGGAAGGGTGAGGCCGGTCTGGCGGACCGGCGCATCAGAGGTGGCCCCATCTTCCGGCCCAGCCCTCCTCTAGCCTCCGGGAAAAGAGGAGGGGGCTGCCCCGGAGGGGAGAGGCTGGGCTCTACCTGGGGTCGTCGCCCTCCTCCCGGCCTGGGGCGCGGGCGGCTGACGGGGGCACTCACCGTCATGGCGGCGCCCCAGGGCGGCGGGAGCAGGAGGCAGGAAGGTGGACGCGGCTCTCGGGCCGGGCTCCGCGGCGCGGGGACCCCGCCGCCGCCGCCCCTCTCGGCCGCCCGCCGCCGCGCCTCCGGCCCTTCCCTTCCCCGGCGCGGTCCCGGCCCCTTCCATCCGCCCATAAAACTTTTTTTTTTTTTTTTTTCAAACTTCCTGGGAGGACCCGAGCGGTCCAATGGGTGGCGGGGAAGCCGAGACAAACAGCGGCGGGGTCCGCGGCGGGCCAATGGGAGCGCGGGCCGGGCCGGGGGCGGGACCTGCCGCGACGGGACGGGCGCGCTAGGGCTGCGGGACCGCGGGGCGGGCGGATGGGGCCGCAGGGAGGGGAGGGCGGTGGCGGCCGGAGGGCGGGCGGGCCCGGGCCGCGGGCGCGCTGGGAGGAAGGAAGGGCCCAGCGTGCAGGTGACTCCGTCCGGCCATGGCGCGGGGGTGGAGGATGCGGGCGGCCGGGCGTGGCACGCCTCGCCCAGGCTGCGCTTCCCGCCCCGGCCTCGGAGCGATGGGTCCGCTAGAGCTCGGCGCCTAGATTTGGCGGGGCTCGGGGCAAAGCACCCTGTACTAACGACTCAGCGGGTCCCACTCGCCAAGAGTCGATTTTCGTCCTCACCACAGACTTGGGAGGGAGGTCTCATTTTGCTAATGAGAAAACGGAGGCTCAGAGGGGTGAGCCGATTTGCCCGAGGTCGCACAGGAAGAGGCGGAATTCCTAGCAAGTAAGCTGGACACAAAGTGAGTTCTTGGATGGCAGGGTCTTTCCCAATACCCACTCCTCACAAATGGGCCTTTTTTGGTTTTGGGTTTTTCAGGTGTGGGCGTGCACCCGTTGCTCAGGTTCCCAGAACCCTGGGCCGTTTGTTAGATGCTCTTTTCCTGCAGGTGGGGAGGGACCGTGGTGGAATTCGTTGCTCAATGCACTGGGAAGCTCGTGTGGCACGGGGATTACAACCTACTGTTATCTTAAGCAGGTACCTCTCGGTGCTCAATTTCACTTTCTGTAAAATGGGGTAATGCTGTTACCTCATGAGGTTGCTGGAAGGATTAAGTGTTAATTCAAGTATGGCACCTAGGACAACCTCTTTATCCCTCATTAGCTATCGTTAGGCAGGGAAGCTTGGAATAATTGCCATTTCAGTTATTCTGCCCTCTCGATTTGGGGTTCAAAAATTATTGCTCTTGCCGGGCGGGGTGGTTCATGCCTGTAATCCCAACACTTTGGGAGGCTGAGGTGGGTGGATCACTTGAGATCAGGAGTTCAAGAGCAGCCTGGCCAACATGGTGAAACCCCGTCTTTACTAAAAATACAAAAATTAGCCGGACGTGGTGTCAGGTGCCTGTAATGTAGCTATGTGAGAGGTTGAGGCAGGAGAATCGCTTGAACCCAGGAGGTGGAGGTTGCAGCGGGCAGAGATTATGCCACTGCACTCCACCTTGGGAGACAGAGTGAGACTCCATCTCAAAAAAAAAAAAGTTACTGCTTTTATAATTACTATTCCCATTTTGCAGATAAAGAAATGGAGGCCCAGGGAGCTGAAGTTCTTTCCCAGCATTTGCTGCCAGGAGTCTCTCCACCATGAGGAATGAGGCCAAGGGTAAGTCCATCTAACTCTAGAAACTGGCCTTCTTGGCCGGGCGCGGTGGCTCACGCCTGTAATCCCAGCACTTTGGGAGGCCGAGGCGGGCGGATCACAAGGTTAGGAGATCGAGACCATGGTGAAACCCCGTCTCTACTAAAAACAGAAAAAATTAGCCGGGCGCAGTGGCGGGCGCCTGTAGTCCCAGCTCCTCGGGAGGCTGAGGCAGGAGAATGGCGTGAACCCGGGAGGCGGAGCTTGCAGTGAGCCGAGATTGCGCCACTGCACTCCAGCCTGGGCGACAGAGCGAGACTCCGTCTCAAAAAAAAAAAAAAAAAAGAAACTGGCCTTCTAGCACCCCGGGCTGAGTTTTCCTACCCTACCCTTGCACCTCACTCAGGCAGTCAGTCCTTGGGAGAATGAATGAACATGCAGGAGACCTCACCTACCACCAGGGTCCTGGCCCAGTGCCCTGAGCACCTAACAGCACTAGCCTCCTCCAGGCTTTTCTGGCCGCTGTGACTCCCCGCAATACCCTCAACACAGTGACCAGACCACTTCCCTGCTCAAAGTTCTTCCACACATCACCAATGCTGACAGATCAGTGCTACATTCCTGTTCTAGGCAGACAGGAACCATCACAACCTGACTCCTGCCTGTCATCCTGGCCTTCCAGATTCACATTTGACAGGCTGGAGAGACGCATACTTTGGTCAATTTTGCAAAATACAATAAATAACCAAAGAGATACACAACACTGGAGGCCAGGCACTGTGGCTTATGCCTGTAGTCTCAGCACTTTGGGAGGCCGAGGAGGGTGGATCACCTGAGGTTAAGAGTTCGACTAGTCTGGCCAACATGGTGAAACCCCATCTCTAGTAAAAATACAAAAAATTAGCCGGGCGTGGTGGCATGTGGCTGTGATCCCAGCTACTCCGGAGGCTGAGGCAGGAGAATCGCTGGAACCTGGGAGGCGGAGGTTGCAGTGAGGGGAGATCACGCCACTGCTCTCCAGCCTGGGCGACAGAGCGAGACTCCATTTCAGAAAAAAAAAAAAAAAAAATACACAACACTAGACTACTAGGAATTTAGAAATTCCCAGAATAAGACAGGTCCTTTTACCCCGACTGCAAATGTTCTCTGCTGTGCCTGGAACACTTCTCTTCCTGTCTTCTATACCCCAACACACTCACTCTCTCTCACTCTCTCTCACTCTCTCTCACTCTCTCTCACTCTCTCTCACTCTCTCTCTCTCTCTCTCTCTCTCTCTTTATTTCTCCCCTTCCCCCTCCCTTATTCCCAGAATAAGACAGGTCCTTCTACCCCCTGACTGCAAATGTTCTCTGCTGTGCCTGAAACACTTCTCTTCCTGTCTTCTATACCCCAACACACACACACTGATTCTCTCTCTTTATTTCTCCCCTTCCCCCTCCCTCCTTCCCCCTCCCAATGCTTGTTGGCCTGGAAAATTTCTTCCTTCAAGTCTCAGGCCAAAGGAAGCCAAAGTGTCCCCAGCAGACTTAGGAACTGCTGGCCCAGTGCTCCCTACATCCGTACATTTCCCCACTAAAGTGATGACCACACTGTTCTCATCAGTTACATGTCAGTGTTCTCACCTAATTGTGCTCCAGTGGCCAGGGCTGGAATGTTTTTTGTCTACATCTTGGAAGCCAGTGTAGGGCCTAGGCCCACAGTACATCCTCCATAAGCACGGGTTGAATGAATGAATACACTGATGAAGGAACCACAACTCATCCTGGCAGGTCAGAGACGGCACAGCCTCAGGGACCCAGGGGTGAGTTATTAAACTGGCAAAGACCAGAGCTACCGAACTTTGAGGTTATCCAGTCTCAAACTGTTACTCTACTGAGAATAATGAGGTGAGGCTCAGAGCAGGGCACACAAGTTAGGGGCCAAGCCAGAATCGACGCCAGGCTTTCTGGCTCTTGGCCTTGGGCTAATTTCACTGCTTCAGCCCAAGAGAAGTGTAAATCTGCTCTGTGTAACTGGGAGGCCCCACTGGCAGTTCCATCCCTCGCTCCTCATTTCCCTCACTCCCACATGAGAGAACCACTGTAGCCAAACTCACCAAGTCTCAGTTGCCGCATCTTTCTAATGGGGAAAATCTGTGGGGACTCCCAGAGCCACAGGAGGGCTCAGAGAGATCACGATGTGAAGGCAGTGGTTTAGGGGGCATGTTAGAAGCACTGGGCTCTGAGGTCAGCCAGAGCAGGATTTGAATCTCAGTTCTGTTCTGCCCCTTGCTCCCTGTGTGACCTGGAGCAAGCGACCCTCCCTCTCTGAGCGTCACTTCGTCATCTGTAAAATGGACAGTACGAGTCTAACTGCGCCTGGGAGTGCGGATGAAACGCAATTAGGTGAGCCACGCAGTGAACACAGAGCTGGGCATGTAGTAGGCGCACAATAAGTGCTGGTTAATATCACCAGCATCGTTACCCCAGACTGCTTTCCCCACTTCGCTCCTCCTTCACTCTACCAAGGACTTACCTGCCCCCTCCTGCCAGACGTGCTGTGTGTTGGTGGCCTTTAGTTAGTTTGACCAGGTAATTCCTGCCTATGGCTTAGAGGCAACACACTACTCAGATAACCGTGCTTGCCTGCTCACCCTTGGTGCCGTAACCCCAAAGAGCAGCGAAAGGAAATTCTGGGCTCGGTGGGGTGACTCATACCTCTAATCCCAGCACTTTGGGAGGCCAGGGTGGGTGGATCACTTGAAGTCAGGAGTTAGAAACTAGCCTGGCCAACATGGTGAAACCCTGTCTCTACTAAAAATACAAAAATTAGCCAGGTGTGGTGGCACACAGCTGTAATACCACATACTCAGGAGGCTGAGATGGGAGAATCGCTTGAACCCAGGAGGTGGAGGTTGCAGTGAGCCGAGATGGTGCCACTGCACTCCAGTCTGGGAGATAGAACCAGACTCCATCTTAATTAAAAAAAAAAAAAAGACCTGGCGTGGTGGCTCACATCAATAATCCTAGCACTTTGGGAGGTTGAGGTGGGCGGATTACCTGAGGTCGGGAGTTCAAGACCGGCCTGGCCGACATGGCGAAACCCCGTCTGTACTAAAAATACAAAAAATTAGCCGGGTGCAGTGGCGCGCACCTATAATTCCAGCTGCTCTGGAGGCTGAAGCAGGAGAATCACTTGAACCTGGGAGGCAGAGGTTGCAGTGAGTTGAGATGGCGCCACTGCACTCCAGCCTGGGCAATCAAGCTAGACTCCCTCTTAATTTAAAAAAAAAAAAAAGGAAATTCTGAAATGGATGGGAAAGTTCGTGTTTTAACAGCAGCCCCGCAACCTCCGTGCATCCTGATCTCCCTGAGCCCTCTCTGCAGCCTTAAGTCTCCACAGACTTTTTCCTAATAGACAGATGTGGCAACCGAGGCTCAGTGAATTTGACTGCAACCCTTCTCTCATCTGAGAATGAGGAAAATCAGCTCCTTTATACCCCAAGCTGTGCGACCTCAGGCAAATCAGCTCACCTCCCTGGGCCTCAGTCCCTTCATCTGTAAAATGGGCACACTGTCTCTGAAGTGCCCAGCCTAGTGCTGGACTCAGCGCCAACAGCGGTGAGTAAGAGCGTCAGCCTCTCACCAAGAGAAGAGACCCCATGAGCCAGCCTGTGGCTGCTGGAGATGGCCAGGCCCCTTCTGTCCTGCTGTGAAGCGGGTGGGAGGGAGCGGGTCTCAGCTCCCTGCCCTTATGGAAAACCTAGCCAGAGGCTTGAGTGTTTCCAGACTTCTCTGGGCAGGGGATGGGTTACGTAACGCCAGATGTTTGTGAAACTGGCTCAGGCCCAGGTCTGAGACACACTTTGCAATCCCAGAGCCACTTGTAAGCCCGCTCTCCCTTCCCCCATACCTGGCTCCCCCTTGGTCCAGGGCTGGCAAGAGGAGGTTGCTGACTGGAAGCTTTCAGCTGTGTAGATTATTCCATCAACCCTCACTCCAAAAGCTGAAAGCAGCCCCCAAGCCTGCCCCGGAAGTGGAAAATCCACTAGCTTGATGAGACCAGGGTGAGTTTAAGAGCTCTGCTCCTACCTCTCCTGTCATGCAAGGGCCCCAGGTGCCTCCTCCTCAGCCCCCACTCTCTCTCCTTTGCTTAACAACCCCCTCCTCCCTCCCCTCCCCATGTCTATCCACCCTTACCCCTCCAGCCCCCACTGGAGCCAGCCTACCCTTCGCCACCTGAGGACCCCCAGAGACAGCAGGAACGGATTGAACAGCGTGGGCCGGTCCCCGGGCATCCGCCATGAGGTCACCAGTCGGCCCTTGAGCGGGCTCCCAGCCTTGCCCTCTGCTGGCCTCTTGTCTGCCTGTCAAACAGGGTCCAGTGTTGGCCCCAGGTCCCTTTGGTGGGATGGAGGCACCCCTGGTTACAGCCTCCCCTGCCCATTTTGTGGTGCCCCCCTCCACGGAGCCCCAGGGTTCCCATCTTTCTCTCCTCCCAGAACTGCCGAGACAAGAGCCGGTTAACTTGTTCTCACTACGTCGTGTTTGACTGAGCGGCTCCCAGGGCTCAGCACCCTTGAAGGTGTGCACGTCATTACCCTAAAGTCAAACCACGGGTGCCAGCTGGAGGGGTACAGACCACAGGTGTGTTTCCACCCACAGAGTCTTTTCAGAGTATTTCACATTAGGTTAGAGATCTCACATATAAATACATATCTCCAGTGGTTCTTGAAATATCAAAAGATGTGGAAACTCTGGGCCCGTCTTCCCCATGGCAACAGCTATCTGGAACCGAGGAGTCACACGAGTGCCCTCAGTCCCCCCACTTCTCACTGTTGTTACCTGCCTGGCCTTCAGGGCGTTAGGTTTGTGACCCCAGCTTAAGCAAAAGGAATGAGTTGTGGACTTCTACAGACATGCCCAGCAGAGCCCCTAAATACTCCCTCTTTGGAGTCATCCTCGTTGGGGAAACCAAGGCCCCAGGGAAGCAGAGGCACTTGTCAAAGTCACACATAGCAGGTTACTGGGAAGGTAGGAGAGAGCCCAGGTGTCCTTGCTCTGGAATCTGCACACTCTCTGGAAGCGGAACTTGAAGCATCAAAGCACAGGTCCAAGAGGGCTTTGGGGGTGGGGGTGCCCCCGACTCTGCTACCACATCTCCCATCACAGCCCTGACCACAGGCATGCAACTGTCTCACTTGACTGAACTCTTGATGGTGCTCCAACTCACCTGTGACCCACACCCGGGTATACAGAAGGTGCTCACTGAGTGCGTGTGAATGATGCATGCATGAGGTGGTTATCAGTTCTGACCAGTCAAGGCTGCCTAGGGGTGGGGGTAGGTTGAGATATTTTCCACGTTGATGTGCCAGGCCTGTTTCATGGAGACTAGAGGGGCACCCCTGTATTGCTGTTTCCTCCTCGTTCACTACTCTGGCTCCAGGAAGTATGAAGAAATAGCCCAGAAAGAGGAAGAGCAAAGTTGTCGGAGCCCCTGGGAGGGCTGGCAGCACCTTTAGCGACCAGCATCCCCTGTCCCCTCCCATTCCACAGATGGGAATACTGGACCCCTCAGAATTACAGCACTGCCGTTCAAAGCCACGCAAGAAATCAGGGCAGGGACGGAGGCAGCCTGGGTGGGGGGCAGGTGGAGGTGCAGAGAGAGCTCTGGGTGGTTCCTGGGCTGGGTTCTAGTCCCAGTACAGCTAGCCACTGACTGTGTAGCCTGGGACGACTCCCCTGCCTCCATTTCCTCATCTGCACAGTGAGGGTTTGGGCAAAATTCCCCCGGCTTTGACTCACGGCAGGGCCCAATTTGGGGGCTCCAGGCTGCCCGACGGATACTCCCTGCCACACCTGGCTCTTCAGGAGGCAGCAGGGGGAAGAGCAGGACCAGAAAACACAGCCCCAAACAGTCTGTCTCCTCCTCCCCCACCTCCTACTGCCCCATGGCCCTCAACTCTGATCTCACCTCTCTGGAGGCTGAGGGTGACGAGAACAGTCTGTTTGGCAGCTCACGGGGAGGGGCAGGCAGAGCTGTGTTCACCAGCTGCAGCCAGGCCTCAGAGCAGCATCTGTGGGTCCCACCCCCGCATATATCTCTCCCGTCCCCAGGACCCTGGAGACCCTCCAGGCCTGGCTGACTGTGGGCACATCCTCAGCTCTCTGACTCATGCTCCTAGAAGCCCTGCTCTTTCGACCTGGCTTGGCCGTCTCAAACCGGAAGGATCTCTTCCCTCAGAGACCACTGGGGCCAAACCGTCATTTGCCCAGGGAAAGACATTGACCTTTTCAGGCCCAGCAAATGAGAAGCACGGCCTAGGGTTCTGACCCCAGGACCGCCCACCTACCCAGGTCCCCAAGCCAGAAAGTGGCTCCTGCAGAGCTCCTCAAGGCCCCACCATGCACACAGATGACCCCGTGGGAAAGCCAACTTTGGTCTGGATGATTCCAGGGCTCTTCTGAAGAATGAAGCCCATCTCCAACCTGCTTCCCCTTCCCTTCCCCACCATGTGTACCCATGCCCATGACCCAACTACCGAGTCTGCCTGCTTCTGGTCAGTCAGGGGGTCTTGGCCTCTGCTTGGTTCTGACTCCTCAGGCTCCTCTGGTTGGAACTGGAGATTAAAAAAAGAACACAGCTTAGCCTAACTTATTCTCCAGGGTGCATGCATCTGTCCACCTCATCCATCCATTCTGTCATCTGTCCATGCAACACCCATCTAACGTCCAGCATCAGTAGATCCATGTATCCATCTAACCATCCAGTGTCTATCCCACATGACTCACCCTCTCATGTATCCAGCATCCATTGTCTATCACCCATTCATGTATCTACTCTCCATTAATCCATCATGTATCCATTTACCCAATAGCTATATATCCCTCTCTCCATCCATCATCCATCTATCCATATCTCCATCATCTGTCCACCATCTATCATGTGACATTCATCCATCCATGCCACATCCATCCATATTCCACCCAGCATTCATCCATCCATTACCTAAGCAACATCCATCATATATCCACCACCACCATATATTCATCACCCAGCTATCTATCCATCATCACCCATCCAGACAGCTGTTGCCATGGGAAGACGGGCCCAGAGTTTCCACATCTTTTGATATTTCAAGAAACACTGGAGATATGTTTTTTGTTTTTTGTTTTTTTTGAGATGGAGTCTCGCTCTGTTGCCCAGACTGGAGTGCAGTGGCCGGATCTCAGCTCACTACAAGCTCCGCCTCCTGGGTTTACACCATTCTCCTGCCTCAGCCTCCCGAGTAGCTGGGACTACAGGCGCCCGCCACCTCGCCTGGCTAGTTTTTTTGTATTTCTTTTTTAGTAGAGACGGGGTTTCACCGTGTTAGCCAGGATGGTCTCGATCTCCTGACCTCGTGACCCACCCGTCTCAGCCTCGCAAAGTGCTGGGATTACAGGCTTGAGCCACCGCACCTGGCGGGAGATATGTATTTATATGTGAAATCTCTAACCTAATGTGAAATACTCTGAAAAGACTCTGTGGATGGAAACACGCACATCCAACAGGCGTCTATTTATCATTCATTCAACATGCATCATTGATCCATCACCCATTCCCACATTCACCCTCCATTCATCCGTTATCCACCCACTAACCCCTCTGTCCTCCATCTTGCATGCATCCACTGAGCTGCCCCCTCCTTTATGTCAGGCCCTGGGCCACAGCCAGAGTTACAGAGATAAAGCAGGCAGAGATCCTGCTTCTGTGGAGCTTTTGGGGAAATTACAGCCCCATTAGATGGATGTTGCATGGACATATGGAAGCAAAACTGCCAAGCCCAGAAGGGAACCATCGCTAGGAGTGACTGTTCAGGGAAGGCGTCTCAGGACAGGGTGTCTGACCTAAGACTTGAACAATGAACAGGCGTTTGGTGACTGAAGAGGGAAGGGAAGAGCACGTGCAAAGGTAGGGATATATCTTCACAGGCCCTGCAGCCAGCTCAGCACCAGTGAGTCAAATCCGGAGTGGAAGGAAGGGAAACCAGCCTTGAGTGCCATGCCAAGGATTTTCTTTCTTTCTTTCTTTGTTTCTTTCCTGTCTTTATTTCTATTTTTTATGGTATGGAGATGGAGTCTGGCTCTGTCACCCAGGCTGGAGTGCAGTGGCAAGAGATCTCGGCTCACTGCAACCTCCACCTCCTGGGTTCACACCATTCTCCTATCTCAGCTTCCCTAGTAGCTGGGATTACAGGCACCCGCCACCATACCTGGCTAATTTTTTGTATTTTTAGTGGAGATGGGGTTTCACCGTGTTAGCCAGGCTGGTGTCGATCTCCTGACCTCATGATCCGCCCACCTTGGCCTCCCAAAGTGCTGGGATTACAGGCGTGAGCCACCGCGCCCGGCTGTGCCAAGTCAAGGATTTTCATAGAGAGGAGCAGCTGGAGCCCCGGCAGGACCTGGTGGTTCCTTGTTTTGTCATCTGTGAAATGCCTTTCAGCACATAGTGCTCCCATCCCTTCCCAGCCACCATCTCCCAGCCTCCTGAGAACCCTGAGCTTCACCATGAAACTGAAGAATCTTTCTAACTGGGTCCCCACTTCCTTCTTGACCTGGCCGGCTTACAGCACCAGCATGCCCCGGGACACAGCACCGTGTCCTCCTTGAGCTGCCTGTGGTCTGTGTGCCTTCCCAACAAGCCTGACAGCAACCTGAGGGCAGGACGAGCTGACTTATCCCTACTTCTCTGATGTTCGTGCATTGAGTTGATCAGAGGGTCAACTCATCAAAGCCACGGAAATACAGGGGAGAGGATTCTCCAGTCCTCCCGTGGGCTCAGGAGCTTTGTGACCTGGTGGCTAAAAGTACAAACTTAGGCCGGGTGTGGTGGCTCACACCTGTAATCCCAGCACTTTGGGAGGCCAAGGTGGGCAGATCACCTGAAGTCGGGAGTTCAAAACCAGCCTGACCAACATGGAGAAACCCCATCTCTACTTAAAACACAAAATTAGCCGGGCATGGTGGCACATGCCTGTAATCCCAACTATTCAGGAGGCTGAGGCAGGAGAATAGCTTGAACCCAGGGGGCGGAGGTTGCAGTGAGCCGAGATTGCGTGATTGCACTCCAGCCTGGGCAACAAGAGTGAAACTCCGTCTCAAAAAAGATAATAGGGCTCAAGCCTGTAATCCCAGCACTTTGGGGGGCCGAGACGGGCGGATCACGAGGTCAGGAGATCGAGACCATTCTGGCTAACACGGTGAAACCCCGTCTCTACTAAAAAGTACAAAAAAAACTAGCCGGGCGAGGTGGTGGGCGCCTGTAGTCCCAGCTACTCGGGAGGCTGAGGCAGGAGAATGGCATAAACCCAGGAGGCGGAGCTTGTAGTGAGCTGAGATCCGGCCACTGCACTCCAGCCTGGGCGACAGAGCAAGACTCCGTCTCAAAAAAAAAAAAAAAAAAAAGAAATAATAGCACAAACTTTGGAGTGGATGCTTTGATCTCATTTCTCACAACCTATGCATGTGTGACCCCCAGCAAATGCCTAAGGAGTCTGAGCCTCAGTTTCCTCATCTGTCAAGTGGCAACTGCCTCCTCTCCACCTGAGGCACATATGGCAAGGTCCTGGGGCCCAGCACGGGGTGCACCCTGATGCCTGGAAGCCCTGCTCATCCTGGGGGAGGTGGCAGCGGACTTTGCAGCGAGATGGGGAGGCTTTAGAGAAACAAGCAGGAACCCCCACGGCACCCCAGTGCTGCCCATCAGAGAAGTGATTGGTCCATCTTACAGAGGGAGAGAGGCTAGTGTTCAAAACCACGTGCCGTCCTCCGAATGAGCTATCGCCAGGGTGCAGGACTCTGGCCTCCAGGACCCTTCCTGCCCACCATCTTCAGATGAAGAATGTTCTGGGCTTCAAGGCAGCACCAAAGTACCACTGAAGCAGGGGAAGGGTGAGCACCTACTGTGTGCCCAGCGCTGGGCCCACTTTGCACATGAGCCTCATTTAAGCAGCCTGTTTTGGCAGCTAGCTGAACCCAGTGAGCATTGATGCACCCCCTTCTCTGTGTCTGACAGGAGCTGTAGGGGCCAGAGAGGGTAAGCGAGGCTGTCCTGGACTCAGGAACCTGGGTATCACCAGGGGAAGGGGCATGACCACACTGGCTCTAGTCCCAGGTGGGGTCAGGTGTGTGCCACCAGACACAACATAAACCAGGTATGGTGGAGCCAGGAGGGGAGCAGGCCCTGGCCAGAGCATCTTGCTTGAGGCCTCAGTGTGGTCTGCACTGAGCGGATCTGGGTTTCGCCCATGCCCCGCCAGCAAGTGGCTTCACCCTCCGTGTCAGTTTCCTTATCTGTAAATAAATAGTGTATTTCTCACTTGGTTGCTAAGGAGACTAAATGGTAAAAGTACACGTCAAACATTCAGATCAGGGCAGGGCCCATAAACACTTAAAATGGTGTTGCTCATCATCAGTGTTGGGCCAGTTTGGTGGTCGGGATGGGTTGTGGTCAGCAGGGAGGCTGAGGTCTGAGCCTGGAGGGGGATGCAGGAGCTGAGGCTACTCAAAGGGGAGGCTTTTCCAAGGAGACTTGGCTGTGGGGGGCTGACTTTCTGGCTACCCTTGGGAGGGGGGAACCTCCTTACCTGCAGCTCTGGCAAACTGGGGCCCTCTGCAGTGCTCCTGCTCCCCAGGGGGCCTGTCTGCTCTAGGCCTGCCAGAGTTACGGTCGCTGGTCCTCTTGTCACTTTGGTCTTTGGCCACTGGGTGGAGGTGCAGGCAGGGCTGGGCGGCTGGGCCGGGCTCTGGGGCCGCGGTGCGGGGCTGTGTCCGTTGACTGGGGTGGCCTCGGCCCAGCCTTCTGGCTGACTGTGTGACTCCTGCTTGGGGACATCCTTTGTGCCTGGGGGACCCATCTCTGGCCCTGAAGCCCTGGCCAGGTCATCCCTGTGTCCAGCTGGGTCCTTGCAGGGCAGCCTGGCCTGCAGGAGCTCCAAGAGGCCCTCCCAGTCCAGCCTGGGGAGACGGGCCCAGGCCCCCTCTCCTGGTGCCCGGAGAAGACCAAGCAGGTCCCTCCAGTCAAGCTCGGGTCGCCTCTCAGGGCCATGCGAGTATGGACATGCTCCCTCTGCCCCCCAGCCCACAGTAGTGGGTGTCCCAGGGCGCCTGGATTGTGAGGACTCTGTGGGGTCTCCCCAGTTCTCAGGGGGGCTTGTGAGTGGGCTTCTCTTCCCTAGTTCTCTGGGGGGCTCATGGGTGGCCGCCTCCTCCCAGGCCTCTGGCTGTCCCCAGCTCTCCCTGTACTCCCCAGGAGGGCCCCCCCATGTTCCCTCCAAGGCTTTGGCTGCCCCCAGGCCTCCCTCCTGGCTGCTCCAGCTCCTCTCCAGGTGTCTATGAGGGCCCTGGGACCCTGGCGGTTCCTCCTGACTCTGCCATGCCCCCAGAGGCTGTCTTGGGCCTGCTTGGCCACTCTCCAGAGGTGTCTGTGTCTGCAGCTCCCTCTCAGGGGTCCTGGCTGATGTCCTGGGAGGCGGCGGGGACCCCTGGAGCTGCCGATCTCCCTCAGGTCTCTTCTCAGGACTCCGAGAATGAGGGGGCTCTGCTTGGCTCCGCCAGGTCAGTTCTGCCTGTTTGGCAGGGCGCTTGGTCACCTGGGGATGAGGTGAGGAAGTGGGTGAGGCTCTCTCTCTGGGGACCTGGCTGCTGGCTCTGCCTTTCTTAGGCCCCCAGAGAGGCAAGGCTGTGCTCACACAGCAGCCTGGATGAAAGCAGGCCAAAAATCACACAGGGTCCCTGCCCTCCTCCCCTGTCAGGGGTCACCTGCTTTCCTCGGTTCCAGAAAAAGATCTGCAAAGACCTGCTCCCATTCTTGGCTTCTCACCCCTCTCAAAGATACTGATTCCAACTTGGGCTATCAGGTGCCAAAACCTCCACCACCAATACCCCATTCCACTGCAGTGGGCCTGGCCCTCTGGGTTTTGTTAAAGATACAAATCACCCTGAAAGAGAGGGCCCTTAGAGCCAGATTCATGCATCAAGGCTTTCCCTGAAATCTGCTCAAGACAGCAGTATTGGCAGCAGTACTGGCCAGGTGCGGTGGCTCACGCCTGTAATCCCAGCACCTTGGGAGGCCGAGGTAGGCAGGTCATCTGAGGTCAAGAGTGACCAGCCTGGCCAACATGGTGAAACCCTGTCTCTACTAAAAGTACAAAAATTAGCTGGGTGTGGTGGCACGCCCCTGTAATCCCAGCTACTCGGGAGGCTGAGGTAGGAGAATCTCTTGAATCCGGGAGGCGGAGGTTGCAGTGATCCAATATTGCCCCACTGCACTCCAGCCTGGGAGACAGAGCAAGACTCCATCTCAAAAAAAAAAAAAAAAACCGTACGTAGTAAAGGAAGGGGATAGCATGGGACAGGGGCTGTCTTCCAAGGACTAATGTGAGGTCTTGTGCAATTTGCCAAGAGCTTCTGGCCCTTGGGGAGAGGGGAGAGCTGGAGACCCATGATTGGACTCCAACCCTTTCATAGAGGACCTTCCTGTCCAAGCTCCCTGCCTGGCTTCTAGCAGAAGGGAAGAGGCAGTGGCCGCCCCTTGGGGTGTGGGGCCCCAGACAGCTGGCAGTGCTCACCTGCCTGCTGGGGGCAGGGCTGGACTGTCTTCGGAGAAGTTGGCTCTGGCCTTGGCTGGGCCGCTGTGACCGTCCCTCGTCCTGGGCCTGGAAGGCCCCCGCTGCCTCGGACTTCCTATGAGCAAATGCAGCCACTCCTCTGAGGGACTGTCCCACTCCCAGCACCCCAGCCCCTCTGCTCCCACCTCCAACAGAAGGAGATGTGGGAGAGTCAGGGACCCACTACAAACTGGTTGAAGGGCCTTAAGTAAGGGTGACTCTCAGGGCCTCAGTTTCCCCTTCTGAAAAATGGGGTTGGTTAACACTGCTCTATTCTGCCTCATGAGGCTCTTGAGAAAATGACAAGAAAAATGGGGAGTAGAGGTGTTTGGGTGGGGAGGGGGATCTGGCCCTGACCATGGCTGTCTCCTGTCTCATCCAGTACTACCTGTGACTTACCACCACCCCACCAGCAGCCCACCAGCCACCCCCAGACACAGGTTAGACTGGTCTTTGCAGGAATTAAGATTTATTGAGCACCTACTGTGTACCAGGCACCCGGCACACATAATCATAATGGCAAAGCATTTATTGAGCACTTCTTACGTTCCAGGGGCCAAGCGCTTGTATCATGATCTTGTTCCATCTCACACAGCCCACGAGGTGGGACGACAGAGCCAGACTGCTGTGTGCCCCCGTGTTCCATTCTTTCTGCCCTTTTCCTGTCCATATTGTAAATTTTGGATTTCTTGAGGCTGGGCGCGGTGGCTCAAGCCTGTAATCCCAGCACTTTGGAGGCCGAGGCAGGCGGATCACAAGATCAGGAGATCGAGACCATCCTGGCTAACACAGTGAAACCCCGTCTTTACTAAAAATACAGAAAAATTAGCCGGGCATGGTGGCGGGCACTTGTAGTCCCAGCTACTCGGGAGGCTGAATTCAGCAGGAGAATGGTGTGAACTTGGGAGGCGGAGCTTGCAGTGAGCCAAGATCATGCCACTGCACTCCAGCCTGGGTGACAGAGCAAGACTGTCTCAAAAAAAAAAAAAACACGTTGGATTTCTTTTCCTTTTTCCCTCCCATCACTGTTAACCAACAGAATCCCAGTGCTTAGCCTTGAAAACGCCAGGCCATCCTAGCTGTTGGCAAAAGAGCTCTGAGCAAGATCAGAAGAAAGAAACATCCTTCCCGACTACTCCAGAGAGGCCAACATGAACTGTCCAAGCAAATGTCATTTTTTTTTTTTTTTTTTTTTGAGATGGAGTCTCGCTCTGTCACCCAAGCTGCTGGAGTGCAGTGGCGCAATCTCAGCTCACTGCAACTTCCATCTCCCGGGCTCAAGTGACTCTCTGTCTTAACCTCCCAAGTAGCTGGAATTACAGGCATGAGCCACCACGCCTGGCCCTGGGCAAATGTCATTTCTAAGGCACTGGACTTCAGGCGTTGTTGCCGCATCCGATGAAGATTATCTCTAACTTGTTAGTAAAAAGTCTAGTTCCAGTTAGTTGTCTTGCGTACTAACTGGGAGGCATGGCTGTTAATGTTTAACGTGGTATCTCAGGTAGAAACACCAAACAACCTAGGCTTATCTCTCTCTTCCTCTACCTAAGGGGTCACAACAAAAGACCCAAGTGCTCAGTGACTGTTTATTTTGGTTGGGTCTCAGTTAGCAAATGGAGCCGTGTCTTTGGTGGATGAACTGAACCAGGAAGAGAAGCCTGAAAAAGGCCACCGTGTGGTGGACCCAGAGTAAGGCAGCAAAAAGGGAAGGAAGAGGAACCTCTGCTCAGGCCTGCGTAGGACCTGCTCTCTGCGTGGCCCTGTGCCTGAGGAACCATGCTGGAACACCACCTTCAAAAGTATGGGATTGGACAGGGCGCAGTGGGTCATGCCTGTAATCCCAGAACTTTGGGAGGCTGAGGCAGGCAGATGGCTTGAACTCAGGAGTTCGAGACCAGGCTGGACAACATAGTGAAACCCAGTCTCTGAAAATACAAAAATTAGCCCAGGCACAGGGGCTCATGCCTCTAATCCCAGCACTTTGGGAGACTCAGGTGGGTGGATCACTTGAGGTCAGGAGTTCGAGACCAGCCTGGTCAATATAGTGAAACCCAGTCTCTACTAAAAATACAAAACTTAGCCGGGCGTGGTGGCACGTGCTTGTAATCCCAGCTACTCAGGAGGCTGAGGCAGGAGGATTGCTTGACCCCAGGAGCAGTGAGCCGAGATCGCACCACTGCACTCCAGCCTGAGCCGCATAGTGAGACCCTGTCTCAAAAAAAAAAAAAAAAAGTATGGGGTTGGGAGGCCAGGTACAATGTCTTTATACCTGTAATTCTAGCACTTGGGGAGGCTGAGGTCAGAGGATCACTTGAGCCAAGGAGTTTAAGAAAGCCCTGGCAACAGAATGAGACCTTGTTCTAGGAAAAAAATAATTTTCAATGAGCCAGGCATGGTGATACGTGGCTATAGTCCCAGCTACTTGGGAGGCTGAAGTGGGAGGATCACTTCAGCCTGGGAGGTTGAGGCTGCAGTGAGCCATGATCACGCCACTGCATTCCAGACTGGGCGAAACAGCAAGATCCTGTCTCAAAAAGAAAAAAGTATGGGGTTGAAGTTTTTTGTTGTTTCATGTCTTTTGCCAATGTCATTAGAATCAGAGCCATAAAGCACAGTAATTTGAGTTGTTAGCAGTTATTGGCAGCTGGTTCAGACAGGAGCCAAAGTTCCCTGGAGGAAGTGTTTCTGAGCTTGAGGGCTCCCTGAGCAGGCTGTTTGTAATCTTTTTTTTTTTTTTTTTTGAGATGGAGTCTTGCTCTGTGGCCCAGGCTGGAGTGCCGTGGTGCAATCTCAGCTCACTGCAACCTCTGCCTTCCAGTTTCAAGCGATTCTCCTGCCTCAGCCTCCCGAGCAGCTGGAATTACAGGTGTCTACCACCATGCCCGGCTAATTTTTGTATTTTTAGTAGAGACGGGGTTTCACCATGTTAGCCAGGCTGGTCTCATTTCGAACTCCTGACCTCAGGTGATCCGCTTGCCTCGACCTCCCAAAGTGTTGGCATTACGGGTGTGAGCCACTGCACCCAGCCAATTTGTAATCTAATTTGAGGTGAGTGCGTTTCCTTACTCTGTGAGAGCTGAAGGCCTTAGACTGAATTTTCCCCTGAACTGGGGTATAGGAGCCTCGATGAAGCAAGAGCTCAAACATGACCCAGTGGGCCGTTCCTCCCTAATGGGAAGGAGGGGGAGGACAATGGTGGAAACACCCAGTGAAGGGAAGCAAGGCACTTGTGTGTTCTCTTCCGGATGGATGCATTTTCCATACGAACTCCAGCTTGCTTGATGAGCATTCCTCCTGAGCACTCGCCTTCCTTTTTCCCCCCACGTGGAATTGAGAGAAAAGAGCGAGCGACTCAAGAAGATTCTGAGACCCCAACAGAGACCCGGTTTGTCTGATGCTGAAGCAACAGCGTCTCCCCGGGGCCACCTCTTCCCGAGAGTTGGTGTGACCACACCAAGCATGACAAAGGAAACATGTTTCCCTTGGAAGCTTAGATGGGCTCTTCGACCTCCAGAGAGAATTAAAGGCGCAAAGCCATCAAGTCTAGCAAATCCAATGAAGTCTGTGTTTTACATTCAAATGACCACAGAATGCTTACATGACTTTAAGAGATTCCAAAGGCATCTAAGGAAAAAAAAAATAAGATCAAGCCAAAACTCCCAATGCTTTGATGTGATAATCTTTTAAGAAAAAATTTCCAGACTTGGGACAATGCTTGGACAGAGTAGGTGCTCAATAAATACATATCGATGAGGAAATGAGAGAAAATAAAAGCTCAATCCTACAGCCACCCACCCATAAACTCCAGTCTGTCCCTTACACACACACTACATAGTTTTAAAAATTTCCATCTTCAGAGGATGAATGGTTTTCTACTTGGAAAAGGTGCCAGATAAGAGGAAAAAATTTAATTAGTAAAATTATAAAAACCTCCCTAAAAGGTAAATAATCTATTTCAAAGAGAGTAGAATTAAATGTACAGGAGTGATCATGTAAAAACAAATGGTTAATAAAAGTGTAAACATTTTTCTCACTTATATTAGTAATATAAACACCTTATCTTTCTAAAATTATCCTGGAAAAAAGGAAAGAAAATTAATTAACTTTGGCTTAAAGACCTTAATGTCCCTACTGAGTTATTAGTTAAAACAAAGTTAGGAAAATTGACATTAGACCAGAAATAGTAATCATAAAATGGTCAAAGACACTTTGGGAGGCCAAGGTGGGAGCATTGCTCAAGGCCAGGAGTTTGAGACCAACCTGGCCAATAAAGTGAGACTCCATCTCTACAAAAAATAGAAAAATTAGCTGGGCACAGTGGCGCACGCCTGTAGTCCCAGCTACTGGGGAGGCTGAGGTGAGAGAATCCCTTGAGCCTGGCAGTTTGAGGCCGCAGTGAGCCATGATCATGCCACTGCACTCCTGCGGGGTGACAGAGCAAGACCCCGTCTCAAAAAAAGGTCAGGCCATGAGTGGTGGCTCACACCTGTAATCCCAGCACTTTGGGAGGCCGAGGTGGGCGGATTGCCTGAGCTCAGGAGTTCAAGACCAGCCTGGGAAACAGGGTGAAACCCTGTCGCTACTAAAAATACAAATAAATTAGCCGGGCATGGTGGCGGGTGCCTGTAGTCCCAGCTACTCGGGAGGCTGAGGCAGGAGAATTGCTTGAACCTGGGAGGCAGAGGTTGCAATGAGCCAAGATTGTGCCACTGCACTCCAGCCTGGGTGACAGAATGAGAATCCATCTCCAAAGAAAAAAAAAAAGTCAAAGACAGTGAAGACTTTTCGGGTGAAACTACTCCATGATGTTACAATGGTGGATACTTGTCATTATACATTCATTCAAGTCTGTAGACTGTACATCACTTAGAGTGAACCCTAAACTTTGGGTGATTTGTCAGTGTAGGTTCATGGATTGTAACAAATGTATCCCCTACTGCCCAGTACAGTGGCTCACCAGCCCTTTGAGAGGCCAAGAAAGGAGGATCCCTTGAAGCCAGGAGCTGGAAACAAGCATACGTGTCTAGTACAGGATACTGGTAGTGGGAGAGGCTGTGCATGGAACTCTCCCCTTTCTGCTCAATTTTGCTGTGAACCTAAAACTCCTCTGGATTTTTGTTTTTGTTTTTAAGGCCAAAGAAAGAATTATACTAATACTAGAGACCACATGGTTGTCATCTGGATATTAAATGATCAAGCTTACTGGAAAAGGAAATTTGAAGAACAAGAGATAAGATTTCTGTTTTCTTTCTTTCTTTTTTTTTTTTTTTTTTTTGAGATGGAGTTTCACTCTTGTTGCCAGGCTGGAGTGCAATGGCACAATCTCAGCTCACTGCAAACTCCACCTCCCAAATTCAGGCGATACTGCTGCCTCAGCTTCCTGAGTAGCTGGGACTACAGGCGTGTGCCGCTACATTCAGCTAACTTTTTTTTTTTTTTTTTTTTGAGACAGAGTCTCACTGTGTTGCCCAGGCTGGAGTGCAGTGGCATGATCTCGGCTCACTACAAGCTCCAGTGCTGGGATTACAGGAGGGAGCCACCGCACCCAGCCAAGATTGATCAGGTTTCTCGTGCAGATTCAAATCCAGGAGAAAACTTGCCCAAGGAGCAGCAAAGAGGAATTTTAGATACAAAAGATTCCATACCCTTTAGGGTGATGAAAATGTTCTAAAGTTAGATTGTGGCTGTGGTTGGACAACTTGGTAAATATACTAAAAATTCACTGAATTAGATACACGGAAAGTTTTGAGACTTCCAGACTGCTTTTTGTTGCTGTTGTTCTCTTGACCCTAACTAATGGAATTCTAGCTCTGATCCTTGAAAACTAGGGCCGGGCGCGGTGGCTCAAGCCTGTAATCCCAGCACGTTGGGAGGCCGAGACGGGTGGATCACGAGGTCAGGAGATCGAGACCACCCTGGCTAACACGGTGAAACCCCGTCTCTACTAAGAAATACAAAAAACTAGCCGGGCGAGGTGGCGGGCACCTGTAGTCCCAGCTACTCGGGAGGCTGAGGCCGGAGAATGGCGTGAACCCGGGAGGCGGAGCTTGCAGTGAGCTGAGATCCGGCCACTGCACTCCAGCCTGGGCTACAGAGCGAGACTCCGTCTCAAAAAAAAAAAAAAAAAAGAAAAAAAAGAAAACTCAAGGGCTGGAACTTCTGGGGTGAGAAATCTCAGCCGGATCAGGAGGAAATGCTCCCCTTCCACGGGGACCAGTGCTGCTGACCAAAGAGACTCAAAAGACACCTGGACTTTAGGTGTTCCAGAATGTTTGACTGCTAAAAATCTGTAATTCTGTGAGCTTTCTTTCTTAAAATAGGGTGACTCTGGCCATACTTTTTTTTTTTTTTAGACGGAGTCTCGCTCTGTCGCCCAGGCTGGAGTGCAGTGGTGTGATCTTGGCTCCCTGCAAGCTCCACCTCCCGGGTTCAAGCCATTCTCCTGCCTCAGCCGCCTGAGTCACTGGGACTGCAGCGTGTTTTTTGTATTTTTAGTAGAGACAAGGTTTCACCGTGTTAGCCAGGATGGTCTCAATCTCCTGACCTCATGATCCGCCTGCCTTGGCCTCCCAAAGTGCTGGGATGACAGGCGTGAGCCACCATGCCTGGCCTTGGCCATACATTTTTAAATTGACATAACAGTTTTCTGAAATGCATAGGGACCCATGAATTTTCTTTGCCAAGGCAGGAAAAAAAGAATGGGCACTTTCTTCTTCTCCCTCATGCACGGAAGAAAAAAAAACCCGTGAGTCTGAATCAAAGGGTTTGAGAGTTCACCCTCATTTTGGCCGGGTACGGTGGCTCACTCCTGTAATCCCAGCACTTTGTGAGGCCGAGGCAGGCGGATCACTTGAGGTCAGGAGTTTGAGACCAGCCTGGCCAATATGGCGAAACCCCATCTCTACTAAAAATATTTTAAAAATTAGCCAGGTGTGGTAGCGGGCCCCTGTAATCCCAGCTACTCGGGAGGCTGAGGCAGGAGATTCGCTTGAACCCAGGAGGTGGAGGTTGCAGTGAGCCAAGATCGCACCATTGCACTCCAGCCTGGGCAACAAGAGCAAAACTCCGCCTCAAAAAAAAAAGAAAAAAGAAAAAGAGTTCACCCTCATTTGAATGAATGGGCTCATGTTCCCCTCCATTACAGATGAGGAAATTGAGGCTCAGGTAGGTTAATTCACTATATCAGGTCACGTGAGTTGAAATGTGACTTTGACCCAGGATTTGGACTCAGCCCTCATGACTGCAGTCTTTGCTGTTAACCACTGGGCTATGCATGACATCACTTAACCACACACACACACAAAAGCAGAAAACTCCTAATATGCAGAAACAGAGAAATGGAGTGATTTGCCCAAGGTCACACAGCCAGTAAATGGCAAGCCAGGGGAATTTGAACACTCTCCTAGCACCCTAACCCTGAGAAACTTCCACCTAGCCTGCTGCTGAGCCTCCTCCCCAGCCCACTTGGCTGCCCCCACCCCTGGGCTCACCTGCGCTCTTGCCCGAAGAGGCGCTCCACCTCCGCGCGGCCAGGGCTGCGGGTGCGGCCCCCGCTGCTGTGCTGTGCTTGGGTCCCTGGCTGTCTCTGGGCCAGCCTCCTGGGTGGGGGCAGGTCAGCCAGCACAGTGTACTCCTCCCGCTCCAAGTTGTGCCTGGTCTCCCCGGGAGGCGCTGAGCCCCGGGAGCCCCTGGAGCTGCCCGGCGAAGGTGAGGGTGCCAGGAATGCTAGATCACTGGGTGGGTGGCGGGGTGGGGAGGAGGCTCGGGGTGCATCCCGGTGCCCGATGCACACTTGGGGGATCAGCACTAGGGAGCCATGCAGAGAGTCAGTGGAGGGGGCCAGGCTCTCCATACTAGTTCCAGGGGGGTCCTGGAAGAAGAGGGATGGCTCAGGAGCCTGGCGTGGTGGGGATGAGAAGGAGGGTGCATCCCGGTGCCCAATGCACACAGGGGTGGGGATTTGGGGGCCCTCGTGCAGAGAGTCCATGGAAGGGACAAGACTCTCTGTGCTGGCCCTGGGGAGGTCCTGGAACAAGAGGGAAGGCTCTGGGGCCTGGCGTGGTGGGGAGGAGGCCCGGGGTGCGTCTCGGTACCCAATACATACAGGTGCGGGGAGCTGAAGGGGCTCGTGTTGGGGGGACTGACACCGATGTTCGGTGTCTGATGTGTCTGGGAGGAAGGGGAAGGGGTCAAATTGGGTGTGGCGGGGGGGCGAGGACGCCTGGGGGGCATCTCGGTGTCCAATGCACACAGCAGGTGGTATATAGGGAGGCTCATGGTGGGGCGATTCACTCTCTGGGGCATGGGGCTCTGGGAAGAAGGGGAAGGGGTCATGCTGCAAATAGCGAGGGGGCGAAGAGGCTCGAGGGGCATCCCGGTGCCCAATGCACACAGCACATGGAGGCTGGGAGGGCTCAGGATAGGTCAAGGGAACCCCATAGGCAGCAGGGTACACAGGTGAGGAAGTCCGGGAGGTGCTCTGGTGGCCTGGGTTAGGGGAGGAAGAGGTGACCCGGGATGGCAAGTTGTACTGGGTGGGGCCAAAGGAGGACTGGGGTGGGTCATGCTGGGCTGGCCTGCTGGGAGAGGATGTCTGAGGCCTGTCACCTTGGGTTGGCCGGAGAGCGATGGATGCCCAGGGAACCTCATTTTGCTTGGAGCGAGATGGGGAAGAGGTTCGGGGACCATCACTGTGAGTTGGCCGGAGGGGAAAGGAGGCCCAGGGGATGTCTTTATTAGTACGATGTGGAGACGAATTCCTGGGATTGTTCCATTGAGTGGAGCGGTGGGGAGATGATGGTCTCAGATTCTCCTTTTGGGTGCAGCATTGAGATGAGGAGGTTCCAGGGTTGTCTCGTTGAAAGGAAAAGGATTGTGTGCGGTCCCGCTGTGTACGAGTGGGTCTGAGGTTATCCCGTTTGGTACAAGAGGTTTTAGGGTTGTCTTGTTGGGTAGAAGATGATCTGGGGATGTTCTGTTGAATAGAAGTTCTGGGGTTGTCTCTTGTGGCTCTATTGGGAGAGAAGGCTCTGGGATTGTCCCGCTGGGCACAGGATGTTCTGGGGTTGTCTCGGGAGAGAAGGCCTGGGATTGTCTCCGCTTGGGGAAGGATGTCTCTCTGGGGTCCTGTTGCAGGTTCTGTTGGGAGACAGCCTGGGATTGTCCCACTGGGCAACAGGATGTTCTGGGGTTGTCCTGTTGGGAAGCTCTGACGGGAGAGGAGGCTCTGGACTGTCCCCTACTAAGCACAGGATGCTCTGGGGTTGTCTCTGCTATGGTTCTGTTGGGAGAGGAGGCCTGGGACTGCCCGCTGGGCACAGGATGTTCTGGGGTTGTCTCAGTTGTAAGGGTTCTGTTGGGAAAGAAGGCTCTGGGATCGCTCCGGCTGGGCACAGGATGTTCTGGGGTTGTCTCTGGGTGGTTCTGTTGGGAGAGGAGGCTCTGGGATCGTCTCCGCTGGGCAGATGTTCTGGGGTTGTCTCTGCTATGAATCGGCTGGGAGAGGAGGTTTGGGACTGCCTCCGCTGGGCACACAGGATGTTCTGGGTTGTTCCTGCTATGGTTCTGTTGGGAGAGAAGGTTTGGGATTGAACTATTGGGTACAGTGTGATTATGTTCTGGGTTGTCTCTATGGTGGTTCTGTTGGGAGAGGAAGTCAGGGACTGCCCCGCTGGGCACAGGATGTTCTGGGGTTGTCTCATGGTGGTTCTGTTGGGAGAGGAAGTTTGGACACCCGCTGGGCGCAGGATATTCTGGGGTTGTTCCTGTGGCTCATTGGGGAGAGAAGGCCTGGGACTGCTCCGCTGCACAGGATGTTCTGGGGTTGTCTCACTGCGGTTCTGTTGGGAGAGGAGGTTTGCCTCACACAGGACATTCTGGGATTGTCCTAAGGTGGTTCAAGCTGGGAGAGAGGCTCTGGGACTGCCTCACGGCCAGGATGTTCTGGGGTTGTCTCACGGGTGGTTCTGTTGGGAGAGGAGGTTCTGGGACTGTTCCGGGCATGGGTGCGGATGTTCTGGGGTTGTCTCATGGGTGGTTCTGTTGGGGAGAGGAGGTTCTGGGACTGTCTCTGCTTGGGCAGGGATGTTCTGGGGTTGGTTCTGCAAGCAGGGTTCTGTTGGGAGAGGAGGCTCTGGGATCATCTCGCCTGGGCACAGGACGTCTGGGATTGTCCTGTTGGGTGGTTCTGTTGGGAGAGGAGGTTTCTGGATCGCCCGCCTGGGCACTGGAGCATCTTGGGTTGTCCTGTTGCAGCTTGGATCTGGTAGAAGGCTCGGGATTGTCTCGCTGGGCACAGGATGTTCTGGGGTTGTCCTGTTGGGTGGTTCTTTTGGGAGAGGAGGTTCTGGGATTGTCCTGCTGGGCACAGGACTTCTGGGGTTGTCTCTTGTGGCCTCTATTGGGAGAGAAGGCCTGGGACTGCCCAAGCAAGTCTGGGCACAGGATGTTCTGGGGTTGTCCTGTTGGGAAGCTCTGACGGGAGAGGAGGCTCTGGGATTGTCCCGCTGGGCATAGGATGTCCTGGGGTTGTCTCGTTGGGTGGTTCTGTCAGGAGAGGAGGCTCTGGGATCATCCCGTCGGGCACAGGGTGTCGTGGGGTTGTCCCACTGGGGAGTACAAGTAGGAAAAGAAGTTTGGGGGTTGTCCTGCTGGGTAGAAGAGGTTCTAGTGTTATCTTGTTGGGTGGCTCTTTGGGGAGAGGAATATTGAGGATTATTTTGTTGGTTGGATGACGTTCTGGGGTTATCCTGTTGGGTGCTTCGTGAGGGAGAGGAAGCTCTGGGGGTGTTCCGCTGTGTAAATGAGGCCCTGGAGGTGTCCCTTTGGGTGATTCGGTGGGGAGAGGAGGCTCGGGGGGGTTCACATGTAGACGCAGCCTGAGCAGTGTCCCTTTGGGCAGGGGAAGCCCGAGGCGTGGTGCTTCGAGGTCCGCTGTGTGGTGTCATGGAGGAAGCCTGGGTCAGTGTTGACCGGTGCCGCTCCAGGGAGAAGAACCCACTTTCTCCCCGGAGCTTTGCCCAGTGCTGTCCTGCGCTCCGGCCCCCACCGCCAGTGTCTAGAGAGAAAACAGAGGGGCTCAAGGTAAGGGGAGGGGTCCAGGCACCTCTCATATTCTACCTTTCTTTGTCTCTTTTTTTTTTTTTTTTTGAGACGGAGTCTCGCTCTGTCGCCCAGGCTGGAGTGCAGTGGCGCAATCTCGGCTCACTGCAAGCTCCGCCTTCCGGGTTCACGCCATTCTCCTGCCTCAGCCTTCCGAGTAGCTGGGACTACAGGCGCCCGCCACTGCGCCCGGCTAATTTTTTTCTATTTTTTAGTAGAGACGGGGTTTCACCATGGTCTCGATCTCCTGACCTTGTGATCCGCCCGCCTCGGCCTCCCAAAGTGCTGGGATTACAGGCGTGAGCCACCGCGCCCGGCCGCTCTTTGTCTCTTTGGACCAGTGATTAGGGCAGACCCCACACCCTCCTCTTACAGGTCTCACTGTCTGTACCAAGTGACTCCACCTCTCTGACCAAGACTGATGAGACAAGGGCTTGGACGCTTCTCTCGAGCCGAGGTCAAGAATTTGAAATTGAGACCCTGACTCAGTCAAGAGATGGACTCGACAACTGGAAGAGGCCACACGGTCTGGGGATCCATGGACAAGACAGAGAAGAGGCAGACTCGTGGAGAGAAGTGTTGGCAATAGCCTGTGTAACCCAGGGAGGGAGAGGTGGGCCCAGCAGCAGCTATCTGATAGTCTGCCCTTCCCAGTTTTATTTCCTTCAGTCAGAATCTGAGGAATTCCCCCCATTTCTGGTTTTTCTGTTTTGTTTTTGAGACAGCCTCGCTCTGTCGCCCAGGCTGGAGCGCAGTGGCACCATCTCGGCTCATTGCAACCTCCACCTCCCGGGTTCAAGCCATTCTCCTGCCTCAGCCTCCGGAGTAGCTGGGATTACAGGCATGTGCCACCATGCCCGGCTAATTTTTGTATTTTTAGTAGAGACAGGGTTTCACCATGTTGGCCAGGCTGGTCTCACACTCCTGACCTCAGGTGATCTGCTCGTCTTGGCCCCCCAAAGTGCTGGGATTACAGGCGTGAGCCACCGTGCCCGGGCTTTTTTTTTTTTTTTTTTTTGAGACAGAGTCTCATTCTGTCACCCAGACTGGAGTGACAGACTCGGCTCACTGTAAGCTATGCCTCCTGGGTTCAAATGATTCTCCTGCCTCAGCCTCCCAAGTAGCTGGGATTACAGGCATGCGCCACCATGCCCAGCTCATTTTTGTATTTTTAGTAGAGATAGGTTCTAATGAGTCTGTTTCATGTGTGACAGCTCTAGAAAGCCCCGGTTTTTTGTATTCAAATGTTCCTACCCTGAAGCTTCTCCCAGGGCTGCCATGAGGATGGGAAAGGTGCAGGGATGGACAAACTTTTATAAACTGATAGCTGGGAGTTTGCCAGAAATGCAGAATCTCAGGTCCCAGCCCAGATGCACTGCTTCTGAATCTGCATTTAACAAAACTGTCTGGTGATTTGTACAACTTAGAGTTTCAGAAGCACTGGCCTGAAGGATTAACATAACTGTCCTCAATAGTGACCTCTTCGCAACTCCTAGCCTCATGACTGAGTTGCCATGACCTTGGTGTGTCACCCTCCATCCCGCTCAATCCCTCAGTCACCGAGTAGGTGTTGAGCACCAGCTATGTACATGTCCCTTGGCTACTGCTTTAGATGAAGAGTAAAGGGTATCGTGGCCTCATCTTAAAGGAGCCACAACTGTGGGTGTGGTGGCTCACACCTGTAATCCCAGCACTTTGGGAGGCCAAGGTGGGAGGATCACTTGAGCTCAGGAGTTCCAGACCAGCCTATGCAACATGGTGAGACCCTGTCTCTGCTACAAGTTTTTAAAACTTAGCAGGGCCTAGTGGTACGTGCCTGTAGTCACAGCCACCTAGGAGGCTGAGGCCAGAGGATTGCCTGAGCCCAGGAGGCAGAGGTTGCAGTGAGCCAAGATTGTGCCACTGCCCTCTAGGGTGGGCAACAGAGCAAGATATTGTCTTAAAACAACAAACGAAACAAAAAAGTAGCCACAATTGCCTTCACGCAGATCCCCTCTCCTCATGCCTTCTTAAGATCCCCTCTGCTCTCCCTTTGCAACCACTGCCCCGTCCAGCCTCCCTGGGCTGTTGTTGGTGAAGTCTGAGTTCCCAGCACCTAGCAGAGAATTCAAAATTTGCATGGTCTCTAGGCACAGTGGCTCACACCTGTAATACCAACACTTTGGGAGGCCGAGGTGGGTGGATCATCTGAGGTCAGGAGTTCGAGACTAGCCTGGCCAACATGGTGAAACCAGTCTCTACTAAAAATACAAAAATTAGCTGGATGCGGCTGGGCGCGGTGGCTCATGCCTGTAATCCCAGAACTTTAGGAGGCCGAGGCAGGCGGATCACAAGGTCAGGAGATCGATAGCAGTCTGGCTAACATGGTGAAACCCCATCTCTACTAAAATTACAAAAAAAAAAAATTAGGCCGGGCGCGGTGGCTCACGCCTGTAATCCCAGCATTTTGGGAGGCCAAGGCGGGCGGATCACAAGGTCAGGAGATAGAGACCATGGTGAAACCCCGTCTCTACTAAAAATAGAAAAAATTAGCCGGGCGCAGTGGTGGGCGCCTGTAGTCCCAGCTACTCGGGAGGCTGAGGCAGGAGAATGGCGGGAACCCGGGAGGCGGAGCTTGCAGTGAGCCGAGATTGCGCCACTGCACTCCAGCCTGGGCGACAGAGCGAGACTCCGTCTCAAAAAAAAAAAAAAAAAAAAAAAAAAAATTAGCCAGGTGTGGTGGTGGGGGCCTGTAGTCCCAGCTACTCGGGAGACTGAGGCAGGAGAATGGTGTGAACCCGGGGGGCGAAACTTGCAGTGAGCCGAGATCGCACCACTGCACTCCAGCCTGGGCAACAGAGCAAGACTCCGTCTCAAAAAAAAAAAAAAAAAAAATTAGCCGGATGCAGTGGTGCATGCCTGTAATCCCAGCTACTCAGGAGGCTGAGGCTGGAGAATTGCTTGAACCTGGAGGTGGTGGTTGCAGTGAGCTGAGATCTGGCCACTGTACTCCAGCCTGGGTGATAGAGCAAGACTCTGTCCCAGAAAACAAAAAAACAAAAAATTTGCTGGTGGCTGATGTCCCATGGCTATTCTAAAATACATTTCATGCCTGGTAGTGGCTCACACCTGTAATTCCAACATTTTGGGAGGCTGAGGCAGGAGGATTGCTTGAGCCCAGGAGTTGGAGACCAGCCTGGGCAACATAGTGAGCCCCCATCTCTATGAAAAATAAAAATAAAATAAATACATTCCATATTCACCTGTTTCTCTCATCTACACCCACTTCCTACTCCAAGCCACCACTATGTCTCTCCTGGATGGTTGCAGTAGCCCCCAGGCCTGTGCACTCTGGGGCCAATGTCATCGTGCATCCAGGGAGACTTTTTCTAAAGTCAAAGGTGAGCAGATCGCTGTGCTCACAGCCTTCAGGGGAAAACTGGGAGAGATGGGAAAGCTGTCACAGATTGGAGGAGACAGAGGAGATGAGGAGGGGGACTAAAGGCAATGTGGGATCCTGGAATGGATCCAGAAACAGAAAAAGGATATTAGTAGAAAAACTGGTGAATCCCATCAAGTCTGTAGCTTAGTTAATAGTATTGGAGCAGTCGGCCAGGTACGGTCGCTCACACCTGTAATCCCAGCACTTTGGGAAGCCGAGGCAGGCGGATCACCTGAGGTCGGGAGTTGGAGACCAGCCTGACCAACATGGAGAAACCCCGTCTCTAATAAAAATACAAAATTAGCCGGGCGTGGTGGCTCATGCCTGTAATCCCAGCTACTTGGGAGCCTGAGGCAGAGAATGGCTTGAACCCGGGAGGTGGAGATTGCAGTGAGCTGAGATTACGCCACTGCACTCCAGTCTGGGCAACGAGAGTGAAACTCTGTCTCAAAAAGAAAAAAAAAAAGAAAGAAATGAGCGAAATAATGAGCGCAGTGTGGGGCCTGAGGTGTGATCAACGCAGTGGAGGGCTGGGCTGTATCAAATGGTAGGTTCAAGGGAGAAATCAAGGCCAGAGATGTGGACTCCAGAGTCATGGTTTTTCCCGGACAGTACTGAAAGCCAAGCAGCTAAGTGTGCAGGGAGAGGACAGAAGGCGACCAGGACTGGGATCTGGGGCATCCGATATTTAAAAGTGAAGCAGAGGAGGCGACCTCAGCAAAGGAGAGCGAGGTGGAGTGGCCAGTGAGGAAGGAGGCGGGCCAGGAGTGAGGGGTCGGGGAGCCCAGAGTGATTCTGTGCAAGACATTGATTTAGCACAAGGCCTGGAACATCAGAAAAGCGGGTCACTGCTGTAATGCTGCTGCTGTTCTCATTGCTGCCGCATCTATTCAGCCGTAATTGACTTATGGGCTGTAAGTAAACGTCCACTGAGCGCCTGAGTGAGCATTGCCCCTCAGTTGAAGATGCCACATCTCCATCCCCTGCTTCCCTGAGCATCTGAAGCCTCAAAACCTCTTCCTTGGGGCTTGCAAATCCCACACAGCACAGCCAGGCTCCCCAGCCATCCGCTCGCAGCAAAGGGCACACCATCCATGCAGACACCCAGGCCAGGAGCTGTGACCGTGTATCCTCCTGTCCTGAGTGCCAGCAAGTCTCCTTCCTAAACCTCTCTCCTTCTCTGTCCCCTCCTCACCCTGCAACCATGACCTTTTATTTATTTATTTATTTATTTATTTATTTATTTGAGATGGAGTCTTATTCTGTTGCCCAGGCCGGAGTGCAGTGGGGTGATCTCAGCTCACTGCAACCTCCGCCTCCCAAATTCAAGCAATTCTCCTGCCTCAGCATCCCGAGTAACTGGGACTACAGCCGTGTCCCGGATCCCATCAGGCTCAATATGGTGAAACCCTGTGTCTACTAAATATACAAAAAGTTAGCTGGGCGTGGTGGCAGGCACCTGTAATCCCAGCTACTCAGGAGGCTGAGGCAGTAGAATCGCTTAAACCCAGGAGGTGGAGGTTCCAATGAGCTGAGATCATGCCACTGCACTCCAGCCTGGGAGACAGAGCAAGACTCCATCTCAAAAAAAAAAATGCCCCAGTTGTCCCAGTAATGCCTGTCACAGCTCTGTCTCCTCCTGTCCCAGATCCCAATGGGCTCACACATGGCATTCCACGTCCTCGTCCCGTTAGTCTCTTTTAATCAAGAACAGTCCCCTAGCCCCTTTTTGTCCTATGAGGAGTCCAGTCATTTTGCAGAATGTCTTTCAATTCGGGTTTGTCGATGTTTCACCGGGGTTAGGTGTAGGCAATGCATTTGCAGAAGGACAATTTAGAAGGGAAGGATTCTGTGCGCACCCCAGCATCCCCTCCCCCGACCCCATGCATCACATCAGGGGCATCTGATGTTGGTTTGTTCCACTCTGGGGATGCTGAACAGCTGCTTGGTAAAGGTAGTATCTTTCTGCTCTCCCCAGCCTAAGGGCGCCTTTTCTCTCAGTAATCGATGCAGAATCTGAGGACTGATGCTTTGAGACCATGGTGAAACCCCTGTTTCCTGACAACTTACCACCCTAGGGATTTCGCATCTGCCGGTGATTCGTGCCTGAACCAGTTATTGCTACAGTAGCTGCAACAGTCTCTTAACTGGTTTCTCATCCTTCAGCCCCTCCCTGCTCCAACTCATCCTTTGCACCTTTGACCTAGGGAACTTCCTAAGGCACAGGTGCAATTACATGACTTTCCTCCTCAAAAAAAACCTTCAGTGGCTCCCTACTACTTAGAGAAGAAAGTCCAAACTCCTTGACTAAGGCCAGGCACAGTGGCTCACTCCTGTAATCCCCAGCCAGGAATTTGAGACAAGCCTGGCCAACATGGTGAAACCCTGTGTCTACTAAAAATACAAAAATTAGCCAGGCGTGGTGTTGCAAGCCTGTAATCCCAGCTACTAGGGAGGCTGAGGCAGGAGAATCACTTGAACCCAGGAGGCAGAGGTTGCAGTGAGCCGAGATGGCACTACTGCACTCCAGCCTGGGCAACAGCATGAGACTCTATCTCCAAAAAATAAAAATAATAATAATAGGCCAGGTGCAGTGGCTCACGCCTGCAATCCCAGCACTTTAGGAGGCTGAGATGGACAGACCACTGAAGGTCAGGAGTTTGAGACCAGCTGGGCCAACATGGTGAAATCCCGTCTCTACTAAAAATACAAAAATTAGCTGGGCATGGTGGCAGGAGCCTGCAACCTCAATTACTTGGGAGGCTGGGGCGGGAGAATTGCTTAAACTGGGGAGGTGCAGGTTGCAGTGAGCTGAGATCGCGCCACTGCACTCTAGCCTGGGCAACAGAGTGAGACTCCATCCCCCCGCCAAAAAAATAATAATAATACAGTGGGTAGCATGGTTCATTGTGGTTGCTCCATCATGACATGGGAACTGTTACTATTATTAACACTCAGGCCACCAAAGTAAGCCATGCCCAAGGTCCCAAATGGCCAGTGAGATGGCTATCTGGGGGGCCCCAGGCCATCACCATGGGAACCAACCTGGCAGAAGGACTCACCCTCCTTTTTCTGGCCTGCAGTGTCTCTTCCCACAGGGGACCTGGTGAGGAGAGATGGAGCCTTTTGGGAGCTGTCAGCTTTTGGCCCCTCCTGAGGTCTCCTAGGGATCATCACTGCGAGCTCGTCCCAGCTGGGGGCCTCCTCCTGCCTCTCAACAGTGTCCCAATCCTGCCAGAGAAGGGGAGGAGAAAGTATGTTTGTGGGAGAAGAAAGGCTGCAGGACATATACTCCCCAAATGAGAAGGATAGAAGGAAGGGAAGAGAATTGACATTAAAAAGCGCTTCTGGGGCCGGGCGCGGTGGCTCAAGCCTGTAATCCCAGCACTTTGGGAGGCCAAGACGGGCGAATCACGAGGTCAGGAGATCGAGACCATCCTGGCTAACACGGTGAAACCCCGTCTCTACTAAAAAATACAAAAAACTAGCCGGGCGTGGTGGCGGGCGCCTGTAGTCCCAGCTACTGGGGAGGCTGAGGCAGGAGAATGGTGTAAACCCGGGAGGCGGAGCTTGCAGTGAGCTGAGATCCGGCCACTGCACTCCAGCCTGGGCGACAGAGAGAGACTCCGTCCCAAAAAAAAAAAAAAAAAGCACTTCCCTGGTCGGGTGCGGTGGCTCACGCCTGTAATCCCAGCACTTTGGGAGGCCAAGGCGGGCGGATCACGAGGTCAGGAGATCGAGACCATCCTGGCTAACACGGTGAAATCCCGTCTCTACTAAAAAATACAAAAAATTAGCCAGGCATGGTGGCGGGCGCCTGTAGTCCCAGCTACTTGGGAGGCTGAGGCAGGAGAATGGTGTGAACCCGGGAGGCGGAGCTTGCAGTGAGTGGAGATAGCGCCACTGCACTCCAGCCTGGGCGACAGAACGAGACTCTATCTCAAAAAACAAAAAAAAAAGCACTTCCGTGCTGGGCGCAGTGGCTCATACCTGTAATCCCAACACTTTGGGAGGCCGAGACAGGTGGATCACCTGAGGTCAGGAGTTCAAAACCAGCCTGGCCAACATGTGAAACCCCATCTCTACTAAAAATACAAAAACTAGCCAGGCATGGTGGTGGGCGCCTGTAATCCCAGATACTCCAGAGGCTGAGGCAGGCAAATCGCTTGAACCTGGGAGACGGAGGTTGCAGTGAGCTGAGATCATGCCACTGCACTCCAGCCCAGGTGACAGAGCAAGACTCCATCTCAAAAATAAATAAATAAGGCCGGGCGCGGTGGCTCAAGCCTGTAATCCCAGCACTTTGGGAGGCTGAGACGGGTGGATCATGAGGTCAGGAGAGCGAGACCATCCTGGCTAACATGGTGAAACCCTGTCTCTACTAAAAAATACAAAAAACTAGCCGGGTGAGGTGGCGGGCGTCTGTGGTCCCAGCTACTCGGGAGGCTGAGGCAGGAGAACGGTGTAAACCCGGGAGGCGGAGCTTGCAGTGAGCTGAGATCCGGCCACTGCACTCCAGCCTGGGCGACAGAGCGAGACTCCGTCTCAAAAAAAAAATAAAAAATAAAAATAAATAAATAAATAAAATTAAATAAAATATAAAAAGCACTTCCTAAACCATCAAGTTCTGTGTTCTGCCCTGGAGAGGTGACAGTGAGTGGTGCCACACTTTCTGTGGTGTAGACTCTGCTCCATGGACTCAGTAAAAAGCACTTCCAGCCTGGGCAACACAGTGAGACCCCATCTCTACAAAATTTTTTTAAAAAATTAGCTAGGCATGATGGTGCATGCCTGTAGTCCCAGCTACTCAGGAGGCTGAGGTCAGGGGATCACTTGAGCCCAGGAAGTCAAGGCTGTAGCGAGCCATGTTCAAGTCATTGTATTCCAGCCTGGGCGACAGAGCAAGACCCTGTCTCAACAATCAACTTTTTTTTTTTTTCTTTTTGAGATGGAGTTTTGCTCTTGTTGCCCAGGCTGGAGTGCAACGGCACAATCTAAGCTCACCGCAACCTCCAACTCCCAGATTCAAGTGATTCTCCTGTCTCAGCCTCCCAAGTAGCTGGGATTACAGGTGCCCGCCACCACACCCTGTTAATTTTTGTATTTTTGGTAGAGATGGAGTTTCACCATGTTGGCCAGGCTGGTCTTGAACTCCTGACCTCAGGTGATCGCCCACCTTGGCCTCCCAAAGTGCTGGGATTACAGGTGTGAGCCGCCGCACCTGGCCTTCAATCAGTCAATTAAATAAAAAGCACGTGGCCGGGCGCGGTGGCTCACGCCTGTAATCCCAGCACTTTGGGAGGCCGAGGCGGGCGGATCACAAGGTCAGGAGATCGAGATCATGGCGAAACCCCGTCTCTACTAAAAATAGAAAAAATTAGCCAGGCGCAGTGGCGGGCGCCTGTAGTCCCAGGTACTCGGGAGGCTGAGGCAGGAGAATGGCGTGAACCCGGGAGGCGGAGCTTGCAGTGAGCCGAGATTGCACCACTGCACTCCAGCCTGGGCGACAGAGCGAGACTCCGTCTCAAAAAAAAAGCACGTGCTGTTTGCCTGGCACTGTGCTGGGCTCTAGCAGGTGCTAAGTGCTAAGTCGCTTATCTTCAATGAACCTAGGAGGCATGCACGTCCATTGAAGCCAAGAGCTTTGCCCAGAGTCCCCGAGTTCCGCATCTGGGACTGGTGTGAGATACCCCCAGGGGCCAGAGAGAAGTGGGTTCAAATCCTAGCCCCACTACTTCCCAGATGTGTGGCCTCCACTAAATTGCTCCCCCTCTGAGCCTCAGCCCCATATGGGACGACTGAAGTCTCTGCCTCCGAGGGTGTGGTGAGTCTCCCTCGAGCCCACACCAACCAAGCGCTTAGCATGGAGCTGGCCACGAAGCATGCCAGGCTGGGTGGTTTTATTCTGAGTCTTATCACCAGCCCCCGTCATTTTCCTTTTGAAGGGGTCTCCTGGGACAAGCCTGTCTCTCCGGCTCCATGGCAGCCCCTCAAAGTGCCAATGCTAGAGGAAAGACTGCTGGGTCTTCTCTTTTCGTGGCTAAATGACCCCCGCAGCCTGCTCCCTTCCCTCTGTCCCTTGGAAATCTACGCCAGGGCTCGCTGTGGGGCTCAGCACCATGTGATGAGGGCAGGGCCCTGGGGTTCTGTGCCACTCTTGCTCTAGACATCACACCCAACGTCCCAGCCCTCTGGGACCTGGCAGCCCGAGCCCGCTGGTGATTCACCCGGAGCGCCTGTCAGCTGAAACTCCTTTCACCGTCTTTTCACAGCCAGACCCCAGCCGCCCTGGGCCAGCCTGTGCAGAAACCCCCACCCTCTGGGGGTTCGCCGGGGTGGCCCGAGGTGCCAGCTAATGGTCCAGAGGACCTCGCCGAATTCTCTGGTATGAGGCTTAGCCCTGGCCTGGAGGTTCAGGGCTGCAGATGGAGGTGTGAGCCACTCTTGTCCACCCATCTCCCGCTCCTGGCTCACCACAGAGGACGAGTTACTGGTATCATCAGGGGTGGCGGAGTCAGGGCTGGAGCCGGGGTCAGAGCCGGGGTCCTCGTTGCAGCTGCCACACAGGGAAGTGGTCAGGCCCTCCAGATAGGACACTGCCTCAAGATCATGGCTCCCGCTCCTGGGGGCGGCTGTGGGATCCTCTTCCGGGAGCCCTGCTGAGGGGGATGGGTCCCTGGGAGAGGAGACAGACCCATGACTTTTTCCCAAAAAGTAATGGGGAGTTAGGGGTACTCCCCACCCCACCCAGGCATTCACACTCACTCACACAGGGAGCCTGGGGCCCACACGCTGGTGTGGGAGAGGGAGCCAATGCTGAGGGCTGCCTCTGTGTCAGGCTTTTTATATGGGTTGCCTCGTTGAGCTAAAACAGCATCTCTTTATTTTTTTTATTTTTAATTGTGTTGTTGTTGTTGTTGAGACAGAGTCTTGCTCTGTTGCCCAGGCTGGAGTGCGGTGGCACGATCTCGACTCACTGCAAGCTCCGTCTCCTGGATTCACGCCATTCTCCTGCCTCAGCCTCCCAAGTAGCTGGGACTACAGGTGCCTGCCACCTCACCCAGCTAATTTTTTGTATTTTTTCGTAGAGACGGGGTTTCACCATGTTAGCCAGGATGGTCTCGATCTCCTGACCTCATGATCCACCCGTCTCGGCCTCCCAAAGTGCTGGGATTACAGGCGTAAGCCACCGTGCCCGGCCTTCTGTTTTTTTAAATATGTCTACCTGTGAGGAGCACATGAGTGATCCTAGCACAATGCTGATTTGATTCAGTCCCTCTTATTTTACAGACAGGGAAACTGAGACACAGAAAGACAGAGTAACTTGCTCAAGACCCATCAGGGATGGATCTGAAGCTGGAACCCAGGTTTCTAGACTCTCAGGCCATGGCCTCCCAAGGTATCATGACCTTAAAGGGGGAACTGCCACTCAGGCCTGAGGGTGGAAGGAACCCCAGAGCCCGGAGCAGTGCACACCCAGGTAGGTGGGTGACAGCAGGTGCCCCTGGGTGCAGGGACTGTTTAATCTTTTAAAGCTGTGCAAAGGGAACCAGGAAATGTGAGTAGGCTGTGGCCATGCCCACTGCAAGGTGGGTGCACAGCGGCACACGCCCTGGGGCAAAGCTGAGCTCGGTCTTGGGAGGTTATCGGGGGGGCAGGGGCCCCGGGAGAGACAGCCAGGGTTGGGGAGGGGAGATTCAGCCACCCAAGTGCAAGCAGGGTGGTGTGATCTGAGTTCTTCCTGTCTGCCCAAGAAGCATGCCCACTGCCCACCTGTGCCTAGGTTTAGAGGACTGACCACGTGACCCATGCCAGCAGCCATTACAGACAGGTGTTGCCTTGGGGAAGGAGTGCAAATGGGAAGGGCAAGGGCATTCCCCCCCATGAAGCCTTTCCCCGGGCCCTGGGACTCTACCCACCTCCTGGACCCTGGCCGGAGGCCCAGGTCCACCACAGACCGGCAGCCAGAGGTTGAGGCGCTGAGTGGGTCCTCAGGGGCAGGCGGGCATCGAGGCAGGTCGCAGTAGGGCACCTCAGCACCTGAAGGGCTCCTGAGCTCCTGGGCCAGGGTTGGAGAGAGGAGACAGCTCAGCGCCCACGTGGGGTCTCCCCTCCCCCTGCACAGCCCCTCCCAGCGGTGTGGGAGTCTCCAGGCATCTCCTCCGGGGATCTCGCACTTCTCAAGGAGCTGCCCATCAGGCTGGAAGCGCCCCTTGGGACTCAAGCCGAGGGCTGGCTGAGGTACCCAGTGTGTGCATGCACACGTGTGTGTACACATACAGGCCTTGGAGCAGGTATGTGTGTGGGTAAAGACCTGGTATTGGGGGCACGTGTGTACACATAGGTGGAGTGAGCTCTTGCGCATGCATGCCTGCGCAGGTCCCGCGGGTACACGGATCTGTATGTTTGCATCAGTGCAAGTTTATGTATATATGCATGTATGTTGTGCGCCCCAGAACGAGGTGGAAAGAAGGATCCACCAGGGTCTTTTGCGGTCAAAAGACAAGGGTGAGGAGGAAGGATTAGGCTGGCTGAGAGAAGGAAGAGGTCTGAGGGAGGAAGAGGCAGTTTGATGGTAGAGGAGATGGGAAAACAAGGTCTTGGAGGACAGAAGAGATTTGCCCCACTAAAGGAGAGGCAGGGGCTCCAGGGCTGGAGGGTCAAGGCCCCAGAAAAAGGGCGGGGGCCTGGAGCCAGCTGCCCGCTCCTCTCTCCCTCCCCCCTTGGCAAGGCCACACCTGTGAAGGCTGGTCTGGTGCTCGGCTCACCAGGGGAGAACGGTTGCTCACCTCCAGGGCCCCCCCCAATTCCTCCCCACCTCTGGAGAGCGGCAGGTCCCTCCCCTGGTGGTGGGAGACAGCGGCCATAGCACCCTGCGCCCCGCCTCCTCTCGGATTACCTGGGCTGCGGGCTCTGGCGGTGGTGGCGGCTGTCGGCTGTCAGCACCCTCATCCCCGGGGGGCTCCGGCTCAGGCCCCCACGCTGCCGCCCTCCCAGGCCCCGACTCCGGGCTGTGGTGGCAGCAGCAGCCGAGGCAGTGGAAACCTTAGAGGGGCCGGCTTCGGGAGCAGGGGCCCCTCATTACTGTTTCATAAGCCGGGGCCCAGCCAAGAACAATGCAGGACTTGAAACCACAGGAACCCGATCCCAGCAGCTCACCTGAGAGCCGGGAGGGGCAGGAGCCTGGGCATGGGATCCCTGGGGACCCTGGAGCCCAGAGCCCAGGGCCAAGGCAGCAGCCTGGTTGGCAACATGGGGTGGGCACAGGCTCTCCAGGTTCCAAGAAGGCCACTGCTGGGGGTCAGGCGGTGCCAAGAAGTGGGGTTGGGGTATCTGCCATGACATCCAGGCCAGGGGAGCTTGGCAGGATTCAGTTTCGCCCCCTGCCCTGTAGCCAGATTCTGATCAGAGCTCGGCAGCAGGAGGTGTCAGATCCACAGCCGGGCCTGGCGCCTTGGCCACCCAGGGGACGGCACAGCAGAAATCAGGAGACGCTCGCCAGGCATCATCCAGGGGTCTCCGCCCCGCCAGGCCCAGCAGGAACCTCAGCCTGATGTGACACCTCATCCTGGCTTTCATCCCAGCTCCCGTCACCACCTCACCACCCACTTGAGTGGGCCCCACAGTCAGTCCCCTGCTCTGATTTCCTGTCTGGCGGGTCAGCACTGGCTCTGGCCTCAGATAGACCTCGGGCCCCATCCTGGCTCCTCCACTTCCCGGCTCGTGACCTCAGGCCGATGACTTCCCCTTTTGGAGCCTTGTTTTCTCCTCTAGGAAATGGAGGCTGAGATGCAACCAAGACCTGGGCCACGTGTATCCTCTCTGTGCCTCAGTTATCTCATCTACAAAACCAGCAGGATAGCAGGACCCACCTCCTAGGGGTGTTCTGAGAGTTAAATGAGTTAATATTTGTAAAGGGATTTTTTTTTTTTTTTTTTTTTTTTTTGATACAGAGTCTCGCTCTTGTAGCCCAGGTTAGAGTGCAATGGTGCAGTCTTGGCTCACTGCAACCTTCACCTCCTGGGTTCAAGCAATTCTCCTGCCTCAGCCTCCCCAATAGCTGTGATTACAGGTGACGCCACGCCCGGCTAATTTTTCTATTTTTAGTAGAGACAGGGGTTTGCCATGTTGGCCAGGCTGGTCTTGAACTCCTGATGGCAGGTGATCTGTCTGCCTCAGCCTCCCAAAGTGCTGGGATTACAGGCGTGAGCCACCGTGCCCAGCCCCTAAAAAATTTTCATTAAATAGACAGGGTTTTGCCATGTTGCCCAGGCTGGTCACAAACTCCTGGGCTCAATCAATCCTTCCACCTTGGATGCCCAAAGTGCTTGGATTATAGTTGTAAGCCTCTGTGCCCAGCCAATTTTTTTTTTTTTTAGACAGAGTCTTACTCTGTTGCCCAGGCTGGAGTGCAGTGGCATGATCTCAGCTCACTGTAACCTCCACCTCCTGGGTTCAAGTGATTCTCATGCCTCCGCCTTCTGAGTAGCTGGGACTATAGGTGCACACCATCATGCCTGGGTTATATATATAGATAGATAGATAGTTTTTTTGTTTTTTGTTTTTTTTTTTTTGAGACAGAGTCTTGCTCTGTCTCCCAGGCTGGAGTGCAGGGACGCCTTCTTGGCTCACTGCAAGCTCTGCCTCCCGGGTTCACGCCATTCTGCCTTAGCCTCCTGAGTAGCTGGGACTACAGGTGCCCGCCACCATGCCCAGCTAATTTTTTGTATTTTTAGTAGAGACGGGGTTTCACTGTGTTAGCCAGGATGGTCTCGATCTTCCTGACCTCGTGATCTGCCCACCTCGGCCTCCCAAAGTGCTGGGATTGCAGGCGTGAGCCACTGTGCTCGGCCAATTTTTATATTTTTAGTAGAGATGGGGTTTCACCGTGTTGCCCAGGCTGGTCTCGAACTCCTGCGCTCAAGTTGATCCGCCTGCCTCAGCCTCTCAAAGTGCTGGGATTACAGGCGTCAGCCACCGTGCCTGGCCTCAATTTTTTTTTTTTTTTTTTGGGAGACGGAATCTTGCTCTGTCGCCTAGGCTGGAGTGCAGTGGCGCGATCTCGGCTCACTGCAAGCTCTGCCTCCTGGGTTCACGCCATTCTCCTGCCTCAGCCTCCCGAGTAGCTGGGATTACAGGTACCCGCCACCATGCCCTGCCAATTTTTGTATTTTTAGTAGAGTCAGGATTTCACCATGCTAGTTAGGCTAGTCTCAAACTCCTGACCTCGGGTGATCCACCCGCCTTGGCCTCCCAAAGTGCTGGGGTTACAGGCGTGAGCCACCATGCCCAACCCAGTGTCAGTTTTTTACTATCACATCTGGTACACAGGGAGCTGTTTCCTGCCCAGAGTTGGGTCCCAGGGCCTGGCTCAGAGACACAACAGTCACCCCTCATGCATTTGCCAAAGGAGAGTTTCACAGCCTCAGATCATCATCAGAGCAACTGGAGGCTCAAGAAAGTGGAGGATTTGATGTTGTGCGCCTCTCTGATCTCTTTTTTTTTTTTCCCAGATAAAGTCTTGCTCTGGCAATGGCATGATCACAGTGTACTGCAGCCTCGATCTCCTGGGCTCAAATGATCCTCCTGCCTCAGCCTTCCAAGTAGCTGGGACTGCAGGCGTGTACCACTACATCCGTTAATTTTTTGTTTTGTAGAGCTGGGATCTCACTTTGTTACCTAGGCTGATCTTGAACTCCTGGTTTCAAGCACATCCTTCAGCCTCAGCCTCCTAAAGTGCTGTGATCACAGGCAGGAGCCATTGTGCCCAGCCCCCTCTCTTACCTTGAAACCATCTCTGGTCTTGGCTACTGGAGAGGAGGGGCACATTGTGGGGTTTGCCTCCAAGCCTCTGGCCTTCTTGGCTGTCTTTGCTGATTCCCTGGCCTCCACCCAGGCCTATTCTCATCTCATTCCACACTTTCCTCCGCAGACGATAGCCTCATCCATGAGCAAGACTTTGGTCAGTGACAGATCCTGAAGACTCGCAGGTCTCCATCTCCTGTGGTGGTCTGGCCCTGAGCTCCAGCTCCCCCAATTCACTAACCTCCCCCTCATCTCCACCGTGTCCTGCCGGCACCCCACACCATGCCCCCAGACAACTCCAAACAGACCTCCCAACCCAAGTACCCTGCCTGGAGAAATAACAGGAGTCAGCCATGGGTTTCTCCCCTCCCTCACCCCCAAATCCTGTAGATGTGCCTGTTCAATTAGTTCAGAAATGTGTCAATTTGCCTCCATCTCAAAGCCCCGATGAGTACGTGCAGCTTTTCCTGGCGGGTCACCTGACACATTCTTACCACCCTGCACACTCCATTCTCTCTGCCCAGCAATCAGTGACTGTGTTACCTAGGCTGGTCTCAGACTCCTGAGTTCAAGTGATCCTGCTGCCTCAGCCTCCCGAAGTGCTGGCATTACAGGTGGGAGCTGCTGTGCCAGGCTGGCCTTTGCACGTTCTACTCCCTTCCTCTCCCCTTCCTGCAATTTCACCGACTAATGCTAATGCCTGCACAGCCTTTACCAAGCAGCTGAAATGTCATTTTTTTGGAGACACTTTCCCCAATGCCCTATCCTTTACTTTCATGCCACTTACTGTTCCTTTATACATTCATCACAACCAAGATTAAATAATCATGTGCATGATTACTTTCTTACTGTCCATTTATCTTGCTAGACTACAAGCCCTATGAAGTCAAGCCAGGGATATGTCCCCCTCTCCTCATCTCCTCCTCCCTCTCCCTCTCCTCTCCCCTCTCCCCCTCCCCCTCCCTGTTTTCTGTTCTGTTCTGAGACATAGTGTAACTCTGTCACCTAGGCTGAAATACAGTAATGCGATCATGGCTCGCTGCAGCCTCCACCTCCCAGTCTCAGGTGATCCTCCCACCTCAGCCTCCCAAGTAACTGAGACTATAGCTGCATGCCACTATGCCCAGCTAATGTTTTAAATTTTTTGTAGAGATGGGGTTTTCCATGTTGCCAGGCTGGTCTCGAACTCCAAGTGATCTGTCCGCCTTGGCCTCCCAAAGTGCTATGATTACAGGAGTGAGCCACTGCGCCCGACTGTGCCTTTCTGATTTATCATGATTTCCCCAACATCTAGCATCATTCCTGGCACATTTTAAGCACCTATTCAGTATATATGAATTCATGAGCTGACCCACAGTCTCAGGTGGGAAATGGTGGGATTGAGACTAGAACTCAGACCAGCCTGAATCCAGAGCTCTCCCGTTCCATGCTTGCCATCTTCCCAACCACTGGGAGAAGGTCATTTGCATGAAAGATGGACTCCCAGGCATCTGTTCCCTGAACCTGAACTTGCAGACGAGCACAGGAAAGCTATAATTGGAGGTATCAAGACCGGTAGAAGCCAGGCACGGTGGCTCACTCCTGTAATCCCAGCACTTTGGGAGGCTGAGGTGGGTGGATCACCTGAGGTCAGGAGTTCGAGAACAGCCATGGCCAACATGGCGAAACCCTGCCTCTCCTAAAAATACAAAACTTAGACAGGCATGGTAGCGGGCGCCTGTAATCCCAGCTACCTACTTGGGAGGCTGAGGCACAAGAATTGCTTGAACCCGGGAGGCAGAGGTTGCAGTGAGTCGAGACTGCGCCACTGCAGTCCGGCCTAGGTGACAGAGCGAGACTCTGTCTCAAAAAAAAAAAAAAAACTAGTAGAAAAGAGTCCTCCAAGGTTTACTTTTCTGGTCAGGAAGGAGGAAGACAGGAAACTAACATGAACTGAATTAGCCACACGTGGCTTGGGCTAAGCAGTGCCAGATGTCCTGAATGAGAAGCCTATTGCCCCAACTTCAGCCATGAGGACAGTAAAGCCAGAGAAGTTAACCCCAGGTGACACAGCAGGTCACGGCAAACCTAGGACTGGAGCTCGGGCCTGCCTGGCTCCCAAGCCCAACAGCAGTAACCCCTTCCCAATGGCACCTCTAGGAAACTAACCCCTGCATGAAACTGGCTGCCAGGCTCAAAGGGAGCTGCAGGCCGGGTGCGGTGGCTCACGCCTGTAATCTCAGCACTTTGGGAGGTCGAGGTGGGCAAATAACGAGGTCAGGAAGATTGAGACCATCCTGGTTAACACGGTGAAGCTCCATCTCTACTAAATATACAAAAAATTAGCCGGGCGTGGTGGCAGGTGCTTGTAGTCCCAGCTACTCGGGAGGCTGAGGCAGAAGAATGGTGTGAACCCGGGAGGCGCAGCTTGCAGTGAGTTGAGATGACGCCACTGCACTCCAGCCTGGGCAACAGAGCGAGACTCTGTCTGAAAAAAAAAAAAAAAAAAAAAGAGGAGCTTCAGACCCCAGTGGGAATGACGAAGCCATGGGGGTCAAGGTTGGAAGGGCCCTCTGAGGTTCATGGGTCCGAGGTTTCTCATCGCGTGTGTATCAGGTCCTCTGTGTTTACGTGCATGGGGGCTAGGCAGCAGACTACATCAATCACAAGGTAAGAAAAGGACTCTTCTTCACTCCTTCAATAACCTGAAGAAGAAAATCTCGGCTGGGCGCAGTGGCTCATGCCTGTAATCCCAGTGCTTTGGGAGGCCGAGGTGGGCAGATCACAAGGTCAGGAGTTCAAGACCAGCCTAACCAACATGGTGAAACCCTGACTCTACTAAAAATACAAAAATTATCCAGGCGTGGTGGCGCACTCCTGTAATCCCAGGTACTCAGGAGGCTGAGGCAGGAGAGTCACTTGAACCTGGGAGATGGAGGTTGCCATGAGCCGAGACTGAGCCACTGAACTCCAGCCTGGCGACAGAGAGAGACTCCGTCTCAAACAAAAAAAAAAAAGAAAAGGACTCTTCTTCACTCCTTTAATAACTTGAAGACGAAAATCTCCAGATCTCCAGACCAGGTGCGGTGTCTCACACCTGTTATCCCTGAAGTTACGGAGGTTGAGGTGGGGGGATCGCTTGAGCCCAGGAACTTGAGACTAGCCCTGGCAACATAGTGAGATCCCGTCTCTACAAGAAAATTAGCCGGACGTGGTGGCATGTGCCTGTAGTTCCAGCTACTCAGGAGGCTGAGGTGGGAAGATCATTTGAGCCTGGGAGGTCGAGTCTACAGTAAGCCATGATTGGACCACTGCACTCCAGCGTGGGCTACAGAGCAAGACCCTATCTCCAAAAGGAAAAAAAAAAAGAGAGAGAGAGAGAGAAAGAAAATCTCCAGATGATGCTGGTGTATTCTTAACATCTCTCTAACATCTGCTAATCTCCCTTTTTGACAAAGAGACAGCAGGACTCAAGCTCAGAGCCTTCCACAGAAAACACTCTCAGCCCTCAGAGCCCAGTGCCACCACCATGTCCTCCAGCGCTAGCGCGAGCGCCCTGCAGCACCTGGTGGAGCAGCTCAAGTTGGAGGCTAGTGTGGAGAGGATCAAGGTCCTTCAGGCAGCTGCAGAGCTTCAACAATACTGTATGCAGAATGCCTGCAAGGATGCCCTGCTGGTGGGTATTCCAGCCGGAAGTAACCCCTTCCGGGAGCCCAGATCCTGTGCTTTACTCTGAAGACTCTAGGAGAGAAGTTCACTGAGGAATGCCTTCGAGCACAAAGTGACGAATGACTGCCTTCAGTCTCAAGAAAACACTTTTCCCTAGCTCTAATTAGAGATATTTTAGCCCTTTCCTGTGGACTGGTCCTATAGCGAAAATCACAGAAATTCATGAGTTTCTACTTGAGTGAGGAAACTGGGTGAAGAAATAGAGTTTTAAATAGTAATAGCCTGTTTTTTTGTGCAAGTACTTTTATACATAAGACAAAGAAAAACCGTACCACCAAATATACCAAAATGCACCTGTTTCATAAGTGAGTTACTAATATTTCTATACCTGGAATATCACGTATGTTTTATTTACTGGATGTTTACATTTTAAGAAGGAAAATAGTTGTGTTTATTTAAACAATTGAATACTTGTAAACTGTTGTTCCTGGAAGATATTTAACACATAAAAAATGTGTTCTTTTCGGCCGGGCGTGGTGGCTCAAGCTTGTAATCTGAGCACTTTGAGAGGCCGAGACGGGCGGATCACGAGGTCAGGAGAGCGAGACCATCCTGGCTAACAAGGTGAAACCCCGTCTCTACTAAAAAATACAAAAAAAAAACTAGCCCGGCAAGGTGGCGGGCGCCTGTAGTCCCAGCTACTCGGGAGGCTGAGGCAGGAGAATGGCATAAACCCAGGAGGCGGAGCTTGCAGTGAGCTGAGATCCTGCCACTGCACTCCAGCCTGGGCGACAGAGCGAGACTCTGTCTCAAAAAAAAAAAAAAAGTGTTCTTTTCTCATGAATTCACAATTCCTAAATGAATACAAGAAAGTACAAATTGCTGGGAGGAAGAATAGGCTTTACTAATTGACTGATGTCTTGATTTTTCTAAATGGGAAGATTGTTTTAACACTAAATATAGGAGCAGTTTCTTAACAAACTTGTTTGGAAAAGTTAATGTTATGATGTGCATTAGGCTGCCCCATTGTGTATATAAATAAAGCAGATTCAATCTTCATAAAAAAAAAAAAAAGAAAAGACTCTCGAGGCCAGGTGCAGTGGCTCATGCCTGTAATCCCAGCACTCTGGGAGGCTGAGGCAGGTGGATCACCTGAGTTCAGGAGTTTAACACCAGCCTGGCCAACATGGCGAAACCCTGTCTCTACTGAAAATACAAAAATTAGCTGGGCATGGTGGCAGGCACCTGTAACCCCAGCTACTTGGGAGGCTGAGGCGGGAGGATCGCTTGAACCCAGGAGGTGGAGGTTGTGGTGAGCTGAGATCACGCCACTGCACTCCAACCCTGGCGACAGAGTGAGACTCCGTCTTACAAAAAAAAAAAAAAAAAAAAGAAAAAGAAAAAAAAGAAAGAAAGAAAAAGAAAACACTCTCAAGTTAGGGTTTAATGACATTTCTGTTTTGTTTTTTTTCTTTTTCTACCTTTCTTCTGTGTTTTATTTTTTCTGAGACAGGCTGGAGTGCAGTGGCGTGTTCTCAGCTCACCACAACCTCCGCCTCCCGGGTTCAGGTGATTCTCCTGCCTCAGCCTCCCGAGTAGCTGGGATTACAGGCATGCACCACCATGCCCAGCTAATTTTTGTATTTTTAGTAGAGAGAGAGTGTCACCATGTTGGCCAGGCTGGTTTCAAACTCCCGACCTCAGGTGATCCACCTGCCTCGGCCTCCCAAACTGCTGGGATTACAGGTGTGAGCCCGTGCGCCCAGGCTCTACCTTTCTCCTTAACTTTATATACACAGGAAATAATTACAGTTTTCTACTTGTGTTGATGATGTGAAGTTTTGTTACAATAGGAGGGGAAAAAGATGTTGATTTAAAGACTAACAACCCCAAAAGAGACTAACAAAGGGCCGGGCGCGGTGGCTCCAAGCCTGTAATCCCAGCACTTTGGGAGGCCGAGGCAGGTGGATCACGTGGACCCAGGAGATCAAGACCACCATCCTGGCTAACTGTGAAACCTCGTCTCTACTAAAAAAAAATACAAAAAAACTAGCCGGGCGAGGTGGCGGCGCCTGTAGTCCCAGCTGCTCGGGGCCTGAGGCAGGGAGAATGGCGTGAACCCGGGAGGCGGGCTTGCAGTGAGCTGAGATCCGGCCACTGCACTCCAGCCTGGGCAGCAGAGCCAGACTCCGTCTCAAAAATAAATAAATAAATAAGATTAACGGCGAGCGCACATTGGCTCAAGCCTGTAATCCCAGCACTTTGGGAGGCCGAGGCGGGCGGATCACGAGGTCGGGAGATCGAGACCATCCTGGCTAACCGAAGGTGAAACCCGTCTCTACAAAAAAAAATACAAAAAAACTAGCCGGGGCGAGGTGGCGGGCGCCTGTAGTCCCAGCTACTCGGGAGGGCCAGGGCAGGAGAATGGCGTAAACTTCCCGGAGCGGAGCTTGTAGTGAGCCGAGTTCGTGCCACTGCCTCAGCCTGGGCGACAGAGCAAAGACTCCGTCTCAAAAAAAAATAAATAAATAAATAAATAAAAAAAATAAATAAAGACAACAAAGTATTAATAGATTAGATGAGGCTATGGCAACAAAATAAATAAAGATTAACAAAGTAAGTAATAGATTAGATGAGGCTATGGTAACAATCGTATCATATAAGCAGGAGGAAAGTGACTGAAGATTGTGAAACATTCACATGGTTCAACCACTTCATTGCAATGTGGGAAAACCGAGGCTCTGGCCAGGAGGAAGGTCAGCATCTGGGTTCAACTGTGAGTTAGCGGACACCACAGGCCCAGTCCTTCACCCATGCCCCCATCCCAAACCACCTCAACCACGTGGAAAACTGGCTCACCTGGTATCTTGCTCCGTGGGCGTCCTCAGGGTGGAAGCAGTTTTGACGGCGGTTCTGGGTAAGCATGTTGGCCTCAAAGTGTTCACAGGGGGCATCCCCAGGCACCTCCTCCATATTGGGTGAGTCAGGCCAGGGCAGTTCCTATAATCCAATGTCTGAACCTCTAGGTGAGGCCTGGCGAAAATGAGGGAGAGTCAAAGACCAGATGACTGGCTGGCCACTCACCTGAACCTCAGCCCCAGTTGCCCCAGTTTCCAGACAAGGACCAAGGAAATAAGGTTACTCATCCATTCCTTTGGATGTTCCTATTCTCCATCCATTCCTGTTCATTTTTTCACTCAACAAACACTCGCTAAGCATCTACTAAGCACCCAAGCACTCTGCCAGCATTTGATGTGCGATTTCTAGTCCTTACTGCAGTGTTGCTGAAAGTGCACGCCAAGGACTCTGCATTACACCCTCCTGGGCTGTTCATAAAAATGCAGATACCAGGCCGGGCACAGTGGCTGATGCCTGTAATCCCTGCACTTTGGGAGGCCGAGGTGGGCCGATCACTTGAGGTCAGGAGTTCGAGACCAGCCTGGCCAATATGGTGAAACCCTGTCTCTACTAAAAATACAAAAATCAGCCGGGTGTGATGGGGCGTGCCTGTAATCCCAGCTACTTGGGAGCCTGAGGCAGGAAGATGGCTTGAACCCAGAAGGCAGAGGTTGCAGTGAGCCAAGATCACGCCATTGCACTCCAGCCTGGGCGACAGAGTGAGACTCCATCTCAAAACAAAAAACAAAAAAATGCACATTCCAGCTGTGCCCAGTGTGGACGGATCATTTGAGCCCAAGAGTTCAAGACCAGCCTGGGCAACTGGCGAAACCCCATCTCTACAAAAAATACAAAAATTAGCTGGGCATGGTGGTGCGCGCCTGTAGTCCCAATTACTCAGAAGGCTGAGGCAGGAGAATCGCTTGAACCCAGGAGGTGGAGGTTGCAGTGAGCCAAGATCTCACCACTGCACTCCAGCCTGGGTGACAAGAGCGAGACTCTGCCTTTTAAAAAAAAAAAAGTGATTTCCCAGGTGATTCTAGTGCGCCCCAAAGTTTGAATGTCCTTGTATTATAGCTACTCTGCATTGTAGATCAAATTAATGCCAATTTTAGATCAGGCAACTAAGGCTCAGAGAGGTTCCTTTGCTCACTCAAGGTCACAGTGGCTGATTCAAATCCAGGGCTGTGTGTGTCCCTGCTCTCTTGGAGGTGGAAGTGAGGAGCACTGGATCATACTGCCAACTCGCACAGCTCCCTTGGGAAGCACAGCGAGGGAGGCAAAAGGCTGGCCAGATATTTTCAGAGTTGAGGATGACGTCTTTGACAAACATGAACAGCCTGAAGTCACACAGCAAGTTTGTGGCAGAGCTTAGCCAAAAAGAAACCCTAGTGTGTTGTTTTGTTTTGTTTTGTTTTTTTAAAACAAAGTCTCTCTCTGTCGCCTAGGCTGGAGTGCCGTGGTGTGATCTCAGCTCACTCGGCTCACTGCAACCTCCATCTCCTGGGTTCAAGCAATTCTCCTTCCTCAGCCTCCCAAGTAGTTTCTGGGATCACAGGCATGTGCCATCATGCCTGGCTAATTTTTGTATTTTTAGTAGCGACAGGGTTTTGCCATGTTGGCCAGGCGAACTCCTGACCTCAGGTGATCCACCCCCTTCAGCCTCCCAAAATGCTGGGATTACAGGTGTGAGCCACTGCACCTGGCCCCTAGTTTCTTTTTTGAGGAGGTGGTGGGGGCAGGGTCTTGCTCTGTCACCCAGGCTGGAGTGCAGTGGCTCAATCACAGCTCACTGCAGCCTCAAACTCCTGGGCTCAAATGATTCTCCAGCTTCAGTCTCCCCAGTAACTGGGAATACAGGTGCACGCCACCATGCCCAGCTAATTTTTTAACTTTTTCTTTTGTAAAAATAGGCTTTTGGCCAGGTGTGGTGGCTGACGCCTATAATCCCAGCACTTTGGGAGGCTGAGGCAGGCCGATCACTTGAGGCCAGGAATTCAAGACCAGCCTGGCCAACATAGTGAAACCCTGTCTCTACTAAAACTACAAAAATTAGCTGGGCGTGGTGGCGCACGCCTGTAATCCCAGCTACTCGAGAGGCTGGGGCAAGAGAATTGCTTGAACCCGGGAGGTAGAGGTTGCGGTGGAGCTAAGATCGCCCTGCTGCCCTCCAGCCTGGGCAACAGTGTGTCTCAAAAAACAAACAAACAAACAAAAAGGCTCTTGCTGTGTTACCCAGGCTAGTTTTGAACTCCTGAACTCCTAGACCTCAAGTAATCCTCCTCCTTCAGCCCCTCAAAGTGCTGGGATTACAGGTGTGAAGCATCACACCCTTCTGAAACCCTGGTGTCTTAACTTGTACAAGGGTTCTCCTTTCTGGGTGCCTCTTGGGCCACCAACATTCATGCCCTAGAATGAAGCTGGGTCAGGAGAGTCACTTAAAGATGCCCTCCCCACCCACACAGAGCTCCAAGGGGACGGTGGGGGGTGGGAGGAACCCGACATCCGAAAACACAAGCAGCTTTTGGTGCCTCCAGGTCACCTGCCCACATTCATTCATCCTCACCTGGTGTGTTCCAAGGATCAGGCTTTTGTTGCCGATCTTGGTGGAGAGCTGAGGAATTTCACCTCCTCCCCTGGGACAGCCAGGGCCAAGGCTCCTCCATCATCAGACCTGGAGAAGGGAATGGGGTGGGGGCGACAGCAGGGCACGGTGGGGAGAGGGCCACCCACTGGCCCTTCCGTGGCCCCAGGGTCTCTGATCCTCCCCGGGCGGTCGTCCTCCCGGCTCCTGGTGGTGGAAGAGGGGCGCATCGGCCCCGCCCGTCCTGGGCGTTTCTCTCCTGGTCTGGCCACATAAAGGAGCGTCGCCTAGCAGGAGAACGCCGCTGATTTTCCTGGGGGTGGGTAGGTGGCTCTACTCCACGTGCCCCTCTCTGCTCCCGTTTCCTCCCCTACCCACAACCAATAGGCAGAATCCTTCTCTAAAATGCACTTGAGATGTGGATATAATAATCAAAACCTTAAGCAGTTACACATGCCCCACCCAGAGAATGGACCCGAGACCCTCTCCATCCAGCCAGTTCCTCCCCGGATCCCTCGACCCCTACCCCTCCCGTAGGCCTCCCCCTACCAGCTCCTCTTTTCTGCGGCTCAGTGCTAACCTTGGCTGGATTTCCACGCACAGGGGCTGCCGGGGTGGGAGTGCCAGGGTCATGGCCTCTTTATTTTAACAATGAATCAGAGCGATGCTCGGGAAGTGGAAGGCAGGCCACGCCCCTGACACGCTCGCATAGGCTCTCTCTGGGTGCCTCATTTACATGAAGACTGTGGGACTCTGTGGGACTGGACAAGCCAGAACAAGGGGCGGGGCGGAGGCGGGCGGGGCACGGATACCTCTGAGAGCGGGACTCGCTGCACGTTTAGCCTGGGCCGCCTGCAGCACTCGCCCACTGGGGGTCCCCAGGGAGCCCTAGAGAGGGCTGGCACTGGCGGATCTGGCTCTTTCTGACCTCTTTCCCGTTGGTTCTGGCGACAGTCCGCTGGGCTGGCTTTAGCACAGACCTTGGACTAGAGTCTTAACCTCTCTGTCATGACAGTTTTCTTACCGCGGGGGCGGAGGTTGCAGTGAGCCGAGATAGCGCTATTGCACTCCAGCCTGGGCGGCAGAGCAAAACTCTGTCTAAAAAAGAAAAGAAAAGAAAAAAAAAAAAAAAAATAGCCGGGCGTGGTGGTGTGCGCCTGTAGTCTCAGCTACTCAGAAGGCTGAGGCAGGAGCATCGCTTGAACCCGGGAGGCGGAGGTTGCAGTAAGCTGAGGTCACACCATTGCACTCCAGCCTGGGCAACAAAGTGAGACTCTGCCTTAAAAAAAAAAAAGAAAGAAAAAAAGTTGTTTCCCATCTTTTTTCCTTTTGGTTGATATTTGGCAACTGCGGTGACTGGGAGGGGAGGAAGAGGGTGAAATTCACTGGACAGGGAGGAAGGTTGCAGCAGGAGTCCAGGAGAGAAGGATGCAGTGATGAGATGGGGAAGGTAGACCAGATTCAGACACTTGCAGGCGGGTGAGCTTGGCACTAGGGTCACGGAAATCTTAGATTATTTCGAGAGTTGTTGGGGATCACCTGGGGATTGATTTCAGACAGAATTGGCTGAGAACCTACATTGACACAGGCTTGTGCCCAGAGCAGAAACAGAAATGACTAAGATACAACTTCTCACTCAGAAAGCTCGTGATCTGGTTCGAGGGATAAACCAGGATCCACTGTGTTCAGTGTTTAAAAGAAGGAAACACCTACTATCATGGGAGGCCAGGTGGAGAAAGGAGGAAGCAGAGAAGGCTTCTCCTAGGAGGTGGCTCAAAGGTGAGGAGAGCGAGAAAGGCTGAGAACAGCCTGCAAACCTCTGAAGGTGTCTGGCGGAGGCCGATGCTAGCTCAGAACAAGGCAGGCATTTCCGGCAGTGCTCACAAGGGAGCAGGCAGTGAGCTCTCCAAGCTCAGGAGGAACTGAAGCCCCTCACCAGAGCCACCTGCAAGCCAAAGGAAGGTCAATGGCTCAAACCTGGGGGTGTCAAGGTCGTCAACGCCACTGGGACCTTGGAAAGGATGGAAGCTGAGGCTTATATGACCCTGGAACACCTGCCCCCACAGTTCCTCACCTCACCTCACCCCCCTGGGGAGAGCTCAGGCCACCCCGAAACAGATCCTACCAAAAGAAGTTTTCTTTTAGCAGGCTGAGCCCAGCTTCGGGTAACTATGGCCACAGCTCATCATTTACCAGCACATGGCCTGACCTCAGTGTGAAAACCGAGGATGGATAAATGTCTGCTGTGACTTTAGCCCCACACAGATGGATCCCCTCATGACAGTCCTTTATATATTTGGCTTCTGTGAAATAATCTGCTGATTGTACCCCAACACCCATTCTCTCCTTTTATTTTTGAGATGGAGTCTTGCTCTTGTCACCCAGGCTGGAGTGCAGTGGCGTGATCTTGGCTCACTGCAACCTCCGCCCCTCGGGTTCAAGCGATTCTCTTGTCTCAGCCTCCCAAGTAGCTGGGATTATAGGCACCTGCCACCACACCCGGGTAATTTATATATATATATATATATATTTTTTTTTTTTTTTTGAGACAGAGTCCCGCTCTGTCGCCAGGCTAGAGTGCAGTGGCATGATCTCGGCTCACTGCAACCTCCACCTCCTGGGTTCAAGCAATTCTCTTGCCTCAGCCTCCCAAATAGCTGAGATTACAGGCGCATGCCACCATGCCCGGCTAATTTTTGTGTTTTTAGTAGAGACAGGGTTTCACCATGTTGGCCAGGATGGCCTCGATCTCTTGACCTTGTGATCCGCCCGCCTCAGCCTCCCAAAGTGCTGGGATTACAGGTATAAACCACCACGCCCTGCTCCATTCTCCCCTTTCTAACACAATCCCCAATTATCATCTGGGTACTTGGTTTCCCAGAATAGAAGAGTTCCTGGCTGGAAGGGGTGGCTCATGCCTGTAATCCCAGCACTTTGAGTGGCCACAGCAGGTGGATCACCTGAGGTCAAGAGTTTGAGACCAGCCTGGCCAACATGGCAAAAACCCGTCTCTACTAAAAACACAAAAATTAGTCAGGCGTGGTGGCGGGTGCCTATAGTCCCAGCTACTTGGGAGGCTGAGGCAGGGGAGTTGCTTGAATCTGGGAAGCAGAGGTTGCAGTGAGCCGAGATCGCACCATTGTACTCCAGCCTGGATGATGAGCAAAACTCCATCTCGAAAAATAAATAAATAGAAGAGTTCCCAGCCTGTCTTGCAGCTAGGAGGTCCCTTGCCTCTGCCTCATGCCTTTGCCTCCTGCCTGGCCAACAGGACATGCCAAGTGACAAATTTTTTTTTTTTTTTGAGACGGAGTTTCACTCTTGTTGCCAAGGCTAGGGTGCAATGGCGCGATTCTCAGCTCACTGCAACCTCCACCTCCCAGGTTCTAGCAATTCTCCTGCCTCAGTCTCCCAAGTAGCTGGAATTACAGGTATGCGCCACCATGCCCGGCTAATGTGGTTTTTTAAGTAGAGACAGGGGTTTCTCCATGTTGGTCAGGCTGGTCTCGAACTCCCAACCTCAGGTGATCCGCCTGCCTCAGCCTCCCAAAGTGCTGGGATTACAGGCGTGAACCACCGCACCTGGCCCTAAATGTTTTCAAAAGGAGGGGCATGTTCTTCTTCATCCCCTTTTCTTCCTGCTGGCTGAATGCAGACATGTTGGCCGCAGCTCAAGCAGCCACCTTGTGCTGTGAGGCAAGGGCCCTATGTTGAAAATGGCACACAGCATAGAGTTAGAAGCCCAGCATCCCAACCTTCAACCTTCCCAGCTCCAGGCTGGGAACCTCCCATCTTTGTTAACCTGGGAACTCTTACACAAGCCAGTTGTTTTTCAATTTTGTTTTAGAGCATATGCAGCTAAACCTAACTCTTCTTCGTAAATCCCCCAGAGGCCCAACTCTGGAGAGCAATAGGAGGCAGGAGCCCAGGTGCCTCCACAGCACGGTGAGGGGCTCCTGGAGAAAAGACAAGTTCTCCAGAGGGCTCTGAATCCACCACCCCGATCCTAGAATTGGTCAAATCACTGTGACTCAACTTCCCTGGTTTGCTGGAAGAACTGAAGACACACACGGAAAGGAGTGGCTAAGAATTTAATACTGGTAAACACTATAAATTGTAAATGTAAGTTGTAAATGACCTTGTCACTGGAGAGGGGAGAAGGAACTGGAGTCAGACGTCCCAGCAGCAGCAGCAGTGGTGACATGCAGTAGACACAGCCGGAGAGCAACAGGCGCTTTGGGAAGTGGTTCATGCACGTGGTCTTATTTTAGTCTCAGGGCAGCCCTAAGAGGTAGGTACCTTATGTCATCTTACACATGAGGAAACAGACCAGAGAGGTCAGCACAGCAAGAAGCTCATGCAGCGACCAAGCAGCAGAGCCTGGATTCAAACCTGAGCCCTGCTGTGTGCAAGAACCCCTGGGACTCAGCTGTTCCTGCTCACAGCAGGCTGAGCACGAGCCACCTGGAGGGCCCATAATAGGCACCACTCTGCCCAGGCACGAGGCAGCCAAGTAGCACATGCCACCCAGGGAGGACAACAAAAAGGTGGCAGGGAGAGCAGGTGGGCGGAGCCAGAAGGCCAGGCCAAGGTGCTCAGCACAGTCCCTGAGGTGCCTTTGCCATAGCCGGTGCAGCCCTCAGACTCCCAGCAGCCTTCATGAGTGGGTTTTGATGGTGACATGGGAGAGGGCCTGCCCACTCCCAGGTACAGCATGACTGAGCCACAGTCACTTAGCCTGCCCCACTGCAAGGCCTGGCTGCTGGCTGTGGAGAGGACGGCCCTGCAGACCCTGTCTCACTGCTCCCCCCGCTCCAGGAGCTCCCGCATCATGGTGGGTAGAGCCCGAAGTCCTGTCGCAGGTGCCCCTCACCACACTGTCCTGTCATCCTGACTCCATAGTCCATGGTCGTCGGTGAGCCCTGGGAACACAGCTCACTCCCCTTTGTGGTCCTAGTGTTTAGGACCCAACATAGCTCCTCTAACCAAGGCACAACCTGAAATTCTTTCACTCCTGCCCAGGACTGACAAGCCGGGACAAAGAAGGGACAAGGTTTCCATCCACTCACCCATCTGGAAGGAGTGTGAAGACATGGCCCCTTGTTGAGTTCTAGCTGGCACCCACAGGGCCTTCTCTAGAGGGGCCACTTTTGTGCAAGTCAAGATGTAACTGCTTTATTTTTTCATTTTTTTTGAGACAGGGTCACACTCTGTCGCCCAGGCTGGAGTGCAATGGCATGATCTCAGCTCACTGCAGCCCCCACCTCCAGGGTTCAAGCGATTCTCCAACCTCAGCCTCCCGAGTAGCTGGGATTACACACGTGTGCCACCACACCCGGCTAATTTTTGTATTTTTAGTAGAGACAGGGTTTCACCATGTTGGCCAGGCTGGTCTCGATCTCCTGACCTTAAGTGATTTGCCCGCCTCAGCCTCGCAAAGTGCTGAGATTACTGGCGTGAGCCACTGAGCCGGGCTGCAATTGCTTTAAAAAGAATTAATTAATCCTTCCATGTTGGGCCCCGCCTGGGAGATACTGGAAGTCTGGGGACGCTGTCCCAGTGTGGTGATGGAGAATGACCTGGGACTCGACTGCTTCCACCACTTCAGTGTCAGCTGAGGAGACTCCTGGGGCCCAGGACAAGGCACAGGCACAGAGGCTCCTCGGTGAAGGGCATGGCGGGCACTGCTCCCCCACTGGCCTCAGGAGCCTGCTTTTCAGAGCAGCAGATGGGCTCTGGATTCTAGCAATGGACACACGAATCTTTAACCCTGGTTAGGATCTTAACACAGGGAGAGCTATACAAAAAACTAGCTGGGCGTGGTGGGGGGTGCCTGTAGTCCCAGCTACTCGGGAGGCTGAGGCAGGAGAATGGTGGGACCCAGGAGACGGAGCTTGCAGTGAGCTGAGATCGCGCCACTGCACTCCAGCCCGGGCGACAGAGCGAGACTCCGTTTCAATAAATAAATAAATAAATTAATTAATTAATTAATAAAACACAACACAGGGAGAACTGTACTTTATTGTAGCCACAGGGCAAACTGCTGGAGACAGACCCATGGGCCCCGACCATTTCCACCACCGCAGAAACCTGCCGTGTGCGTGGCATCACGGACAAACAAATCACAAGCACACAAATCTCTGAGTTCCAGAAATCTGATGAGTGCCAGGTGGGGTGCACATTTGGGAAGATGCCCCAGCATGGCTCTGAAGGCTCTTCCTGGGGGAGGCCTGCTCTCCGCTGCCTGCTCCTTCTGGAATTCAAACCCCAGGCAAAGGCAGCCGGCCCCAGGCCAGATAGATCCTGGCTTCCCAACCTTGAGCTGTGCAGTCATTACCTAGGTGCAGGCTGGGCTACAGGGACAGCCAAGCTGAGAAAGGACAGGTCCTCGCAGCCTAGGCTGGGCCACCGCTTGGTTCTTGGTCTCACTCGCCGCTGTGCCGCGCTTTGCCTGTCAGACGGCGGCGCTGGGCCTTGCTGGTACGAGTGGCCCTTGGGGGCTTCTTGGAGTCCTGGGTCCGCTGGGGATGTTTCCTCTTGACCTTTCTGCGGCTGTGTGCATGCAGTGAGGCTGTGAGAGCGGAGATCCTGGGGGAGGGCAGAAAGCCTCAGCTTAAGACTGCGTTGTGGACTGACTCACCACCTGGCTCATGGAGGGGATGTCAGGACAGGTTGCAAATGCCAGGACCACCAAGTTCATGCCAGAGTTGGCCTGCTCTACCTCCAGAGTGCTTGCCAGCAACTCAACTCAGAGAGACAGGCCCTTCACCCAGGCACGAAAGGCATCGGAGGTCAGACACTCTCAGGGGTGGGTGGGACAGGATGGGGCAATGAGGAGAGGCTGAGGATCACTGGACAGGCAAAGCAAAGGGCTGCTCCGGGCCCTACACCTGCTCCACACCACCCCTAAGAGCCAGGTCACTACTGCCAGCCAGGAGGGGTGGGACCGGGAAGGCAGCAGGCCAAGACTCACCGCTGAGAGAGCAGGGGGTCTCTGGACTTCCTGGGCAAGGCTTTGGTTGGCTTCTCCATGGATGACGCCGCCTCCTCAGACCCGTCTCCAGACCCTCCCTAAAGAAGCACAAGACAGGGAGCAGTAGCTCGGGGGGCCTGGGCTGGACACCCCGAGCCACCATGGCTCCGGCAAGTGGTGGCGCGCCCTGCTGCATCACAGGCCTGGAAGGGGACTAAAGAAGGCCTCGATGGAAGAACAGTCTATCTGTCCTAAAGCAAGGATTACACAGGGGAAGGCCTGTTTCCAAACCCGCTCCTGCCCCTAGAAGCTTCCAGTACGTACTTAAACATTCAGGAATGAAAATCCTAGCAAAATGGGGACAAGACTTGTCTTTGTATCAGACCTTGCAGAAGAATGAGCATAAAATGAAAGACTGGTGTGAGATCAGTATGGTTTGGTTTGGTTTGGTTTTTTGAGATGGAGTCTCGCTCTGTCACCCAGGCTGGAGTGCAGTGGTGCGATCTTGGCTCACTGCAACCTCCACCTCCTAAGTTCAAGTGATTCTCCAGCCTCAGCCTCCCAAATAGCTGGGATTACAGGTGCACACCACCACGCCTGGCTAATTTTTTTTTTGAGACGGAGTTTCACTCTTTTTGCCCAGGCTGGAGTGTAATGGCACAATCTTGGCTCACCACAACCTCCACCTCCTGGGTTCAAGCTATTCTCCTGCCTCAGCCTCCCGAGTAGCTGGGATTACAGGCATGTGCCACCACATCCAGGTAATTTTGTATTTTTAGTAGAGACGGGGTTTCTCCATGTTGGTCAGGCTGGTCTCGAACTCCTGACCTCAGGTGATCCGCCTGCATCGGCCTCTCAAAGTGCTGAGATTACAAGCATGAGCCATTGCACCTGGCCCCCTGGCTAATTTGTATACTTTTAGTAGAGATGAGATTTCACTATGTTGGCCAGGCTGGTCTCAAACTCCTGACCTCAGGTGATACACCCGCCTTGGCCTCCCAAAATGCTGGGATTACAGGCGTGAGCCACCGTGCTCAGCCCCAAGATCAGTATGGATGTGATGGGGAGTGGCTCCAGGACTTAAGGACACGATAACCCATTCAAGGAAATATGTTTTATATCATAACTGTGTGCATATATCCATAAATTCTTAGGCAAACCCAGATACAACTGCAATGGAAACAGCTGTCTCATGAAACAATATTTAACATGATACTTTCAGATATTTTCAATTACATTATTTTTTTTTATGCTGGTTGCAACCTACTCATGATTCACCACCCACAGGTTGAAAACCCACTTAGTGCACACAGACGCGCCAGGGCTGTAAATCGCACAAAGAGAACGATCACAACAAACAGCTACCTTTTGTGAAGCACTTACAACAGGGCTGGGCGCTGCGCCAAGTGACTCACACAGATTAACAACTTTTATCCTCACACCAATCCCACAAGGCAGGTGCCACCATCAGCAACCCCCAGTTCACTGAGGGAGAAAGGGAAGCAGGCAAGGTGAAGAAGCCTGCCCAAGTTCCTGAGCTGCTCAGCAGTGGGGCTGGCCTCTGCAGTGCCCCAGAAGCAGGGAATGAAGGGTCCAAAGGGAAGGAGCCCCTGCAGTGGGGTACCCAACATGGCCAGCACTGAGCAATCCTGAGAAGCCAGTCTGCCCCCACACTGTTTCTTCCCAGGGCTGAGACTGGGACCTACCTCAGTTGGGGTCAGCCCGAGCAGCCGGGCCCCTGAGAGGTCCAGGTCACTGATGGTGGTCACGGTGACTGTGTGGTTGGGGTGGTCATACTGCACCGACTCCGTCTTTGCTGTCACCAACCGGTCTAGCTCATCTGCCTCCTCTGTGGGGGTGGACACAGACCTGGCGTCAGCCAGGGGAACGAGAGACCAGGCTCCAGCGCCCCTCCCTCCCAGGAGTGCAATGCCTCCTCTACTCTGTGGATGTGGAGCGCATCCACAAGGTCACTGGCTGTAAAGCCTGGTCTGCGGATGCATGTTGTGAATGATCCTGTTTCCTTCATGCTCTAGCTGGTTCCCATGTCAGACAAACCCTCTATGACAGCTACAGCTGTCCCTCCCCTCCGCCCCTAGTCCTTTCCATCCTCAAAAACTGGGTTCTCTGCTCATGCTTGGTTAACTGTGGGGTTTGGGCCTCCTTCTCCTGGTCTCTGTTCCATTTGCACTTAGAGGTGCTTAGGACAACCCCCGGCCCCAGGGTACCCCCCAAGATCCCTAGGGCCAAGAAGGTCAGCTTCTATCCCTTCCACCCACCAGGCCCGTCAGCTGTTCTCCAGGTCAGGCCAAGCAAGCCACTTACCCAGCGCCTCTTCTCTCTCTGCCAGCATCTTCAAGTATTCCTGGTGGCGCTGAAACCACACGGGCAGGGAACACAGTGAGTATGGCCTCTTAGTCCAACCTCAGGCCACGGTATTATTAATCACCCCCGAGGTGAGTGAGACCATGATCCCTACTGCAAGATCAGGAGGAGACTCCATCTTCCATCGCTCCCAGACCCAGGCCCATGGAGTCTCCACCTGTATAAACTGTTCCCCAGTCCTGCCCACGCACACGCCACCCCATGCCTGCAGCTGCCTCTATTAGGGAAATCCACGGCTACAAGTGCCCTAAGAATCAAAGACCCCCTCCCACCTTCCCCCTGCACACCTCCTCCCGAAGCTTCCTCTGCTCCTCTTTTAGCCGCTGCTTAATCTCCTCAATGGCTGCCTTCTTCCGCTCGACCTTCCGCTTGTGGAAGCCAGTCAGGTACTCCCTACAGGAAGGAAGCCGGAAGAGACAAGGAGAGAAGGGTTCACCGTAGGAGAAAAACGGCTAATGTCGCGGTCGCTACGTGCTGGGCACCATTCCAAAAATGTACGAGTATTAGCTCATTTAACCTTCGCAACAATGGCCAGGCATGGTGGCTCACGCCTGTAATCCCAGCACTTTGGAAGGTCGAGGTGGGCGGATCACTTGAGGCCAGGAGTTCAAGACCATCCTGGCAAACATGGTGAAACCCCATGTCTACTAAAAACACAAAAATTAGCTGGGTGTGGTGGCACACGCCTATAGTCCCAGCTACTCGGGAGGCTGAGTGGGGAGAATTGCTTGAACCTGGGAGGCAGAGGTTGCAGTGAGTCGAGATCGCGCCACTACACTCCAGCCTAGATGACACAGCTAGACTTCGTCTTAAAAACAAACAAACAAAAAACCCTCACAACAGCCTGTGCAGTGGGTAGCAATCTCCATTTTACAGATGGGGACGCTGAGGCACAGAGTCTAGGTTACTTGCCCAAGTTTAGAGAAAGGATACATTTAGGAAAATAAGGGAGATACTGCCTCTTTCCACTCAACACTCTCCAGGGATCTCAGGTTCAGGGAACAGGGCCAGGTGCGGGGGCACACACAGTACATGGGGTAACCCCTTCCACACCGGCAAACCTCATTACTCTCTCAACAGGGCTTTCAGGCCACCCTCATCCAGACCTTTAGAAACCCTGCCCTGGACCGACACCTATGTCTCCAAGACACCTGACCCTGAACTCGCCTGTAGGGCCTGTTGATGCACGCTAGGAGTTTCCTGACGACGCCCAGCATTTCACACCCTCTTTCCCTCGGTCTGATCTCAGCCCCTTCTCATCTCCGCAGTGCCAGCTGCTCTCTTCCCATTTTGTCCCACAGTCCAGCACTGGGCTTTTCGCTGACCCGCTACCACGTGCCATTTATTTGTCTGGCCGGACGCTGAGGCTCAAGGGTTCACCTTCCTGATACGGGACCTGGCACACCAAAGGAGCCCAATAAATGTCTGGAGAGCGAATGAATGAACTTAGGCCACTCTCATTTCATTGACTCATCATTCATCAGCCACGGCTGGGCGCCTACTGTGTGCCGGGCCGATGGACTGGGCTGGGCTAGGGTGGTCGAAGCCACTCCTCTGAGACCCGAGCTTCCGGCTGTCTGGCGGCGCAGAGACACTAGGCGAGGTGGGGAGGCCGAGAAGGGAGAAGCGGGAACGGGAGCTGGGAGGCCGAGAGGGGTTCTCTAGCCACGCCACGCCAGGGGGCGGGGCCGGAAGAGCCCTCCGCGGGAGCGTGCTCGGCCCCAGACCTGGCCTTGGCCGCGAAAAACAGCTCGAGGGGAGTCCGGTCCGGCTTTGCCACTCACCGCCTCTTCTCCTCGTCGAAGCTGAGAACGAGCCTGGGCCGCCGGTCGTCACCATCTTTCCTCTTCTTCTTGTTGCGGCCCATACCGGTGAGGCGGGCGACTTCCTCTCTCTGGAGACACTTCCGGGTGTAGCGTACTCATCCTCCCGGGTGTAGCGTACTCTTCCTCCCAGGCGCACACCTCAGCGTCGCTCCGCAGTTCCGTCCGCCAGGCCCCGCCTTTTAAAGGGACCTCCCAGCTCTTTTTCTTCCCTCTTCTCACGCATGAAGCGCTGGTCCCTGACCTCTCCATGATTCCCAGCTCCAGCCCCTCCCCAGAGACGCTTCAGTGAGAGCGAGGTCCCCTGGACCTGATTGCCTAGGACTGTGCCTGGCACATGGAGTTACTCGTGAATGCCCAAAAATTTCTGTACTGTCAGGCCTCTGAGCCCAAGCCAAACCATCGCATCCCCTGTGACTTGCATGTATATGCCCTGATGGCCTGAAGTAACTGAAGAATCACAAAAGAAGTGCAAATGCCCTGTCTCGCCTTATCTGATGACATTCCACCACAAAAGAAGTGAAAATGGCCGGCCCTTGCCTTAAGCGATGATATTATCTTGTGAAATTCCTTTTCCTGGCTCATCCTGGCTCAAAAAGCTCCCCCACTGAGCACCTTGTGACCCCCACTCCTGCCCGCTAGAGAACAACCCCCTTTTGACTGTAATTTTCCTTTACCTACCCAAATCCTATAAAACGGCCCCACCCTTATCTCCCTTCCCTGACTCTCTTTTCGGACTCAGCCCGCCTGCACCCAGGTGAAATAAGCAGCCATGTTGCTCACACAAAGCCTGTTTGGTGGTCTCTTCACACCGACGGGCATGACACTAACCCTACTTTGGATTTTTTTTTCTTTAATTTATTATTACTACTTTTGAGGTGAAGTCTTGCTCTGTCATCCAGGTTGGAGTGCAGTGGCGCGATGTCGGTTCATTGCAACCCCTGCCTCCCAGGTTCAAGCAATTCTCCGCCTCAGCCTTCTTAGTAACTGGGATTACAGACATGCGCCACCATACCGCGCTAATTTTTACATTTTTAGTAAAGACAAGTTTTCACCATGTTGACCAGGCTGCTTGAACTCCTGACCGCAAGTAATCCTCCCATCTCGGTCTCCCAAAGTGCGTACTCATCCTCCCGGATGTAACATGTGAGCCACGGTGCCGGCCCCTACTTTAGATTCTGATGCCAACTCGTTGGTAGTCTCCAAGAGGGAGCCAAACTGCCTGGATTTGTATACTGGCACCCCATCTACAGCTGTGTGGTCCAAGACCAATGGCCTTCACAGTGCCTCACCGTATTTGTAAAATGAGGGATAGTAGCTTCATAGGGTTGTTGTAGACCGTGGTTCTCAAGCTTTGGCATACATCAGAATCCCCTAGAGGGCTTGCTAAAACCTGGATCGCTGGGCCTCACTCAGGAGTTTCTGATCCAGGTGAAGTTTCTGAGTGGATTTCCAGTTCTAGCAAGTTCTCAGGTGATGCTAATGCTGCTAGTCCGTGGACCAAACTTTGACAGCTGTGATTATGAGGAAGTGAGTTATGTCCCAAGTTTGTATAACATAAGGCATGCATACACGTGTTTTCTGCGCAAGCCATCTTCCCTCTTCGTGCCTCACTTTGCCTAAAGGTGGAATGAGTGTGTAATAACAATCTCAACTGAGAATGGAGGGCATGGGTGTGAAAGATTGTAGTGAAACAACACCTGAAGGGGATTTTTTTTTTTTTTTTTTTTTTTGAGACGGAGTCTCGCTCTGTCGCCCAGGCTGGAGTGCAGTGGCGTGATCTCAGCTCACTGCAAGCTCCGCCTCCTGGGTTTACGCCATTCTCCTGCCTCAGCCTCCCGAGTAGCGGGGACTACAGGCGCCCGCCACCTCGCCCGGCTCGTTTTTTGTATTTTTCAGTAGAGACGGGGTTTCACTGTGTTAGCCAGGATGGTTTTGATCTTCTGACTTCGTGATCCGCCCGTCTCAGCCTCCCAAAGTGCTGGGATTACAGGCTTGAGCCACCGCGCCCAGCTGAAGGGGATTTTTAATCACTTGGATTGTAGGCCAGAATCCTTCATCCATTTTTTTCACTTTTTTTTTTTTTTTTTTTTTGAGACAGAGTTTCACTCTTGTCACCCAGGCTGGAGTGCAGTGGCGTGACCTCGGCTCACTGCCATCTCCGCCCCCCCAGGTTCAAGCGACTCTCCTGCCTCCGCCTTCTGAGTAGCTAGGATTACTGGCACCTGCCATCACGGCCAGCTAATCTTTGTGTCCTGACTGAGTTTTGGAAGGAGGCAGGCAATAAGTGCAGCACTCCAGAATGCTGAATTCATTCCATACAGCTCCTCTGCTTGGGGGAAGTCTATGTGGGATCCTGCGAGGAAGTTACCCTTTAACTGCAGGCCTGGCCTTTCAGTTCCTGTGGCCCAGAGCACCGCAGGGGGCTCCCTTAGGGTGCTGGACTGCACCTCTGACCAGCTGCTTCTGCCCCTTAGTGGCAGTGCCTTAAGGCTACCCTTGGCACCCTCCTGGGTAGAGGCATAACCCTGGCTGAAGGTGCCCAGAGAGTCACCTTCTGCAGCTGGTCTGTCTCCTCCCAGTCCCAGGCTTTGACCTGCTTGGTTTACCAGGGCTCTACTCCCACCCACGGTGGTTGGAGATGAAAAGTGAAGGCTCAGGCTGGGCACAGTGGCTCACACCTGTAATCCTGGCACTTTGGGAGGCTGAGGCAGGCGGATCATGAGGTCCAGAGATCGAGACCATCCTGGCCAACATGGTGAAACCCCGTGTCTACCAAAAATACAAAAATTAGCTGGGTGTGGTGGCACGTGCTTGTAGTCCCAGCTACTTGGGAGGCTGAGGGAGGAGAATCACTTGAACCCAGGAGGTGGAGGTTGCAGTGAGCTGAGATTGCGCCACTGCACTCCAGCCTAGCGACAGACAGTAGGGCAACATAGTAAGACCCTGTCTCTACAAAAAATTAAAAATTAGCCAGGCCTAGTGACATACTCCTATAGTCCAGTGACTTGGGAGGCTAAGGTAGGAGGATCACTCAAGCCCAGAAGTTTGAGGCTGCATTGAGCTGTGATCATGCCACTGCATTCCAGCCTGGACGAGACAGTGAGACCCCATCTCTGGAAAAAAAGAAAAAACAAAAAACAAAAAACAAAAAACAGGCCAGGTGTAGTGGCTCCTGCCTGTAATCCTAGCATTTTGGGAGGCCGAGGCGGGCGGATCAGTTGAGGTTCGGAGTTCGAGACCAGCCTGACCAACATGATGAAACCCCATCTCTACTAAAAATATGACAGCCGTACGTGGTGGTGCATGCCTATAATCCCAGCTACTTGAGGGGCTGAGGCAGGAGAATCACTTGAACCTAGGAGACAGGGGTTGCAGTGAGCCGAGATCCCGCCACTTCACAACAGCCTGGTCAAAAGAGCAAAACTCCGTCTCAAAATAAAAAAACAAAAACAGTAAGAAAAGAAGTGATGATAAACTTAATGAGGAAAAAGAGTAACAAGAGCAGCTGACATTTATTTAGCTCTTTACTCTCTTTAGATTGTTTATTTTATTATTTATTTACTTATAGAGATGAGGGTCTCACTATGTTGCCCAAGCTGGTCTCAAACTCCTGGGATCAAGCGATCCTCCCCATTCAGCTTCATGAGTAGCTAGAACCACAGGTGCCCACCACTGTGCCTGGCTTATGATGATCTCTTTTGAGGTACAATCCACATTTTACTGAGGAGGAAATTGAGGCTCAGAGAGGTGCAGTCATTTGTCTGAGGTCACACAGTCAAGAACAGGTTCTGAGGGTGGGGAGCACGTGGCCTAAGGACAGAGGTTGACTTATCTGGACCTGGTTTTCTAGGCCCTCGGGACACACGGAACTTTAAAAGGGGTGAAGAGAGCCAACACTCACCAAACCCGTATTGCATGCCAGGCACCATGCATTTCTATACATCACCTCAGCTAATCTTTTTTCTTTTTTTTTTTAGACAGAGTCTCGCTCTGTCGCCCAGGCTGGAATGCAGTGGCGTGATCTCGGTTCACTGCAACCTCCTCTTCCCAGGATCAAGTGATTTTCCTGCCTCAGCCTCCCCAGTAGCTGGGACTACAGGCATGCACCACCATGCCTGGCTAATTTTTGTATTTTGAGTAAACACGGGGTTTCACTTGTTGGCCAGGCTGGTCTTGAACGCCCAACCTCAAATGAACCTCCTGCCTTGGCCTCCCAAAGTGTTGGGATTACAGGTGTGGGCCACCGCACCCAGTCAATACTAGTGGTCTTCTTTTTTTTTTTTTTTTTGAGACGGAGTCTCGCTCTGTCACCCAGGCTGGAGTGCAATGGCACAATATCGGCTCACCGTAACCTCTGCCTCCTGGGCTCAAGTGATTCTCCTGCCTCAGCTTCCCAAGTAGCTGGGATTTACAAGCATATACCACCATGCCCGGCTAATTTTTTGTATTTTTAGTGGAGACAGGGTTTCTTCATGTTGGTCAGGCTGGTCTCGAACTCCCGACCTCAGGTGATTCACACACCTCAGCCTCCCAAAGTGCTGGGATTACAGACGTGAGCCACTGTGCCTGGCCTGATTTTTGTATTTTTAGTACAGACAGGGTTTCGTCATGTTGCCCAGGCTGGTCTCAAACTCCTGATCTCAGGTCATCCACCCACCTCGGCCTCCCAAAGTGTTGGGATTACGGGCGTGAGCCACCACGCCTGTGTTTTTTTTTTTTCTTCTTTTTCTTTTTTCTTTTTTTGAGACAGAGTCTTGCTCTGTGGCCTGAGAGCAGTGGCGTAATCTCGGCTCACTGCAACCTCCCGGGTTCAAGTGATTCTCCTGCCTCAGCTTCTTTAGTAGCTGGGACTACAGGCGCCCCCCAACCACGCCCAGCTAATTTTTGTATT